TTTCATCGGTTGCATTGTCTGATACTGGCTAAAGTTGATTAATTGGCTTTCATCGGTTGCATTGTCTGATACTGGCTAAAGTTGATTAATTGGCTCTCATCGGTTAACATTGTCTGACACTGGCTAACATTGGTTAATTGGCTTTCATCGGTTGCATTTTCTGATACTGGCTAAAGCTGATTAATTGGCTATCATCGGTTGGCATTGTCTGACACTGGCTAACATTGTTTAATTGGCTGTCATCGGTTGCTGATACTGGCTAACATTGATTAATTGGCTGTCATCGGTTGGCATTTTCTGATACTGGCTAACATTGGTTAATTGGCTTTCATCGGTTGCATTGTCTGATACTGGCTAAAGTTGATTAATTGGCTCTCATCGGTTAACATTGTCTGACACTGGCTAATTTTGCCTAACATTGCCTAACATCCACTGACAATGCCTTGCATCGCCTCACATCGCCTCACATCAATTCACCATCAATTCCCTCAATTCCCTCAATTCCCTCATTGCCAATCAACACCGGCTGATATTGTTGCCTGCCTGCTCCCACTAGCCAAGGCCCCAAAATACCAAACCGACCCCACCCCAAACTGAATAGGCTCACTACATGAGCCCTGTATGTCCATCAAAATAGGGGGCACGAACCTTAAAGACGGCAGTTAAAAGCACCGGCATGCTGACTCCCAGAATGACCCTCTTTGTTAGTGCCTCCGCAAGCTAGCATCAATCGCAAGTCACCCAGGACGTGGTCTACAGTGGCGAATATAAGTCCAAGTAATACCACGAAATTTGAACTTCCAAGGGAAATTATAAAGCGTCAAACTCCCCAACATGTTATGAAGAAAAGGATCGGCTCAAAACTGTGGATTCATTGCACACAATTTTGCATCGAATTTTGAGTTCATGTATTTTATTGATGGATTTTTTTAGCACCACTAGCACCAGAATGATTTCATATCATCACTAAAAAAACTTGTATAAATTGTATTTGGCAACTGAAGCGCTTTTGTTTCAAACTAAAAACCATTGGTCTAGATTGTTCAATTGTATGACAATTTCTATCTTAATGCAATCTTTCTGAACTTTTTGGCGGACTGTTTACTCATATAAATTACTCTTTTTCAATTGGTTATGATTCGTTTCGCTCGATAGTATGTATTTTCTTTCAAATAAAATGTTTTTGTTAGCACAACATAACTTGCGTTGTGTTTTCTAGTACAATGGATATGTCCTAAATAAATCTCGCTTCCAACCTACATTGGTCCCAAAACGCCTTGGAGATGAACCAACTGAAATTGAAAAAGTCCTGTGATGATAAATCTGATGTGTGAATTATTCAAGCCTTTTTGTTTCCCGCGATTAAATTTATTTTGGCGACAAAACCAGAGACTCTTGCAATGTCAGTCTAGCACACTACTATGAAAAAGTGTGAATTATAGCAAGAGCTTTGATCTCAGAAAACTTGATACCTAGGCGAAGGTTTGCATCGATGAATTCTGGCCTTGTCTTCTTTTTTGCATTTAGAACCTATTCCTTCTAGTCTCTCAAATTACATGATTTGTTCTCATTTGCTTCTTTTCAATAAAAACACCTCCTTATGGACATTTCGTTCACATGTTCAGCCCTCTTATTTTGAGCTTATACTCGCTAAAAGGTTTGCTCTCCCTTTTTTGAAGTACCTTTTGGAAAGAGCCATTTCACTTGCAGATGTTTTTCACTCCTACCTGCTAAACTTCAATCGAAATACATTTTTCAATAATATTTTGAGTTTCTAACATTCAGGACCCCTCAATATCAGTTTACCTGCTGAGTGGAAGACTCCGACAAAAAAAAAAGTAATCTTCAATTTTTCACCACGCTTCAAATTCCAACCTTGGATATCTCACTAAGGAATATATAAATAGAACACTCTAAAAATAACGGAACGCCCATCCGATAAAAAAGTCACGCCACCGAGAAAAAGCCCGGTTCTACTCAATGCTTTCTTATTTTTCTAATCTGCCGAAGTCAATGATCGCCTTGCAAATCGCAAATCCACGGAAATTCAACAATATCACCAGCCAACTCCTAGATATTCATATCTGCCTGGCGCGCTCCATCAGAAACCCGGACCTCCCGACCCCAGACCGCGTGGCCTCATATTAGACCCCCATAGTGAACAATCAGCATACAGAAATACATTAAACTACAACAAAACAGACCTATCCAGCTCATCCAGCCTTTTACTAGAACTCCATATTTCCTATTCTCTGCGCTTTTCTTGTGTCTGCTCATTACATCTAATCTGCTCGCTAGATATCTACCTTTTTCTAGCACACACCTCGCTCTCAGCCTCACAGAAAGTATATGGCGCCAGATAACCAGGAAAATATCGCCGAAAAGGCTCTTGATCGCGAGATCGTGGCAGCTCTCGAAAAAGGCGCTTTGCCGGGCTTCTCGCTCAATGCAGAATTGCTATATAACTGGCAAACTGAGCTCAGTGACATGACGACAGACCCGTCCTTTTTGCATGACATTGTGCGCCACGCAGTTGTGCTTCAGTTCCCGTCTGGGCCCGTCTATTTCACAAAGGAAACTACGGCTGTGCTATCACAGTGTTTGAAGACCCTTGAAAAACTAGATTGCGACGTCTACGGCGACTTCAAGCACATCTTCTACGAGGTCATTTTCTGGGTCTCCACGGCGCTTTACACCGCCAAGATTCAGCTTTTTCGCCACGGGTTCCTCGCCTTTTTGATAAACGACTTTGTCACATGCGCCTCCGCGTTGCATCTGGGGTCTTCGGATCTCGAAAAGTCGCTTTGTCTCTTGAAATCCAGGCTTCTCGGCTCGTTTTTAGAACTAGGATGCAGTGCCAGGCAGTTCAAGCTGCTCTTCTACCCTATGTTTGCCGGTGCCTTCCAGGTTTCTGTGGAAACGAAAACAGCGCTCCTTAATGTGCTTTTTGCCTATCTTGAAGCATGTCCCACACAGTATCTGGCCCTTCTTTTCAACGATTTCGCCCTTGCGCCACTCGTGATCCCCTTAGACGACGACACGGCCGTTCTGAAATGTTTTACGATTGCCACGTGGATAAGACTTAATGGCGCTCTCGCACCGGACTCGGAAACCGACACCTTTCTGCCGCTCACGCTCTTTCTGTTGGTGAATTCTGCTGACCACGAGCCGCTCATCGTGCAGATCCAGCTTTGGCATGACAAGTTCTTTGTCAACACCATAAATCGGGGAAACGGATCGAAATGCCGCTTCATGTTCAACCACGTGCTAAAACTGCGACTGCAGCGCCAAGAATTCACACATTTTGTGCTCACCTACGACAAGTACCAAAATCTTAATCTATACATTGACGGCGATTACAGCGAGTCCATTCCGTGCCCGGTGATCTCAAAGGCTGACACAAGATGGATCAAACTATATGTGGGTGACCCGCTGGACCCGCTGGAACGGGACAATGGAGGCATGAACTTGTTTTCTAAGCAAGAATTGTTAATAAATAATCTTGTTGTCTTAGACATTGCTTGCACCTTCGAGTGGGTTAGCCTTCTATTCTTCTTGGGTATTGGCTATGATTGGTCACAGAAAGAGTTTCTGGAGCACAACATCACGGGGTTCTTGGATCACTTATCTAAACAAAACTACGTCCTGATGAGCTATCGTGTGGCAGACATTCTCAGCTCTAGGGGCCAGCAAGTGCCATACCGCATGGAGAGCCACCAGCGGCTCGCACTATCAAAGAAGAAACAAGTGCCTGTGGGAATCCTGTTACCAAACAAAGCACAAATGGTCAGTCTTTTGGCAGAAACAAAAATCACCACTGCAAACTTTCTTTTAGACATAACCAACCCGCAGTTTATCGAGTTCATTGCCAGGGCAAATGGTCAGCAGATTGTTCATCACCAATTCAACGCTTTCTGCAGCTCGCTCTATTGTTGGGGAGGCTCTGCTCTCTTACTTTCGATGATGGAAGCCATCATGAAAGCCGACTATACTGATCTGCGTCATCGAGACTTCTTGTTTTTTGAAACGCTGCGGTTGCTTCTCTTATGCTTGGAGAAAGATGTCCAGCTCAGTCAAGAGTTCGAGACTAGTGATGGTTATTGGGCCCTTGCGTTGTTGATCGACTGTTACAAGTCAAACTTCAACGCAAATCTAGAGCTCAAAGATTGGTCTGAATTTCAGATCCCCGCTTGCCCATCAAGAGATGAACTCAACCCAAGTCTCTTGGGAGGCAGCTATTTCAGAATGATCATTGGCTTCACAAGTGCAAGCGACAATTCCGGACCTTACATTTCCAATCCACTTGCATTTCAAACGTTGGTGCTAAACTTCGATATTTTTTCGAGTACTACCGGCTTTTCGAGCCTAGAAAGGCATATCCTAGACTTGACAGCTACAGAAAAACACCACTTCTACAATGTCAAGGAACTTAGTAAAATGAAAGTCCTTAAAAAACTTTTACAGCACATCAAGTCCAGCATTATTGAAGGAACGGACATGGGAAAAATCAAACATTTATCCCAACTACTTGCAACAATGATCAAAGTGGAAGTTTCTGTTGAATCCATAAAGCTTGTGTCAAACTTTGTTATTTTTGCTCTTTATAACGAGCCCTTCAGGGAAGAATCGCAGCTCATTGGTCTTGAAGCTCTAGTTGCCTTGACAAACACGCTCTGCGGTTCTTCTTCTTTGGTGAAACTGCTCAAAAAGTTTTCTCGCTCTATTTCCATTCATTGGATATTACTACTCTTAAACTTTGAGGGTGAAAACAAGCATATGTCAGCAAAAATTGTCTGCTGCGCAATAGGACTTTTATCCAAGTTTTTACGAGTTCTTGGCCCACATATGATCAAGCGTTTCTTCCAAGCCAATAGGGGGCTCAGCGTGCTAAGCTATTTCCTTCAGAACTGGTGGAATAATGATAGCGTTGTCAGTGTTCTCTTCATGAACAGTTTTGGTGTTGATAATGATAATTATGGATCCGAGTTGGATTCACTTCCTGATCTCATCAGAAACAAAAAACTAACCCATACTACTAGGGCCACTTTGATTCCAGATTATATTAACTTGTTGAACAAGTTAGTTTTGACGGGTTTAATTCAATTGGGACAGAAACAAGGTAAGGTCTTGAGCACCCCCAGTTCCCCACTTAGAAGCTTCCTGACCGGGACCTCCATCAATGACCAGGTTTCAGAACTTTATCTTGACGTCATGCACCTTATCAATCAAATCGCAGATATGATTGAGACTGGATTCTCTGAATCCGTGGCACTTCAGGCTATTTTTGTAACCAAAGACTGGCTTGAAGGTGCTTTCGAAATAGTTGCGCACTTAAAAGTTCTCGGAGAAAGCTCACATCCTACAACGCAAATCAAAATTGATTTTGAAGCTTGTTTGACTAGGTATGTCTCTGTCTTGAGTGCCATATTTGTGTCCATGCTATTAGACGTCAAGAAATTGCTTAGTATCATGAAGCTCCTTAGCGACATTACTAAAAAGTTGATAATTGACATCATTTTTCCAAACATATTTGGCCATATCAATGGATTTCTTTTCAACTCAAATTTTATCTTCAAGGAGCTGGAATTTATCAAAGGTGCGACAGAAATACTTAACATTTATCATCACGACTTTGTGCTCCAGAACTATTTCATCAGCCGAGAAAATTTGGATGCCTACTTAACTTGTCTAGTCGCTGTCATAGAGACTAGTGATACCCAATCATGCGTGATGCATCAACTTGGGCCAATTTTGGGACATGCGCTTATAATGCGTTTATCGACAATCTCTCATACTACAAGCGATACAGACGAGTTTGATGAGGAACTCGAAAATGACTTCTCTGAGGACCTTGATGAAAACGTGAAGTTTTGCTTAAACAAGCAATTGCTCATCTTAGATCTGCTGGTTTTGAATGACACAAACTTGCGTCTGACCATAGAGCTCATAATGGGAAATTTTCTCAAGTTGTCCCCACAAAAACAGTATGAACTTTCTGAGCATGTGCTTAATTTCCTCAGATCTGCGATTGTTATGAGAGAAAATGACTTCAGTCAGATTATGATACAAATGACTCATGTAAGTGACTATCAAAACTCAAGCGGAATATTGTCAGAGTTTTTCTCATTTTTAGCTACTCACAACGACGAGGAGACTGTGAAGTACATCCAAAAATTCCCCACCACGAAACACATTTTCAATAAGAATTTCCATTTCAGGCTCAGCAAGTTGAGAGACATAGGTCATGTTAGTGTGTTAGATATGATGCAAGTGGTTATAAACAGTGGTGGAAATCTCGGGAATACAAATAGTGCACAGTTACAAAGTTTTGAGAGAGACTGTAAAAATTTAAAACTGGGCACTATAACTCAAGAACTCATAAAATACAACTGGGATCTTCAAGATACGCACGAAAACTTTCAATTCCGGTCTACTTCATACATAGCCCTCAAAGCGGACGTGCACAGGTTGCTTCAAGAGTCTCCCATAACCAAAACAGACTTCACGCTCGACTATATTGAAGGTGCAAATCGAATGAGAATGTTGCTTGTGAGCGAAGATCAGATGCCAGAATCTGAAAAGCTAAGCTATTCCGTAAAAGTGCCCAGAAAAACGTTAGACACTGCTGAAATCCAAAATGCCGCAAGTTTGTCTCTCGAATCTGTCTTTTCTGCATTTGGAATCCAAGACTCCTTGTTTCTGGACCCTTCAAGCTTGGAAGTTGACTGGAATGAATATGAAGAAATAGATGAAAATGGAGAGTCTAGCTGCAGCATCAAAACTTCTAATGAAGATCGAAACAGAAAGGTGCTCCGCAGTTTATACTTTGGTGACCAAATTCAGGCTTTGTTCAACGTCTCTAAAGTTGGTGGATTGGATGCTGTCGAAAGCTTAATGATTTTGGGAAATAGCCATCTCTACTTTATTGAGAACTTCTTCCACTGTGATGATGGAAACGTTGTGGATATCAATGAGGTCCCGCACGAATGGAGAGATCCGTATTTGCAATTTATCAAACCGCAAGCCACGGAGAATCAAGGAAACAGAGGCTATAGAACTAAAATTTGGAGTTTGAAAAGCTTCGCTTGCGTTTGCAAGAGAAAATTTTTGTTACGTGACATTGCCCTAGAACTCTTTTTTGATGACGGCGCAAGTCTTCTCATCACATGTTTGTCGACCAAGCAAAGAGATGCAATCCATGGTAGACTATCCCCTTACTCTTCGGGCGAGAGTTTGGATAAAGATTTAAGAGTTACATTAGAGGTATCATCATCATATTCTCTGCAGCTTTCGCAAAGCACTCAGTCAACGGGTTATTACTTGAGGTCAAGACTCGCTTCTGCATTTTCGGCTGGCTTTACCGGTAGCCTGAGCTTTTCCGAAATTACGAAAAAGTGGAAGATGGGTATGATGTCAAATTTTTACTACTTGCTATCTATCAACACTATGGCTGGGCGCACATTTAATGATCTAACTCAATATCCTATTTTTCCATGGGTCATAGCTGATTACGAGAGTTCAGAGCTTGATTTCAGCAATCCAGAAACTTTCCGTGATCTTTCAAAACCCATGGGAGCTCAGTCTTCGAAGCGTGCCGAGGAATATCGAGAAAGATTTGATGCACTCGCTAGCATGGATGACGGCAATGCCCCTCCCTTTCACTACGGTACTCATTATTCATCGGCGATGATAGTCACTTCTTATCTCATCCGACTTAAACCTTACGTGCATTCTTATCTTCTCCTTCAAGGTGGAAAATTTGATCATGCCGATCGTTTGTTTAATTCCGTCGGGAAAGCATGGACGTCCGCGTCAAAAGAAAACACTACAGATGTCAGGGAACTTACCCCTGAGTTTTTCTATCTTCCCGAATTCTTAGAAAATAGGAACCATTTTGAATTTGGGGAGTTGCACGACGGAAATATTTCGAATGATGTCGTTCTTCCCAAATGGGCTAAAGGAGATCCCAAAATCTTTATTGCGAAAAACAGAGAGGCTTTGGAAAGCGCTCATGTGTCCGCAAACTTACATCATTGGATAGACTTAATATTCGGGTTCAAGCAAAGTGGTGAAGAAGCGATCAAAGCATTGAACGTATTTCACCATCTGTCATATGATGGAGCTATAAATCTTGACACCATCAAAGATGAAACAGAAAAGCGAGCAGTAATTGGAATGATCAACAATTTTGGTCAAACGCCCGTGAAATTGTTCTCCAAACCTCACCCGATGAAAGAGATTTTGAACATGCCATATGTGCTGCTTTCTTTTGCAGAAACAAATAGGAAGTCTCCAGTATGCACTTTTGATTGTGGGTCCAGTTTCCCCATTGGGAAACTAGAGATTGGCTCGAAGTCTAAAAAATGGGTCGGAAGGCCTCCACATACTTCTTTCGAGGACCAGATTTTGATTAAAAAGCCATCACTTGGCCCACATGATGTCGCGAGTGGCTCTTTGTTCATCAAGAGCACTTTATTCATGAATCTATACCTGAGTAACATCTCATCGCTTGTTCAAATTGAAAATAAGTTCTTTATAACCGGCTCAAATGATGGAATGATTCACATCTGGAATTGCTCGCTTCATCCCACTTTGAGTGTAAAGATTCACTCTGTGCTTCGGGGCCATCTAAGCGCAATAAGATCGTTATGTTACAGCAAGGCTTTCAAAATTTGCTTAAGTCTTGATGCTGAAGGTGGAATAATCCAGTGGGATATCACAAGATTTAAGTTCGTTAGGAGAATCAGAAATTCTCTGCCCCTGGAAAATTCCAAGTTGCTTATGGCCATATCCAATGATACTGGAAACTTTTGCACGGTCAACAGCACAAAGTACAACAACATCTTGACATTGTATACATTGAATGGAGATGAAATTGCCCAAGCCTCACTCAGGCCAGGGCATATCACAGCAGTCTCTATTGCGCAGGCCAATGATTCGCTTGTGGAACTGCTCAAGACAGATTATCAGCACTCATACTGGAAAGATGAGTATGTTGTTTTAAGCTATTCTTCCCCGCAGGTGAGCTTACACATTTACAAACTTCAAGTCAATACTAGCGGTTGGGCTTTGGTGTTGGTTCAGGAAGCAGACATCAAGAACTTTATAGGCGGACACGTCACATCGTTGCAGGTGTATAAGCAGACTGAGGTTTGTGAGGAGGATAGCTTGAGTCGTGGGAGATTGCTGTTCGTAATTGGCGACTTTAAAGGCCGAGTGTACGTCTGGTGATGGCGGATGACATCTTTGAAATCGCACAACCTGATGCTTTTGATTGTTTTTGGGTGGTACATAGATGGACTATGTTGAGTCTGTCTACGAGACTATGTCTACTCAAGACAGAAGTTCAACCTGGAGGCTAGTCGAACAAAAATCAATCCCAAAAGCTCTATGTGCGTTGTACTTGCGTCTTTCGATATATAGCCTAGTATATTCAAGAACGGACTGAGTGGGACATATGTATAAGGGTAAACGCTACATGTGTCCTGCTCCAGCCACATCCAAAAATTTCCAAACAAGAGTTGATCTTGGTGCTGCTGATATTCACCTGTCTAGAATACTCAAGAATGCATTGGACAGACTTAGCACTTGAAAGTCTCCGACTCCTGCCACATAAGACTCGGGACTGTTCTCAACTCGCCCAAATTACAGTTGATTTCAAACAAGACTCGTTATCTTAGGCGGTTGTTAATAACTCGTTCAGCGTGTTAGTTCTCCTCTTGTACTTGGCCACTTAAACACGGTTGAGTTCGAAACTGACGTCGCATACACCACGGTCCGCATCAACTAATCTGCTCGTACATGGGCCGATTCGGAACTACAAGAAACCATGTACTTGCAAACTGTACATGATGACCCAAAGAAAGATGTGTGGAAAAGCTGGAATGCGTGGCTGTCATCTGCGAAAACGCATCAGTCACGCCCAAAAATCCCACTACCGACCGCAGCTCATAGCTGCGACCGGTTCGCTCTAGGATGCGTTGTAGAGAGCCGCAATTCTGGGATTCCAGCCGAACTGGTGAATTGTAGCCCTACAATAATACGCATTCAGAATACAATAGAGAAAAAAAGGGAAACGTGATGGGCAGGCGCGCACGCGCAGTATATATACTCACGCGTCCACTTTGCCGGGTAACCCCACTACCGTATCAGGCTGAGGTGAACTGAACTATCTGCAAAGCCATGCTACATAAATAAATCTCTATGTACGCAATGTTGGCTAGGTTGTATGTATGGGCAATATGTGTCAACTTCATCATGGCCGCGGGGCTTTATGGCCGTTTCGAAAATGTGCCCCAGGAGGCACGTGATGCCGCAGGGTCTGGTATGGAGACCCCATAGTGAATGGCCTCAACTTTCAAAGCCGAATCGAGGTCCGGCTCACCGAAATTGGCGATTTTAGAAGCGTGAAAGAAAAGACGCTTCCGGTGAACCGAGACTATGCGTTTGAAGCGCCAGATTTGGCCGCGGGCGAATACGAACTCACCATTAACGCCTATGACTTTATAGTGCGGGCTCCAAGGTGGAGAATTTTCGTAGACGACACAGAAACTAGAGCATTTGTGGATGCAATTGCGAGCGAGTCATATAACATCTCTTCTCAGCAAATTATTCAGCGTGATTCCCCGTTGACTGTGCCGATCTCGGGGTTCAAAAGCTACTACGAGAGTACCGAGGGCAGGCTCACAGAAGTACTCATGAACAGTCCGTTCGGGTTCATTTTCCGCAGCAAGCTCTATTCACTGTTGTTTTTCGGCACGCTTGTGATCATGGCTTTCCCATATGTGATTCCTTACGTGGCCCCTGACTTTGCTGAGCAGTACCAGAAAATGCAAGCTGAAATGAATGCGCCTCCTCAGGAAAACAAACCAATGGGGGAGATTCTGAGCAAAGCAGCGCCGAAAAATCAGGCCATTTCGGAAAAATATTCGAATTCAGGAAAACGAACTCGAAAGAGAGGGTGAAACGATCTCGAAAGAGAGGGTAAGGATATGGAACGCTGGAGTCGAATCTTCTGTGAAAAAGGTCAAATAGAGGTTCAAACCCGCCACTTGTCGTGTGAAAACATGTCTCATGTTTTGTGATTAACGGTTTGGTTGAATAATGTGGCGATACAATTAATCTGATGTTGGACATCTGTATCGAGCTCGACTCCGGGGTAACTGTGTGTGGTTGTTTTATTATGTTTTTCGCTAAACTAGCAAAATAATACAGCTGGTCCGACCCCGATACCAGGTATCTGCTAGTCTGTCAGCAAAGTGCATGCGTCTAATGCGGCGTTAGGATTTTCATTGAACCCAGTGAATTTTTTTTTTTTGAGAAGAGCACCTTGCACTTCGATCTATAGACTTGACAAGGAGAGGAGCAATTCTCATTTATACGAATAAAAACAATGATGGGTATGCTCTTGTTTCGAGCGTGAGAGTCCACTCCTCATGAGCAAGTTCACATCCAATCAAAACATTTCTGTCAACGCCATTTCGATAATGAACGGTACGAGTTGTCGGGACTCACACCGAATCAAATTTAGGTTGCTCAATCATCGAAGGTTGATTTCGGAGTTGAAAGCTCGAATGAATTTTCGGGGAGCAACAACAATTTGTACCGTTGTGTTATACCCAACATGACCTGATACCCCTGATTATTCTCGGCTTGAAATTGCCCTTAAGTCATTCCTACGCTTCATATACCCAAGCCACATTTCCACTAAGCTCATATTCATGATTGCAAGAATCAAGTTTCAGCCCAGACAGACTGAAAGTCGTCCTTCACATTAAAACCATTCTATTAAAGTTCACTACAGACGTTAAAGTTTGTTTTCCCCGTCGGCGAACATGTCTGGCTGTTGATTCAGACAACACTTTTGCCTCTTGAAAATTGACCGAGGTACATCTGTCAGCCATGGCTCTGCACCAGTACTTCAAGCCAAGTCTATGGAGCAAGACTAATACTCTTGCTCGAAAATTCTAAGCAAGGCGGTTTTGTTCACGTACCTTGCCGTCCAAATTCCAGGCCTGGTTCGGAGCCTCGACTTTGCGTCCCACATCTCGCAGCCTCCGAGCTACGCGTTATGCCAACACAAGCAACTTGGGCCAGATTCAAACCCCATTTTGAGGGCTTTTCGGATTTTGGAATGTAGATTGGACTTCTTCAGTCTTGATGGCGAACTTCGTGCAAGCCAAGAACGAAGAAGCGTTGCACCATGCAAGTGGTCTCCCCGGGCATGGAATCATACTGTATTGGTCATTTTCCCCGGAAAGTCCCAGGAATGATCGTGTCTTGTAACCCATCAATAGGTCAATACCGCCGGCAATGTCGAACAAATGCCTAAGGCATGGGGCCAAAATTAAGTGGGCCGGCGGCCCTGTGGTTTGCACAGGGTCACCGTGGAACCGGTGTATTGGCACATTCCACCAGAAGCGGCAAAACCGCCAAAAGCTTCCACGCTGGGTAAGCGGAACCGCCCAAGACTGCATGGCCCCAGAAACGGCAAAAGAGCCTTGTTTGAAACCTCCCGCTCTCTGGAAGCCCGCTGTATGCGGCAGTCCAATGCGGCGAATAGCACACAAATGCTCGAGTGAAAGCGGCGTTTTGGCCTCGGTCACAATGCCAGCCAGGGAAGATGGGCCCGTGCCTTGCGGGGGACGCCGCTAGGAAGGGCCCCTGGCGGGTTCTCCCACAGGGAACCATACCAGCAGGCCATGGCGCGCTGCAGGCGGCCGCAGCCATGCCGGGCTCACACTTTCACGTTGAGCCTGGCCCCCACGAGGAGGTATCGGCACACGCCCCACGACACGGTGCCCGCCACGGCAAAACAGCCGCAGAACACCGTGAAGTTGCGGTAGCTCGCCACGGAGCTGTCGTCGATGATGGCCGAGCCCACGGGAATGCCAAAGAGAATGCCCGTGCTGCTGAACGTGTACATGAGCCCGTAGCAGCGGCCAAACACGGCGACCGGCGTGAACAGCCCCAAGCACACGGGCGTGAGGCTCAAGATGGACGAGCTGCAGAAGCCGAAAAACGCCGCGAAGCCCCAGAGCGCCGCGGAGCCGCCGCCGGGGAGCCACACCGCGAAGATCGACACGCAGAAGCCCGAGAGCATCACCACCATGGTGTTCACGCTGCCGTAGCGGTCGGCCATGAGGCCCAGGAGGTACCTGCCCGGGATGCCCGCGGCGTTCAAGAGCGTCAAGAGAAGCAAGGAGTGCTTCTCGCTGAAGCCGTGCGCGAGGGCGTACGACGCCAAGTACGTGACCACGCTGAGAAGCGCGATCTCCGTGAGAAACACGCCCGCCACGAGCGCCGCGAACCGCGGTTCGCGGAACGCGCTCACGTCGAGGTGCCGGCGCATAGATGCGGCGAGCCGGCGCGTCTTGGACGCGGCCTGCTCCGGGGGGCTGTGTGTGCGCAGCGTGAAGCGCAGCTCCACGAGAAACACGGACGCGGCCAGGAGGCACACGGCCACGGCGCCCACCACGCGGATGGCCCACGCGTAGCCGACGGACCCGTACAAGGCCTGGAGCACGAGCGGCCAGATGGTGCCGCCCACGGACCCGCCCAAGCTGGCGAGCCCCAAGGCCTTGCCGCGGTGCACCAAGAACCAGTGGCTCAACAGCGACACGAGCGGCGGGATGGCCAACGCGTGCGCCGTGCCCAAGCACAAGGAGAGCGAGAAAAGAAACGCCACGATCAGCAGGCTGAAGCTCAACGCGAGGAAGCCCGCGAAAAGCAACGCGGTGGACGCCGCGAGGAGCTGCTTGCTGCCGCGCCGGTCGAACACGGGCCCCACGAGCGCGCCCAAGAAGAACGGGAGGCACATGTAGATGGAGAACACCCACGACACGGACGACACCGCTTCGCCGGCAAGCTGGTGCGACGACACGTACGCCTGCACCGCGCCCACGGCGTTGAGGATGCCGAAGTGCACCATGAGCCCGAGGTGCGACCCGAGCACCACCAGGTACGCTTTCCAGCCGCCCTCGGGGTAGCTGTCTGTGGCGCCCGGGTCTAGCGCTGGGGAGTCCGAGAAGTCCGCCGAGAGCTCGGAATGGCGCCCGCCGCGCGGGCCGCTTGTGTTTGTGTCACTTCCGCTTGTGTTTGTGTCATTTCCGCTTGTGTTTGTGTCATTTCCACGTGTGTTTGTGTCATTTCCACGTGTTTTGGTCGTGGATCCGTGGCCCGTGCTGCGAAGCTCGATTGAATCGGAGGCCATTATAGGATACCGGAGAGAGCCTGGACAGTGAGTCGGTGGCGAGTCCAGAAACGGGTTGATCGGCGGGTCACTTTATTTCGAATACGTACGATTACGTGCTTTCTGCTGCGCTGTTTGCTGTACGCCAGAGCAGCGGGTAAAAAGAGGATGAAGGTTGAAGAAGCACCCGGCCTCATCTGAGTCACGCCGCAACCTGGGCTATATGCAGGACGGGGGGTTTTTAGGCCGCCGCCTCTGGGCCTTGCTCGTTCTAAGGGTGTGGCTGAGGGCCCCCGTGGACTTGGTTGTGTACTGGTTAGCGGTAGAGCAAAGCATGTATATGGGGAACTTGAAGCCAAGGTAGAGAGGCTCGTTGCGCCTGCGCAGATAAGCGCGGTGCATGGGTTTGCCATGAGCGAGATGTATTAGCAGACTGATCGGGACTCAAGCCCCAACGGAAGTGATTCGATCTAGGGGACAGGAGGGTTATGATTGGATAAGCTACATGTTTTACTTTTTTAATCTTGTTTCTTCTAGTTTTTTTATGATTTCTTGGTGATATTGAACTGCCATACTCTTCTGTCTGACTCACCGAGAAATGCGGCTCGGGGACTATTCACTTTTCATTCTTGTGCTACTTGGGCCAGGCTGATCGTCCTGGTTGACTGAAAGTATTTCAGAATTTGTGGCGTTTCTGAGGCTGGCTTTCCCAGAGGCAAAATTCGGGGCGTAGGCCGTTAAGTCTTTTCTCTGGTTAGCCATGGGACAGTGCACTGGGCGAAATCAGGATCAATCATAAAGCACATGTGAAACATCCACCTGTTTTTGGATCCTCTGAGTACCGGAGTATTTCTGAAAGACGCAGGTACTCTGAACTGCTGAAAACCCCACCCTTTGCGCACCCAGTCAATGGCTCTCAAACCGTATGTCGTGAGTGTAAATGAGCAAAGGGTAACGTGTGTAGATGCCATCTTTCAAAACCTCCGTCTTTTGAAAAGTGGCAGGATTTCAGAAACCTCCACTTCAACAAAAACAGCTTTTAGTCGCGGAATTGACAATGTTGTACTGTGTTTTCTGGCATTGTGCAAGGTTTATTGCGCAAGGACTCGACACAATTGCACAGTATTATGGTTGGGTCAGAAGTGGCTGGACTCGAATAAAAAAAGAACCAGAAAATAGCTTCCCCTCTGGAATGTATTGTTCTTCTCAACGAAGCTCTGGGAAACGGTCACAATTCCAAGAGACTGTGCTACTAATTCGTGTTCAGTACAGCATATCGAATGAAGCTTTCTTTCATTTTTAAAAAGACAGTTTACTCTACTTTGCTTTCCATGTGAAGACCCAAGATGTTCAATTATGTGCTTGTGGCCACAAGTACTTTCATATTACTCATAACCCACAAGTCTTGATCAAGCTATAATTCTTGAACCAGGACGTTCAGAATGCATTCATCAGTATGTCCACAGCAAGCTTCAATTTGAGTACTCATAATCACACATTCAGCCTGAAAAACGGCTGCATTTGTTTGTCATCTCCCAGATATCACGCTCAAGCTCTGGACCCTCTTGGGCCAATAGGCCCGTGTCCTCATTCAAATGCAGCTCCAAACAACAGCACCAATGAAGCTGGATCACCTCAAAGACAACGCGTATTTAAAGCAACAATAAGGGATTTTCAAGCACTAACGATGTTTCAGCCGAACGTATGTAATAACGTTGTTGGTTTAGCGGCAATACTGTCATGAGTACTGATTATTCCTGACTCGCTTTTAAAACGGTGCCTTGACAACCAATCTGCTGATCTGTTAGTTGTGAAGTCAAAGCCTGGATTGGTCGAGCTCCACTCTATCAAAAACACATTACACCTAGACTGCAGCGATTGAGTGTCTTTACAGCAACTTTGATTGCTAAGAAATTTTCATATATTCAATTCAAATTTAGTTTCTACTTTTAGCGCTTAAGTAGAAAACACGTACGATTTTTGAAAAGGATTGAGTTTGGGACCTTTTGTAAGCTATATTCTTAAATTTTATCTCGTAAGTGAGCAGGAGCAAATCAAGAAGCTGCGGAAGAGTTGACCACATTTCAAAAAGTATCAAGAACAATCAATGAGAGTTCAAAACATCTTTTGTGATAGGTTTCGACAAAACCTTACATTTATGGTCATGAAAATTGATAGCTGTGGAAATGACGCAAGCAATTTGAATCTCTCGATCACTAACATTTTGAAAATGTAAAAAACATTATTTTATTCCATTCATCTGATCTAGATTTTTCCCCACCCTGGTCCTGAGAGTTCCGCAGAAAATATTTCAGGCTATTAGTCCTCTCAGCTATACTTGAGTTTGCTGAAAAGTTGTTCCGTCCGTAAGTATACCTTTTTCTAGTTAAAGTTCAAATTTATCTGTTGTACAAATAGGTAGTATATCACTTATTGTTTTATATAAACACTAGCAAGGGCAAGGTAAGCAAAGGACAATAGCTTTTTTAGGGACAAGAAAAACTTTTCTAGCAAAGATTTTAGCGAACAAGGTACCATGTACATGGAAGAGCCGAGATATCACTCATTCCCGTACTTCATTTCAGTCTTGACATCAGCCCGGTAATCTGGCTTGGTGGCACTGGAGTATTTAGGATTGGACCAGCCATTCACATAATTAAAGTCAGTGTTGGCCCAGTGTGCGAAAGGATACGATGGTAATGTCTTGACTGGCGTGTTATCATCAATAAGTCCCTTGTCCTTCTGTGCCTGTATCAACGAATCCAAATAGTCCGAAATATGGTTTCTGATAAACTCAAAGTTCTTATACTTGATAATTTTTTCAGGCGCTTCGAAGATGATTTTCTTAAGAAGCGATGGCACATTGGGCTCATCCTTCATCTCCTCAATTGAGTAGAAAATTGGATGGTTTGTGAAGATGATGGCCTGTGACTTGGGCAACCGCCTCAACGTCTGTCTTTCGACACGCACGTTAAATTCTTTGGGGTCGGTCGACTTCATGTCTTCCTCTAAATTGGGCACAAACTTCGGCAACTGGTAGATGTTGTTGACCCTGAGCTTGTGGTCCCAGGTGATGTACCACGAGGCTCTTTCTACCGATGAGCTCGGCTCCAACCGCTCAAACCATCTTTCCATGGACTTTTTCAATTTCTCTTGGTAGTATGGCACGTCATCGTGAATCACATCAAGATGCTTCCCGATTTTCAGATCAATGCCAAAAGACCCGCCGGGAAAAGGCACAGCTGCAGCCACTAAGTAATGCATACCGTCCTTTGGGTTCTTGAGCACGACATAGAAGTCCTCCTTGGCCATTTTTGTGACAAAGAGTAGCGGGTGTTCCTTCAAAGGTAGAGTCATGTCCAAGATCTCCTTGGTCATTTCGTTGCGAACAATTTTTCCATTCTCCTTTTTATCAACCAAAACCGTAAAAAGCAAAGGATACCGGGCCACCATGTGGTCAGCAACGGTCTCCATCAATTCCTGGCACGCATCGTAGGCCTCAGGGAGCCAGTCGATATTCTCCTTCCCGTACTGGTGCCAGATACGCTTCTTTTCTTCGATATAGTGCCAGTAGTATTTATCCATGTCCAACCAATGGTTCACATCGAGTTTGTAGATGGACATGGTCTGATGGTACGGCCACCGGAAAGGTCTCCATGGTCTGTCGTCATAATTTTTCACCTGGTCAGGCGTGATCATGAGTGGTGTGGGTGTGGGCATTCCCTGAGGGAGTTTTGAATTTTCTTTTTTCCCCTCCGGTTTGGCTGTTTGGCCGATTTTTTTATGGAAATATTGCGGTGCTAATGATGAAAGAGCTGTGAGCAAGAGAATAACCGCACCAAGCGGGATGTAAAGCGAGTCTGGGAACAGCACAAGAGTGCTTTCCCAGTTCAGGGTAGCATTGATAAACGTCTCTTCCATTTTGTGAAGCCTTCCTGAAAAAGAACTGAATACCTTGCTCAGTCCTCGTTTTGCACGGCGCGCAAGCTTTGTGTTTTTGGCTTGTTGACCTCTGCCAGTCGGAATTCAAAGTATAGCCTTCTCGTAAGCTGGAAACGAATAGCACGCAGGACCCTACGGCTGCTGTTTGTATCAATAATTCTTTGTATGACAATGCCTGTGCGCTTGCCAAGTAAGATGGAGTTTTCTTTGAGCTTGAAGGTATCTCCTAAAGGCGGGATTCGAAGTACCAGTAAGGAGTTCACGTGGTGCGGATATATCGCCTGGGCCTGTTGATGGTCCGTGAAGATGTAGAATTTAGGTATGTCTTTTTCAGTTGTGCTAGCTATGGTTTTCTTCTTCTTGGATTTAAGCATTTTGCAATCTCCTTGTGTTGGTTTTGTCCAGAGATAAAGGGAAACCATGCCTGTGAATGGGTGCGAAAAACCGACTGTGGATGTGCACATAGGGCTGGGCTTATCGGGCACTGCGGCTTTTCCTGATTCAGGTTAAGATATGCGAAAGCCCCGGGATCAGCCACAGCAAACATTCTAATTGTGGGTCCTGTGGATCTGTGTTGGATACAATTTGGAGCAGCCGAGGGTGCTCTGATTACCCAAGTTGAGTGGGAGGTTTCATGCACGTGATTCGGCCTGCCCCCGGTTTTCACTGGATGGTATCTTGCGTGATAAATTTAGAGAGCTCTCTTTGGCAAAACCATAGATCTTTCTAAAATCTAACACTTTAAGTACCTTGTGGAAACGAATGTCTTTTATAAATTAGAGAGCTGAAAAAATGAGAGAGAGATCTTGTTATTGAACAACTGAGTGTATATGTAATTGATCTGGTGTACATGAATACATGGACCATTAGGAATTTCGTTGGAGGTGCCGACGGGACAAATTCTCGTGTTTCACAAAGCTCCCATCTAAGGTATAGTACGATCACAAGGAGAGGATATTTTCAGGGTTTTAGAAGATCGTGATCATCAGCTTTGGTTTCAAGATGCTTCAAACTGTATCAAACCGACCCTGAATATTAGGAGATACTCTGAAAGTCAGATCATATCCACACAGTCCATTTATATACAGTCAAATTACAACAATGATGCTATTTGGTGTGCTCCTAAAGAATATCACATTACTTGTTGAAACAATGCTTAGCCAATTTAGTTGCGAAACTCGGCGAAGTCCGCGGATCTTGAATGCTGAAGCTTGAATTGAGTGACTTTTGTCGGGCAGCAAATTGGGAGTGACTCAAGATTCGAGTCTTTTGATTTCTAAACCCTTGCAAGCGATTATTTAAAATCCATTGAGATCCCATCATTCAATGTGCTAGTGCACTCTTGAACTTTCCTGAGCACAGCGATTGGGATTTTTTGCGCAAGATCTGGAGACAGATTGGATTGGGATAAATAAAAGAAGCGAATGAAATGATTAGTTATGATCCATGAAAAATCTTTTCTGTACGGTCTCTGGTATCATCTTAACGCTGATGGCTGTATAAGCCTGAGGCTCAGACTGTAAGGTAAATTCTTCTTTTTCGGTCTCACTAGTTCATGAATCCAGTGGAGGATTCCCCGATGCTCTTGTTCAACGTACGTTGTAGGCACGTCGCAACAGACGACTAGGCAAATCTTTGGTTGCAGATTTCTTCGATGGCACTTCTTGACCAAATAGTCTTTTTCACGCATTCGTATCCGATCTGACTTTTGGAAAGCCTGCAAATCTCAATCTCTTTTGCTCTCTTCCAACTGCACTCAATGATCATTGCATTTATTTTTGCATGTATTCTTGGCATTACAATAAAGATTTGCAAGAAACAATGAATCTCGCAAGATACATACATTAGCATAAGGAAAATTGGCACTCATTCAAAACAGTCGTTGCAGACTCCTTGCAAGAACATGCCTTCTGAAACTCCAGATCAACACCTACAAAAAAACATGTGATTGATCTTCAACTATGGTAAAACAATAAAATTTGTGTCTTTCATGAGCCATCCACCCCTATTTGCGTGACGAAGAAGGTGAAACACGGTGTGTCTGATTGAGATATACAAATAACTTCAACAATGCCGATTCCAACCATTTCTCGAACCGACAATGTTCTTATACCTGCGCTAAGTTTCGTACACGAGCAAAACGAGATATTCACATTCAGAAATTTCGACGGCTTATTGCGGGCGGATAGTGTCGCAATATCGCAGACATGCATCTATTTCTCTTATTCTTACCTTAATCCACGCGGTGCTGGCGAGCCCGCACAATTAAAAGAATGTCAATTTTATCAAAGCGAACAAAAAATCACAGATGCTATTGAGCATTCCATACTTAGACTAATTGCTGGTGATGATTTTAGTATTGAGCGGCAATAATATGTCTCAGCAATTTTATGTTTCACGTTTATTGTTTGGAAACAGTTGCGCAGTGCGAACGCACGGTATTTCTTCCCGAACATGTCCCATTGTTCAAAATTTCCAGATGCACATTTATCCAGATCCCAAATTGAATTACGAGTAAACAAGTAAATACAAAAAAGTCACACAGAGATTTGATTCATCATTCCATGGTGCACTCACTTGACCGACACCGTCATGAAGTGCTGTTATTAAACTCCACCCTTAAGTAAGTCTTGAAAGCTACAAAACGCCTCTTTTTTCTGGTTGCTTTATCGGAAAGAACCAGATTTAACGACATTCTTATTCGGACTTCACGCATTGGTCTACTCGCCTGCCCAAGTTTTGAAGTTCAAGTCACAATTAGACAACATCACCGAACCGACCTTCCCACGGCCAGATCTTCATACAACAATGTTACCCCAGTAGTTCAAGCTTACCTTAGCCGCCAGCACTCAAGGCCGCCTACAGACAGAGCCGAGTCCAGGTTTCTTCCTCCCGCAGTCAGTAAAAAGCCCTGTCCCGCAAAACAAAGACAAACATCTACAGCGAAATTTCATAAAATGTACATTTTTGATGATGTAGGGCCTCGAGACGAGACCTGTGGGAGAGGCACATTAACCCCGGATTCGACCCGGTGACTGCTCCCCATTGCAGAGGAAACAGCACACCAGTCTGATTAAACACTATAAAAGATGAAAGACTCCAAGAAGGAAGCACAACAGTGCACCCCGCTTACAATCTTCTACCTCTTCTACCACCCTTTCTTCTGGTGGAGTCCGAAGGAACTGGGGTGACGTCCTCGATTCTGCCGATTCTGAGGCCGGATCTGGCCAAGGCTCTCAAGGCAGCTTGACCACCTGGACCTGGGGTCTTGGTCTTGGTTCCACCGGTGGCTCTCAACTTGACGTGGACAGCAGTGATGCCAACCTCCTTGCACTTCTCAGCGACATCTTGGGCAGCCAACATAGCGGCGTATGGAGAAGACTCATCTCTGTCAGCCTTGACCTTCATACCACCGGTGACTCTGCAGATGGTTTCCCTTCCGGAGAGATCGGTCACGTGGACGAAGGTATCGTTGAACGAGGCGAAGATACGGGCAACACCGAAGACAAGAGAACGGTCTGGACTGGTTAGTATAATGGCACAAAGAAGGGGGTTTGTAGGGCCTGGGAACTGGGTAGAGCATGGAAACGGCGGTATCTTTTTTGGTGAAGATTGGCTGGCTTTGCTTAGCAAGCACAGGTGGGCAAACCGAGCCAAAAAAAACCTTTTGGAGGCGTTTTGGCTGCCACTCTGTTTGAGTTCATATGGATATGGCCCTGGTTTAATACAGGCAGCGTAAAACAGCCAAAAATGGGCCGTTTCGCTCGGATTTTTCACACATCGGCGTGGAAACGGGGTCTCAAGCGCCCGGCACCGGTTCCGTGGGGGTTGCTGGCAACATACCGGTAGACATGTTTACGGATGAAAGTTGTGGGTGGAGAGTGTGCCGTGAAGAGGATCGAGAATTTTTTCTCACCAGAGTCGCGGCGCATCCTGGACACCGGCGGGAGTGCACACAGACAGCTGCTTGGGCGCGTGCGCATTAGGGCTTCAGCCCTACTGTCTGTCGGAGTCCTGGGGAAGAACCCGCTGGATACCGAATGACGCAGGATTGCCAGGGCTAGTAAAATAAAATTCGCCTGTTACAGAGGAGACGGATATTTTGGAGCCAGGCGTTGCAGATTCTGGGTGGTTCCCACGACATGGCTCTATGCGGAAGCTCGCGCACGGCAATAACCAGTCTAGCGGACGTCTGTTTGTTTGAACCCGCCGCTTTGAAACATGAGCAGAATGAACATGAAAGCCGCTGTTCTGAGCAGACGCAAGCAAGCACAGGCCGGCTTTGCTTTCGGCTCACTTAAATGTATCAGTGGGCAGTGGGTGCAAAAGTACGGGCGGCGATGCACCCGTGCACCAGCCATAATCACTGGGTAGTGGCAAGCAGGCTCTTCTATAGAGGCACCAAACATTAGTTCGATGCTAGGGGAACGCCGTTTTCGGGCGGCGGCCTACTCTGGTTTGCATGAAGCTGCAATGAGATTGTTGCAGAATTGCGCTGATGGTATTATTGTGCAATGTGTAAGGGTTAATATCGCGCTGTATAGCACTGCTATTGCATCGTATACTGTTAATGTCGTGCTGTATTGCATTACTATTGCATTGTATGCTGGGAATACTGCGCTGTGTTGCGCTACTTACGCATTGTATGAATGGCAATACTGCGCTGTATTGCACTACTATTGCATAGTATGACTGTTAGTAATGCGCTGATAGTACTGTTAATGCTGCACTGTTAATATTGCCCTGTCGAACTGTTAATATCGCGTTGTATAGCACTGCTCAAAATGCACTGTATGGCACTACTATTGCATTATATGACTGTAGATACTGCGCTTGATTGCTCTACTGCTGCAATCTACATCACTGCCGCAAAATGACCGAGAAGCTCTGCTACAACTACGCCATTGCACTGCTACTGTCGCACTGTTATTATCGCACTGTTATTATCGCACTGTATTGCTCTGTTACTATGTTCTTCCTCTATACAGAAACACGCCTAGTAGACGAAACCCAAGATCTTACCGGAAACGTGCTTTCTTCTGGCCTCCTCGTGGTCCATGATACCAGCAGAGGTGGTCAAGATGACGTAACCGAATTGTCTGGCAGGCAACAAGTTGTCGGTCCATCTCTCGATGTCGCCGATCTTGACGTTGAATCTTGGGGAAATGACACCACACTTGTTCAATCTACCGGTCAATTGCACCACGATCTTTCCGGATCTGTGGTCGTCGACGTACTCGAACTCACCAATGTAGCCGTGCTTTTGCATGACCTGCAAGAACTTGATGATGACCTTGGAAGAGGGTCTGATCAAGACCTGTCTCTTGCCGGTCTTCTCGGCGTTGTTGATAGCGTTAAGGGCGTCAGCGAGAACGGAGGTTCTGGTCATGTTGTCTGGTGTGGGTAAAAAAAGAAAAAGCCGAGGGTTCAGACATGTCTTTTTTTTCACCCAGCACCGCGGCCGGGGGCCGCCGCACCCGTACACCAGCTTATATCGGGCTGTTCCACCACCGCAGGAAAAACAGCGGATTCTGCCGCTTTTGCAGTTTTGGGAGCATAGCGCCCATAGCGCCAGGCCACTGGTTTCGGGGCTCTCTTTAAAATTTTCAGGCCTGGTCTGCTCGCTATTCTGGGCGGGGCAGAAATATCCAGAGGGCCATCTCAAGAGAGCACACCCGTGCCTCCGGGCATCCAAAAAGCAGTCACACGCGGCCTATGCCCATGGCCCGGCAGCAGTGAGCGCCGCATGCAGGATGGACGGTGTCGGTGAGAGAGTGCGCTCGGTGGTGGAGCCGGCGGGCCTGCACACAGGCACTCGCCAGCAGCCCGAGCATCCCAGGCAGCGAAAAAAAAAGTTTTCCTTCTGGCTTTGATCTTTTTGAATACTCACCAAACTAAGATGCCCGTATGTACTGACGCAGTCCCTCGCCCACTTCCGAAGCAGCTCTCGTGACTGAACACATGGACAGAGTGCCCGTTTTTCCAGGCTCGCTGGGCCCATTTTGGACCGCTACGTGGGCACCAAAAGCCCATAGTTAAGAGTTGAGGGCTGGTGGATTTTCATACCCCTGTAGTGAATCCTCCCCAATCGTCTCAGCTCCTTTTTGGTGTGATCGGGACACCCACCAGCGGCGCCGTTTAATTCGGTCTTTCGGCGGTTTCAGAAAGCGGCTCGTTTGTTGACTTGCCTCATGACAGAACCCCATACTAACTATTTGCAGGCTAACAAGAGTTTCAAGGTCAAGCAAAAGTTGGCTAAGGCCTCCAAGCAAAACAGACCATTGCCTCAATGGATCAGATTGAAGACTGACAACACGATCAGATACAACGCCAAGAGAAGACACTGGAGAAGAACCAAGTTGGGTGTCTAAGCGCATAATTGTGCCGGGCCTCTTTCATGTACTTTGTATAGCAATACACCTGATCATATAATAGTGTGTGTGGCAGCATGGCTGCTGTATCTTGTAGTCTATAGCCTTGGCGACACGGGCTCTGGATTCTGCTTTTGACTTTACCGTAGACTTCCTCTGGTTTTAGTTTGCTGTTCATATTCGAGCTCTCACCGACACTTGCACCAAGCACCGGAAAGCCGCAGATCATATTTGGGGCCCGGTATTTACATGTGCTCTGGAGGCCAATTCCCCGATTGGCGCAAATTGACCGTGGGCCTCAAACACGCGTGTTTCCTAGTAGTGTCTTGTTTCTCAAGGCGCGTCTATCTCGCCGCTAGGCCTCTTTGGCTTTCAGGCACACTGTTCCAGACGATGTGGTTTTTCTGATCTTGATTAAATGTCCTGGATTAGTTTAGCTTTCTTGGAAGGAAAGCCTCGCCAGGGCAGAGGTCCTCGTGTTTGCATACTTCGTCCGCCTCTAGTAGACAGAGCTTAGATATCACGGTTTTCCCGGATATTCCTTCTGATTGTCGATTGCGCTTCTGGCCCTCCCCCTGGATCCCCTCCCCCCAGACAACTACATCAGCAGTCAGTAAATACCATTTATTATCATTGCCGTCTTGCCGGCCCTGCTCTCCTAGTGCATCCCAGATTTTTGCTCTGCTCCATGAATGATTCGCCCATGAGATATCCCGTTGCCCATCAGCAGACGGAAATCCCCCACGCACAAGCTCCAATGTCTACACCACGGCCGTGTCCACGGCCCGCCCGCATCAGAACATCGGTACTCTAGAAACGAATTATACACCGGACAGCGCCACAGGCCCAACCTAGACCTCCTCCTCGAACACCGTCTCGATGGGCTTCTCCATGAACGACGCATGCGACAAGACCGACACGGCCGACGAACCGATCAACCACATCATGGTGGAAATGGGGCTCGCCAAAAAGCCCAAAGGCACCGCCACAATCAACAACCCCGTGTAGAGCTGCGACGTCGTGAAGCGGCCCACGGGCAACACCAAGTCGTCGCCGTCCAACTTGCTGATCCCGAAAATACCGCCGCACACGAACAAAATCACAAACAACAACAACAAGTTCGTCACAAGCGCGTACACGGACAACACGGACACAATGGCGATGTAGTTGGCCTGGAAGTAGCCCAAATTGTACCCGACCCTGCTCTGGATCTCGCCCAAGTTGGCGGGTTTGGAAAGGCGCCGGTAGTCCAAGAACTCCTGCGGCGGCCTGACTTTGGAGAGCGTCGTCTGGAGTGAGCTGACGTCCGACTTGATGCGGTCGAGCGACAAGCGGTCAGAAAGCTGGCCGAGCTGAATGGTTAGTATCGGAAAGCCAAGGTTTCGAACCATGGTTCTGGCGGCTGCCACAAGGGGGCACGAAATCTGGCGAGGCACGTACTGAAAGGTTGGCGAGGGAAAGCGACATATCGGTAAAATCGGGTGTTTTGGAGCGTCTGGTGTTTGATTTTTCTGATGGCACACGGACCTTTTCTCTTAGTGAAGCAGGCCAGAACGGCCAGCACGATTGTATTCCGCGGCCGCGCCTGCAGGCAACACGCGGCCTCCCAATATTTTTTTTAAGCCCGCCGCGCCAGGCTGTGTGGCTCAGGCTTGCTGATCAGACGTGCCCTAATATGCCGGCGTCACAGTGCCGAAACTAGGACTGTTGAGTAGGGCGTCGTCTGGATTCTCATATTTCCATTGCAGTGGTCGATGATTGTAGCCTGTTTCCGATGTTGTTGTTTTGTAGTTGTGGTGGGTTTCGATTCTAATCGTGTCGACTGTGTTGTTCGGTTGTGATGTTTGCGCTGTGGTCACCTCGATGATAACGTGATTTCCAACAGGCACGGCTTCTGCTGCTTCCGAGGGCAGCAAACAAGCCTGGATGTCGTTGTCTTGTATTCATGCTTTGTTCTTTATTTGCGAGGAGACGACTGCGTGTCGATCTGTAGTAGTATATTGCCGCAGCAGTTGGCCGACCGCATCTCACTCAGGCCCAAAACCGCTGGACATCAACTCATACGGCCCCATGGCTCGCCTCTCGCCTTCCCCTCGTCCCGTGTATCCCCAAGGCATGCCACCGCAGTACCTATTACTGACGTCCGATGTGCGCGCTCAGGCCAAACCCAAGTCTTTTCTCACCATGGCTTGACAGATCGGGTGATACGTCAGCTCGAACTTCTTGAAGTAGCGGATAGCAAGTTCCCTGTCCACGCCCCTGAGGAGAACGTATCCAGGCCGGACAAACTTCATTCTTCCCACTGAGCCAAGCCACTCTCCAAGCTTGTCATAGTACTCGATGTTGTGGCCACCCACTTGCACAACAAACCACCGGAAGAGAACCTCGGCATTCGACGAATCTGAATACGCTGGGTAAATGTCTCCCAAGGCCCTGACGGCAGCAGGGTGATCTTTCCACTTGAAGTCGTCGCGCTTGTTGAACGAGTCAAGCGTTTCCAAAAACACGACCGACTGGTTGGCCGTGAAGGACTCAATGTCCAGCGCTTTGAACTGGCTGTGGAAGCCTGCGCCCGTTTTTGCGGCAGTGAACCACTTGTTGGCAAGCTCGTAGCACTGGTCGACCATGGAGGTGTCGAAACCCGGGTTCACCGGGGGCATACCTGGCTCGTACAACCACGTGTGCCAGTCAATTTCGTCCAACTTCGCCTTTTGGTCGGGGAAGTACTCGTACAAGGTGTCAAGGAATTGGTACGTGTCCAAGGACTTGAACTTGAACTTGGTGAAGTAGTGGTTGATGAACCCGTCGAATGCTTTAATGCCAACGGTTTTCTCGATGTGGAACAACAAGTTGAACCCCTTCTCATACGGCACAGTTGAGAACGCATCATCCGGGTCGCCCCTGTCCTTCTGGTTCTGGACCAATGTGGAGTACCGCGTGGCAGAGTCACCCATTGCGCGGATGGAGTTTTCCAAGTCGCTCCATCCGATGATGGCGCCAAAATGTCTGAAGGATTCGCCGTGGATAGAGCCCTGGATTCTTCTCTCCAAGTACACGGTCCAGCCCTCGTTGAGCCAGAAGTGCTCCCAGGAGCAGTTTGTGACCAAGTTTCCGGACCACGAGTGTGCAAGTTCATGTGCAATGACGTCGACGTTCTGCCTGTCTCCACTGATCAAAGTGGGCGTGACGAAAGTGGCGTTGGGGTTCTCCATGCCGCCGTAGGGGAAACTCAGGGGCAACACAAGTGCGTCATACTGGTCCCATGGGTACTTGTATACCAATTTCTCGGCGGCCTGCAAGAAATGCTCCATGTCCTCCTCGAACTCGTGCTGGCAAGCCTTGACTTTGGAAGGCTCTGAGTACACGTGAGATCTGGGTCCGATGGGCAATTTGGTGATGTCTCCGGAAGCCAAGGCCACTAGGTACGATGGAATGGGGATCGGCTGGTAAAAGCGGTACACGTTGCCCTCCACGGATTTGGGCCGACCGCTCATCAAAGTGGGGAGCGGAGACGTGGCCTCGAAGTCGTACTCGGTCTTGACCGACGGGGTGTCGAAACACGGAAACAAGCTTCTGGCGTGGATGGCCTGGCACTGCGAAAACAAGTACGGAGAGGTCTTGCCGTCGGTCGCCTCTTTCTCCAAAAACTGCAACGCCGTGCACTGGCTGGTGGTTTCGAAGTCGATCTGCAACTCGACGCTGGTGCTGCCGTCAAGCTCGACGGTCAACGGCGTGCCCAAAAACTTGGACTTCTCACCGAAAGCAAACTTCGCTGAGGCACCGTTGACGCGGGCCGCAGAGACCAGCAAGAAAGAGGTATCCAATGTGGCGGTGGTAACGTGGGTCAAGTTCTGAAGCGTGTACAGCACTGTGCCGCTGACGGCTTTCTTATCGAAATCGACATTGAAAGCCAACCTTGTGATCCCAAAAGAGAAGTCCCTGTAGTTGGATAACGTGGAGGGATCCACTTCCGGAGACGCGGATGGGCGGTGAGGGGCAACTGCCTTTTCCATGGTTTCTTTTGTTAGTGGCAGCAGAAAAAAGCAGGCTGAGGGGTTCTGCTCCATACAATATGGGATCCCAGTGCAAATGGTGTTTGTCTGGCTATATGCCGGGCCGTCCCCCAAGTGCCGTTTCTCAGTGGAGCCGCGCGGTGACAAGGCAAGCAGGAGCACCATACATCTGAAAATCAGCAAGACCAGCCAGTCACCAGCGTTAACAGCAGCAAAAATTTATGCGGGGTTGATCATGGTGTCTGTAAGAGTTGGTGCGCATTCCGATATTCTGCTTTCAAGTAGTATTTCTTGGGTGCTCTAGAGATATGCCAGACATAAAACTAGGCTCAGCCAGCGCATGCCCGGCGAATGCGGCTGGACTTGGGCCCGGCTTTTGGGCCGTGATTCTAGACCTGAATATAGATCCGCACCGGCAAACCTGTGGGCGTGCGCATACCAAATGTGCCGGGCCCTAAAACACAGCAGGCTGCGAAACGGGGCGGGCGGGAAACGGCTCCTATTTATACCGGCTGTTTTCATCCCGGCTTGTTTATCCCGGCCGCCCTCTGGAAATCACATGCCCATGCCCAGCACACCCAAGGGCTGCACGTGACACTTTTTTCCCCACCATCCCTTCGGATATTCGTGGGGTAAAGTCGAGTCCGACTGGCAGCAGGGGCTTCTAATCACAGACAAGGGCAGGGGCGCGTTACGTCTTGAGGAGAGGGCCACACACGTGACCTGCTGCTGAATGCACGTGACCGCCACGCTATCGCGTGCACGTGACCTCCACGCAACCGCGTGCTTGACTGACATCACAGGCTCTCTAATTTGACGAGACCAACTCTATTCCCCATTCAGCCAGACATAAACTAGCGCGTCGTTTTCAAGCACGCGGCCGCCTTTCCAGATTTTGCGCATTTATACCCGCATCTTTTTGCGCTTTTCTGTTCGCCTTGGCCGGAAACCCCAGTGCTGTTGACGGTCTCGCTTCAGCCACCTGTGGTCTGATTTGCACTTGCAACCATCCGAGGCCACACGTGACTCGGCCATCCTACATCCACTCGCCAGCAGAATGGCCCCAAATGGACATTCTGATGATGCCGCGAGGGGCGAGCACGTGTTCTCGCCGTTGCATCGACTCCAGGCCCATCTCTCACGAGACCGGCGCTCCTCGTCTGCCCAGACTCAGCCCCACCCCGTCGAATCCCCGCTGGACCGTGATCTCTCGGTTCGGAGGGGAAGCGAGGGCTTCGATAACGAGAGTGTGTACTCGTTTGACTCTGTTTCCACGAGTGGCAGGCTCCTTGACAGGCTTGACTTGGACTTGGATGACTATGCCGAGTCCGAGGGCAGTCTCCGCAGACGAGAATCTGCGGCTCTGATGCACAGTGCGGGCCGCTTCTGTGACCTCCCGTCAGACGAGCTGAATCCTGGGCTGTCTGTTGACTTGAGGCAGATTCCCATCCGAGCCAACTCAGCTCTAGGCTTGGACAGGGTCCGCTCGCTCAAAAGGCAACCCCCGGCACGAACACTTTCACAAAACAACAGATTACCCGTGCAAAGTGGGCCAGGAAACCTTGTTCAACCGAGGAAAAACAGCTCCTATGACTCTTTGCTGGTGGACATCGCTTCTCGCCAAAACTCTGTCTCGTCTTTAACAGACATAGCTCCGCCCAATGTGCAAAACATGCTTTCCAAACTGGGAACTCTGCGCTCACAACAAAAACTCCCCACATACTCTCCCATTCTTGAGTCAACTTCTGAGTTTTCCTCGCCAGGCCGGGCTGCATCCGCTGCGTTTCCACCAATCACTCACTCAAGATCCACTGAATCGCAACCCCTGGTGTCTCTCTCTGGGGAAAGGAAGATTTCTTTGTCGTCTGTGGACTCCAATAGTTCGAGAGAAAGCTCTGACCCCATTTTCAATGCAACCTACAAATTCGATCCTTCCATTGACGCCTCCACTAGAAACGCCCTTGTTATCAGCGCCCAAGGAAATCACCGCGAGGCCTCCTATCAGTTGCATACTCTTGCAAATTCCCCCTATAACTACCCAAAGGCTATGTACCTATATGCAAAAGCATTGAAAATAGGACAGGGAGTCAAGATCAACGAAGCCCACTGCATTAAATGGCTATGTCGCTGTATCTTGACATCCTACATTGCCGAGACTTCAGATCCCAGCTCGTCTACATTCACAAGCTATGTGTCCAAATTAGCGAACTTGCTGCCCGAAACGCTTCTTGACATCGTGAAGATAAATCTCGCGGGTGAAAATCATGATCCTTTTGAACTAATGAAAAGCTTTCAAAATCTCAGCCCCGCTGCCATCAACAAAATCCGCCAGCTAAATTCTAGTGACAAAAATGTTGTTGGTGGGGCATACTTTTTGCTCGGAGAATCCTTACTTAAGGGACAGGGTGTTGCGCAGAAAGACGAAACAACGGGGCGTTTCCTACTTGCGAAGTCTGCATCTTTGGCTTATGCCGATGCTATGGCGAATTTGGGGGAGCTTTGGTGTGTGAAAACCAAACAATACAAGAAGGACTATCACATGTCTTCTGCCTGGTTTCGGTTAGGTGTTTTTTTTGGCAAAGAAGATATCGGAAACAGTTGGATCTACAAAAGCAAATATTTGGAACAAAAGAAAAAGTGATCTCTTGTTTAATGTTCATTATTCGTCTTTCCCAGACTGGAGCAGGTACTTTGTGCCGCTTTTCACTTCAATATTGAAGACGTCGATAAATTCTCGCAAGCAGCCGTACAAAAAGGCGTACGCCTCACCGAGATCCGAATACGGGCCTAATGGAAGAAAGAACAGGTCAGTTGATGGCGAAATGCGTATCTCAGTCGGCTTGGTTATCGTTGATGATCTAGAGGACCACGTTTTTGGACAGACAGTCGAAGGCAGAGGACTATTCTTGAAGAACGATTGAGATTCGGCAAAGCATTCCTCCATTTTCCGATAATTTTGGATTTGTTGCTGTTGAATATCGATTGTTTTTTGCTTCTTTTCAGTGGAAGAATCTTCGTGTGATATCTCCTCGGCACTAGACAGAAGAAGCGCATTGGCACGTTTGAGAATCGTGGCTTTACACACAGCAAGTATCCCCACGAGAAAAGAAAGGCATGACTTTTTTCTATCCGAGACACTGTTTGTTTTGATGAAGCGCTCTATGCGATGAACAAAAGAAGGAATATCGGAATATAGATTGGACCATGCGTCCACGTTTGAACTGGTGGATTTTAGTTTGTTTGATCTTTCTGCGTCGCACGCTATGGCCGAGCAAAGGATCCAGTCGAATTGCGCAGCGATAGCTAGGAGAGGGTTTTCTTTGACCAGTTTTGTGTGGCGGGCCAAGAACTCTTTGTATGTTCCTGGCCAAAGCGTTTTTGCGGCACGTTCCTGCGTTCGCTTCAATCCAGAAATCGCCAAGCCATGCACTTCGTCCGGCAAAGTGTCCTGGCGTTCTTCGCGAAGGGGCTTTGAACGCTTAATTCTCTTATATGCTATCGCCTGGGGCCCGAAGCTTATTCGGAGCAAGAAGCGTGGCTTTTTTGGATCATCTAGTCTGTTTATCCAGCGAACCTTGCTGGTTTTCGGAGACTTCGGCTCATTACTAATCATAGAATTACCAGAGCTTGGCTTTTCGGGAAGAGGGTGAGCCAAGGCCTTGGAGTCCTGGGAGGAAGAGGTGTTCCGAAACAGGCTCGGAAGCGTGGGAGATAAAAGCGACAATGGGAGCGAGTCGGTGTCCACGTCGTCGTCGGAACCGGCGCCTTGCGCGCTGTTGACGGGATATGTTTCCTTGGCGGCAAAGCGAGGAGGTAATGTTGGAGAAAGTATGGGCGGCAAGTTGCCCGAGGCAGTGTAGTTGGAAAGCATATCGTCAAAGTTCCAGGTTGGCAGTGCAGTGGTCGACACCGGCATGACTATAGGCGACGACGCGCGAGGCCATTTTTTCGGGGGCTGTTTGCGTGTCTGGCGGTTGTGGCCTGCCAACCCCGGGTCCTGAAAAATGGCAGACTTCATGATGGTGCGCCTGGACAAAGGGTGAAATGTGGAGTTGTAAACAAGCTCGGGCCGAGAGTAGAACGGACGGAAGCAAGCTGGTGCGGGTTATATGCAGGACCATACTTGACTATCGGGTCTTTGGAAAGGAAGCCCGGGGTTTGGCAGGGACGGCAATACAGATTCCCGAATAGTGACGGGCTGAAGTCCTGTTGCGCTCTATCCAATGTCTGTTGTCCACCGTTGGTGAGTTGCTTGTGGTCACACTGAAAGAGAAGGATACGAAAATGTGCGCGACGTGCCATGGAACACGTGAAGGGCCTATTACTACTGGGCCACGCCGAAAACGAGCAGGCCTAGGGCCAGTGGTTTCAATGTTTCTTGAGATGCATTTACCAAGAAAGAAGTCCGTGGCGCAGTGGGTCCATGCCTGCGGAGCTCCACGCACTGTGTTGCGGATTTGGCAGCTTGCTGACACGGTTTCCGTTCTTGTGCATACCACGGACTGATGGGCGCAATTTACGAACAGCCAAGTGGGGCGGAGGTGGTGTTTTGGATTTGGCGTCACGCACCTGGCGCTATATTTCGGCGCCATGCGGCTGGCGTAGTCTGCAAAATCCGCACAGCCAGGGTTCGAAATAAGTTAGAGTCCCAGTGTTGCCGGGATGCCCTGCAATTGATTGGTGCCGCGAGTAACTGCAGTCGAAAGCACTGCCGAGCAAAGTCCAGCCAGCAGGCCAAACCACAAAAAAAAACTTGGCAACAGGCCAGTCTTATTTCCTGGGCCCGGTCCGGATATCAGACTGGCGCCGCCATCTCGTTGATCCTGTTTTTTCGCAAAACGCCATACCATCAGATTATTAGACGGGCCCCCGGCGCACCCGTCCATGCGCATGGCACTGTACTTCGCGAAAGCGCATCGGGAAACATACTTGCAATCGCGGACCCAGCAGTCTTCGTGAAATCCCAATAACCGCAGCGGAAAACATCTGCAGAATGTCGGGCACGTACAATGAAGTGCAGGTGAAAAAGCTAGGCCGGAAAAAACGGGCCAACTCCCAAAACCCAGCGCAGCCGAAGCCGGGTCTGAACTCGCTCCATGCGACCCACGGAACCCATGTGGAGCATGCTAAAAACCCGGGGCCTGGCGCATCGGAAAACACGCAAGGTGCATCATGGCCACCGCTGCTCCAGGATTTTGTGAACCGGTCGTTCGAGCAGTCCAACGCTCTTTCGGCGCCGCAAAAAGCGGTGTTTAACGAGCAGATCCAGACGCTCATCTACGCGGCGGCACGGGACAAGAAGATCTGGACCAACGACTGGATACGGCAGAAATTGCCTGTGTTCGACCCCGCCGTGCCGCTTGCATTGTACCAGGACGTGGTGGGCCCGGGGCTTGGCGCCCACCAAACCCCCGCCCCGCCCGGGTATGCGGAGCCTCATAACCAGCAGAAAAGACAGCACCCGCTTCCCGAAAAGCCGACGAATTTCGACTCCAATGAACGGAAGCGTCAGCGGGCGGCCCGGTTCCAGGCCCTGGCCAGCCTGCCGCATCCGGTGCAGCCTTCTCTGGCGCCCGCTGCCGGCAAGTCTGCGACTATAGTGGGGACCCTGACGGCGTTGGAAAAACGGTACCTTCGGCTCACTTCAGACCCCGATCCAGCCCTTGTGCGGTCCAAATTCATGCTAGGCAAATGCTTACTGTATGTTGTGGACAAGTACCGGTCCAGCGGGGCACTGTACGCGTACATCAACGACCAGATCAAGGCTATACGACAAGACATGACAGTGCAACACATCACGTCGGGACTAGCCGTGCGGGTGTACGAGACCCATGGGCGGATTGCCATCGAGAACAACGACTTGGGCGAGTTCAACCAGTGCCAGTCCCAGTTGAAGCACTTGTATGCACAGCGGTCGCATCAGAATTTCTACAAAAACACATACGAGTTCACCTGCTACAGAATCTTGTACTTGCTTCTCACCGGGAACTACGCCGACATCAACATCGCGCGGCTCGATATCATGGACGCCGATTCCGCAACCGTGGAGCTGGAGCTAGACCCCGAGTTCCGCATCCGTAGACAATGCGTATACAAGGCGTTGGAGCTTGCGGATCACGTGGTGTTGGGAAACTACCACCGGTTTTTTGCGTTATACAAATGGTTCAAGGGTCTTGGGTGCATGTCTGGCGCGTTCCATTTGCTCGATCAGTTCATGGCCAACAAGCAGCGTGTTCTCTCGTTGAAAATCATGTGCAAAGGCTTCAAGAAAGTCCCGCTTGCGTTGTTGGAATCCCAGCTCGCCATAGACTCGGCGCCGCAGTTCCTCGCCGAGTTTGGACTACATGCGTATGTTCTAGATCCAGACTTCGACTGCTCTTCCGCACGCGGGACGGTACAAGCGATCGTGGACCAGGGCAAGTTCAAGAAAGTGGACATCAAGGGCCAGGTCTGAGTGGCTCACGAAAAGACGTTCAGGCCATGGGTCAGAGCAAAACAAGCGGCCTATCAAAACGGCCAGGAGAAAGTGTCCATGGGGACAAGTTTACAGCTAGAAGCCTGCACCATGCTCATTCAATCATGCATTCACATAAACAGCTCTATTCTGCGCTCAGAGCCCAGGCGCTATGGCCATCATGGCAAAGTTGTTGCGCTGGCTCTCGTCGGTGATGTTGACGTAGAACTGGATCTTTTCCACGAGCTTGGCGTCGTCTAGAATATGCGATCCTTCCACACTCTCGCCGAGATCCACGGGCCCAGAGCGGCGCCCGTCCAACTCATACAAATGGTTGTCGTTGCCCTTGATATACGCAATAAAGTGAAACTCGACCTGATCCTCGGCTGGCGGGGCCTCTGTCTGGCCCTGAGACCCGTAGTTGGAGTCGAGCTGGATGGACTGCTCGAGCTGCTCCACTAATACCGCGGCCTCTTCCACCGGGGTATCGGTGTTGATTTGCAGAAGCAACATTTTGTTCAAGATCAGATCATGTACTACGAAGTTCAGGGGCAAATTACTTAAAAGGTGGAGCAACGCATAGAGCCCACAGCCATTGCCGATGGTCTGCTTATACCACGTGACTTCCTTGGAGTCGTTGGCCACAGCCGCATCCTGGTTCTTTCTGTACTCCTCGTACAGTTTTGTGATGGGAAAAAGCATCATGATCCCAAACACAGGCTGGGGCAAAAACGCCAACATGTCCGGGTCTGTGATTGAGTATACGTCGTGGAACAGGAGCACGGGCGAGAGGCCGATCTTGTGTGCAAGACCGTTGAAGATCTCCGGGTTGGATTCGAGCGGGATCACGCGTTTTGAGCCGGGCATACTTACGTCGATGAGAACAGATACGGATGGAAAGGAGAGAATGTTGCGGAGTTCTGGTGAAGCGAGGCCTCGTGTCTGGAGGTTGTCGCGCTTGTGTGCAGTGCGGACGCGGTTTAAGCCCGCTGGGGGCCCTGCACACTGCCGGGGTCTGGCCCGTTATATGCCGGCACATTGGTAATCCCCGGCCCTGCGGTCTCTGCACAAGCTCCACACCCAGATCTACCCCTCTGACATCGCAGGACATCGCACATCCGTTGACACTCGACTCAGAAGAGACAGAGGCACGTGACCAGACCTCGAACGGCATCTATTCCAGGCCAAGCGCATTATTGTGTGTTCTCACCTCAAGGCACTGTGCTCCGTTCTAAGTTCACGCCTACATTCGAAGCCCTCTGCATTCTAGGGGTCAGGCGAATATAAGGGGGATAAAGGTAAAGGGAACGAATATTAAGGGAACGAATAGTAAGGGGACGAATAGTAAGGGAACGAATATAAAGGAAGACGAATATAAAGGGGCAAACATAACAGAGACAATAGAAAAGAGGAAGATATAAAGGACCATGCACACACCTGCGTTTTGGGCGGTGGTGGTCCCGGCGGTCTCTGTCTTTTTTCTGTTGGGCCTTGCCTCCGTCGCCGTCGCAGTGCCCAAGTTCGATGCAAGTGGCCAGTACGTATGCGTGGTTTTCGGGTGCCAGTTTCTTGTGATGTTCTTCCGGATTGCGTGCGTTGTTCGCAAGGCGATACGCCAGTCCTCTCGTCTGAAAACGAAGTTGCCTGAACGCGCAGCTGCAGGTATGGGGGACAAGTTCTTGGTCCATCTCATGGAAGAATCCCTCAAGTTTTTGGTTGTGGCCGCTGCAGCCGTGTTTTTAGCGAACGAGCGTGCATCGGTAGCTTCGTATGCGCTTGTGGTGGCGGGCGTGTTTGCATGCAACAAGATCGTGGCCACGTTGGTCACGTTTTCGCCTGTTGGGTACGAACAGCGCTTTGGCAACTTCACGAGATCACGTGAAATCTTCGAGGCCCGTTTGGGCCGTGCCGGCGACAAGGCCTCGGTGGGCTCGGAAGGAGCCTGCCACGTTTCTGACAACGGGACCCTCGTCCTGCAGAGCAGCGGCGAGGTTGCCCAGCCGCCTTTCAAACTTGATCTTTTCGCTTCGAAAAGCGAGCCTCCGAACATGCCGATCCCGGGCTCCACGGACTATGCTTTGGCTCATCTGCGTATGATTGACCGCCTTTACTCCGTGTCCCCGAAGGATACCATGTACTATACATATGAGCATTTTCTGGGGTCTCCAGACGACGGCTGGGCTGGCCCTGCGGATGACGCGCCGGTGCAGGGATCTGCAAATGAGCCATTGTGCTATGCTGTCGCGGCTGGCCTGGCGTCCGAGGAAAAGCAGTCAGGCGTAATCAGTGCCGGCGGCCTGGATTCTGAAAATGCAAGCGGAGACACTGCCGGCGCTTTTCCTGTGAAAGAAAGCGCCCCCCATCTTCTGCGCCCCGCCACGCTGGCCACGGCCCCTTGCGTTATGGCGCATCCCGCTTTGCAGAACTCGTGGTGGGCGTGGCTTTTCCCGTGGTGCAACGAAGAGGATGGTGAGAAGTCGGCGGTCTGCGAAAGGGCTCTTCTCAGAAAGAAGCTCTCAGTTTACTCGTTCAACAGCAACGTCTCAGCATGCGACAAGCAGGCGAGCTGTTCTGCCGAGTGTGAGGCGTCTTCGCTCAGACTGCGCTGGTCGCAGGCTCTGTATGGAGCTGCGGACCTCGAAAGCCAGTGCTTGGGGCGCCGTGTGCCAAACTCACAGACGTTCTATGAGTATGCGCGGTTTGCCAACAATTACCTTGATTTCTGGTCGCCCAGTGTCCATGGGGTCATGCGGTGCATGGACCCGGCGTTCGTGAGATTTGGCGTTGCCATCCCGGATCTCCCCGCGTTCTATTTTATCTGCTACAGCGCTGGCGTTTTCATGTGGCAGGTATCCTCGACGCTCGTTCTTGCGATGCCGTTTCTCGGCCGCCACGGGCCGTGGTGGCTTGTCGCCTTGGCACTCGCGACGCTAGTCGTTGCAAAGTTGTTCTCCGTGAACTTCCTCCACGGGCAGTGCACGAGTTCGTACAAAGTGAGTATTTTTGCAGAGCTCGGCTTGAACGCTTTGTTGTACGGGTTGGCGTATGTGTGGTTCTATCTGTCGGTGTGGTCTTGGTAATGCATCATGTCACGCCTTTTGGCATATGCTTTGTAGTGCATTTCTCTTGGTACGTGTTTCTTGTTTCATGTTTCTTGATACGTTTCTCTTGATGCGTGTCTTTCAAGAAGTGTTTCTTCGTGCATGTTTCTTAGTATAAGTCTCTCGATTTGTCTCTTGATACAGTTATGTCTCAAAACATGACTCCTTGTATATGTCTCCAATCACATGTCTCTAATCACACGTCTCTTATTACGCGTCTCTTAATATATGGCTCTTATTACGCGTCTCTTAATACATGTCTCTCAATACGTGCCTCGTCTCCAATTAGACGTCTCTTGTTGCACTCTCAATACACAATACATGCCACTAATACATGCCTTCACTAATACATACCTTCTCTAATACACACCTTCACTAATACATGCCTTCACTAATACATGTCTTCACTAATACATGCCTTCTCTAGTACATGCCTTCACCACTTGTCTCTTCGAAAATGCCCCGCATCCGTCTCACTTATCCCCTTAATTGCCTTCACGCCCAAATCAATATGCTAAACCCCCACGTTCAAGACATAGCCATGCCTACTATATACTAATACAATACATCGTCGCGAAATGAAAAGGACACTGCCAAATCAGTCCAGCCCGGCACCTAGCACGCTGGCAAGGAAGCTCTCGTTTGTGAAAGTAAAGCCCTTCACATGCAAGACCTCGTCCGGAAGCCTGGAAACACCCGGGTCGTGGGCAGGAGGCGTGAACTGCATCGTGGTGAACTCCTCGTCAAAATTCTCCGCGAGAATGGGGTCCGTGATCACCGGGAGAATCGGCGGCAAAACGTCGCCCGCGCAGCCCTGCTCAATGACCTTCCAGTCGATGTGGCGGAAAAACCGGTGCTGCTTGAATTCCTCATAATCGACGTCCACGTCAAAGCGCTTGGCCGCACTTGGCTGGAGAAGCTTGCGGAGAAGATCCTTGGCGTCGTGCGAGAGGTAGAAGGGAAACTTCAAGTGCTTTTTCGAGTGCACGATCTTGTCCATGATTTTGTCGTTGGTGTGCCCCGTGAACGGCGGGCCGCCGGTGAGCATGTCGAAGGCCACGCAGCCAAGCGACCACCAGTCCACGCGGAAATCGTAGTCCTCGCCCTTGATGACCTCCGGCGCCATGTACTGTGCAGTGCCGATCATCAGGTGGTTGGCGTCCGCGTCGTCCGAGGAGAACTTGGAAAGCCCGAAATCCGTGAGCACCAAATGGCCGGCCGAGTTGAGCATGCAGTTTTCGGGCTTCAAGTCGCGGTAGATCACCTTGAGCGACGAGTGGAGGTACCGGAGCGCAAGCACGATCTGCGCTATGTAGAACGATGCGTCCTTTTCGCTGAGATAGCGCTGCTGCGCCAAGTGGTGGAAGATTTCTCCGCCGTCCAAGTACTCGAGAATCAAGTACACCTTGTTGTTGTCTTGGAATGCATAGTAGAGCTTGACCACGTTCGGGTGGTTGACCTTCTCGAGAATCGCCTTCTCGTTGATCGTGCGCTCGTAGTTTTTCTGGTGCACCTCGTTGGTTTCGTTTATCACCAACAGCGCTTTCTTCAACTGTTTCTGCGCAAACAAGCGCCCGGAGCTTTTTTCCCGCACAAGAAGCACCTTGCCATACGAGCCATGGCCCAACACCTTGATGGGCTCGAAATCCGCCAACTTGGGCCGGTGCCCGCTGGCCACGAGCGTCAGAGAAACAAACAGCTCGTGGATGTCAAGCTCGTACGAGGACGAATATTTGGACACGCTGCTGCGCCGCCGCGACCGCGACTGCGCCGGAACCGGCCGGGCTAGAAGCTCGGTCACCACGTCGCTATCGTTGGAGTCCTGGTCGGACGGTTCAGAGTCTGTCTTGGGGCAGGAAACTGGCTCTTCGAGATCGGCATGCTTGTCTTCTAGTAGCCTGTAGTTGAGGCTCGACACACCCGCAACCAACTCGGCTTCGTAGCCGTCCATGGGGAAGATTTCAGTCATCATGCATCGAGAAGTCCAGGTCAGTCGGGGTTTAGAGTGCGGCGGGCTTTATGGCGAAATTAATGGGACCAGGAACTTCTGCCATACGTTCGCCATGCTCGCTCATCCGATGGAATGGTCTGCAAGGCATGCGGCGTGCAGGATGCACGTGCGCTAAGCGAGACTCTCTCTTGGGTGCAACCTGAGATGAGTCCATGTGAGGTGCCATCTCTTCTGATGATTGTAAGATAAAGTATATGCATACACACAAACGCTGCCTCCGGCTGTGACTGACAAGCTGCGCATGCTGCCAAAGCAAAGCGGCCTCGGCAGCTCCAACAGTAAACCTCACGCCGGCCGGAAATGGAATTAAGTAGCCAATAGAGAACGTGCTAATTACACAGAGTACTAGGGCCCAGCGGATCTGTCAACGCTGAAAGCGCATATTTGCTGGAGCAGTAGCCCGCTAAGCCTCTGGTATTTTCTTCTCGTCCTGGGGTCTCCTGTCCGCCTTCAACCGTGCCTCTATGTATATCTTCAGACGCGCCAGAATATACTCCATGATGAAGTCCTCGAGAAAATTGCTAACGTTGTCGGAGCCAAGCTCCACGGTAGGCAAGGACCTATCGGGAAACACCAAGAAACACTGCAAGTCATCTGGCTGCAAGCAGTAGCGGACATTGAGCTTGAATGTGACCACATCCGCGAGCTCACGCACGCTTCGAAGCTTCTCTTTGTGGATTCTGATTGCAAGAATCTCGTCCTCATCTGGAGACCGGACATTGATCTTCAACTTCTTTTTTGCCCCTTCCGCCTGGAGGTTTGTTGGGGGTGCACGCGCAAATGCTAGCGGTTTTGGGGGAAGCCGGAGCAATGCAGAGGCCAGCATCGCTCTATTTCCTGCGGGGCTCGAGAGCCTCGTCAGCTGCAGCAGAGACATGCTGGCTTTTGCGAGTACGGATGCTTGTGGGTTTTGGGGCCGTGGACTCTCCGGACTTTGTTCCTGTTTATCGATGTCTTTCTCGTCTGAAGCAATCCTTGGCAGCCCGTTCGGGAGCATAGGTAGTTGCTTGGTCAGCAAATTCACGGTATGGGCATTTTGCACATCTTGAGCGGGCAAACTATCAAGAGCACAATCCTGGAGCTGTGTCTGGAGCGACTTGCTAGCTGGGGGCTGTATGGGCGAAGCGTCGAATCGCCAAGAATCTGGACTATTGGGAATGTTTTCAAACATTGATCCTTCAATCGACAATGAGCTCACCGAATGCCGGAGTGGTGTATGACATTCCAGCACAATCGACATCTTACATGAAATTATATTCTTGAGGACAACAGCGGGAGAAATGTAGGGCAGACAATAATTGAGACCGGATGGTTTACGGGCAGCTTTACCTGATGCGATTTCCGTAGGCACTATCGCACATGAACATATACTTCATGCCTTACCAATTCTCAGTGGTAATGACGAGTAATGCTGGGAATCGTTTACGAGTTTCTTCCCGAAATACATAGCCAGTTGCAATCAGTGCCACGGCCAATGCGGCGCCCAACGGCGGGGTGAAAATAGCCTGTTTTATTGTACTATGCACCACTATCTGCATAAGTGAAAAGTATTGCCGAGAACTTCCTTAAATGGGACATACAGTCTGTTTGAAGACTGTATACGCTTACTCCAAAAAAAGCTTCTTCCAAAACAAAAGTTTGTTTCTCTTTTTACGAGCATTTTACCACTCACTTTCGGCAAGCGCCCGCATAAACATCAGAACCGTTTTTGCAAGACAATATAAGCAAAATATGAAAGTTATCTCGAGCCAACTGAAAATTGAATGCACACACTGGGATGTGCACGGTCCATGAGCTTGGTCTTGTGTCCGGCGTAAATTATGTACAGTACGTCGCCGAACAGCAGTTATGCAAGGGTTCCGATTAACGCCTCGCATCAGACAAAACGTAATTAGAAAACTCAAAGATATCAGAATTCAGTATTCTTACCTTGGTTATTCAGCGCAGCTTAAAATCAAAGGCTAAGATGGATGGTTGAAGAGAAACTAAATTGAAAGGATGAACCTGCTGGTTAGCAGAACATGACACCAAAATTGAGCAATTGTGTGGAGAGATGTTCACGCAGGATGGTCCCACAAGTGAAGGACAAATATTCCGCATGCCCAACCAAGTAATAATCTTATAGGGGAATACAAATAACGCAATATGAGACGTCAAAAACAAGAGACAATTTTACCTATTGATTTAGGAAGACCACACATATACTCGTGTAAATAATTACCCCACCTACAATCTTTCGGCAGGATGAGGTACATGCTTGGATGTGACAAAACGGAGCCAAACCCTTTTATGCCCGTTCGATTTAAATTCCAGCGCACGCAGGGAAAATGGCGGGGAGCCTTGATAATTTGTGGATTCCTGCATCTTCATTTGTACGGTCTCACGATTTTATAAAAAATACATACTGGAACTAAATAGGGGACATCATCATCAGGAATGCAGAAGCGAATCCCATGGGTACTTTGCTATTGAACTGGGTAGCACATCTGCTGAAGCGGGATGCATGTAGTGCTTTCTCTTTTCAAGTGGGTTCAAATTTTCCTCGCTTAAAACATTCACAAGCGGATGTACAAGCAGATTGCCAAATGTAGGCGTGCGTGGCTCATTTGAGTCGGTGCTTGCAGTTATATAGGACAGATTGCACTCGGAGCTGTATTCCGAGATGAAGGTGAGATGCGGAGTTCTGAGGCTCTTGGAATTTGCATCAAACAGGCCCTTGCTTTTGTCTGCGAAGGAGGAGCCAGTCAGCATCTTCTGGGCCAACAGCGAGCTCAATTGCGCCTGATGCACATCAAACACATTCCTGAAATCCACACGGTGATTAGCCTCATTGATACACCTTTCTTTCTCTTCATCTCTTTCTTGTTCTTCCTCATTTTCCAGCCCGTCAGAGCTTGGAAAGTCGTAGGACTCTATCACCGAGTTTAGGCTGATGACGCTCTTCCTTGTTGTATTGCGAGCACCAGGTTTCGGCAGCTTCAGAAGAGCCTTGCGAATGAGAGGCTTTTCGCTCTGGTTGAGTTACGACAGATATTTCATGTTGGAGGCCAGGTAGGGTGCATTTGGCGCATACGTCAAGGTATCAGCGCGACCTATGGGCTCCCCCTGGACAGGCGGGAGGGGAGCGGTGGGCGAAAACGATTTGTATCTGGCAAATCTGCCTTCCAGTGAAATTTTTATGGACCCGTCTACCAAAGAGCTGGCAATCACCTCATCACTAGGTACGGTTTCGCCGCTCCTCACGTGTACTTTCCGCGTGCAGTGATTATCGATGTAGTCGCCAAGGAAATTGCTGGAATGGCACTGTGCAAAGCGAAGCAAGCTCTGGACGAATTTGTCCAAACTCGCAACCATGGGTGTCTGTGCATGTGCCGCAGCCTCACTCCGCATGGTGTTCTGAAGCCTTGGAGATACTGCCGGGGTGTTTTTGGGAAGCTCGATTTGAAACACGCCGGCCAGGGCAGTGGAGCCATATAGCGCGTGCAACGACACAAAGTCCTCGTAAAACATGGCACAATATGCCTGGCGCTGTGAATTGAATGTGACGTCCATGCGATACCAAAAATTATTGCTGTTGCTGAGGTATGCACATCTGACCTTGACATGCGCCACGCGATTGCGCATGGAAGACGGGGCCTGGTAGTCATTGAGCCATTCCAGCGAGACAGGATTCTCCGGGTCATTGACGGTAATTTCAAGGTACAGTGCCGGCACCAAACCTTCGCCGATTTCATGAATACGCTGCACCTTCAACCAGCCATTTCCAGGCCGCTCAAGCAACCTCACGTGATCTCCACGGTGGAGCGATAGTTCGGGTTTGCACAGCGCCTCAAAGCTGTATTTTGCCCTAAGAACCACTGTCCAACCCGGAGTTCGGTTCAAGCTGAAAGTGGGCAGCAGCGCAGTCGGAGGGGACACGTGCAAAGGCGAGGAGATCAGGAGTTTTCTGTAGTTCCTCACTGATTTTTGTGATTTTGAGGAGAAAAGCGTTGCAGACATTCTGGACACCTCATACAACGCCAGGGTTGCTGCGGATAGCCTTTGCTCAAGGAACGCCTTGGTGTTTTCTCTGTATGAGGATCTTGTCAATGTGGCTTCGTTCTCTAAAGAGAGGGTGATTTATTGAAGCCCTGGTTCTGATTTGTGCCGACTAATATATCTAACAATCAAAACAAGCGAGCCTAACAAAACGACGGAAGCGCTCTTAGAATGGCCTAGTAAAGTTCGCCGTTGCCGATCCTATTTTGTTCAGCTTATCGCCTAGGATCTTCAACTGGATGCGAGAGTGCACAGGCGAGTATGGGTCGAGATAGTTAGAATTGTGGTTTGGAGCCACGGATAAAAAAACAAGCTAATTGACTGTGGGGGATGAAGTGGCCGGGTTGAGGCACAAATGATGACCGTGTTGTTTCTTTTTCATGGAGAAATCGCGGATATGTATAACGTTGGCCGGTGTTGATGGTATTTGCGTTACGTCACCTCGTGAATACATTCTGCATCTGCGCGCGATGCATCTGGTCTGCATATTTTGGTGCGAGTGTGCAAGGCGCATGCAAGCACTTCGCGGGAAAACTTGGCGTTAGGGTCTGGCAATCTGTTATCGTGCAAGCAGAAGCGGGAAACAGTTCTCGCTTCTCAAAAATTCAAAACTGCGACGGCAGGTAGCAGCAATGCTGGAAAATCTACATTTTGGAAAATTGAAGTCTTGTTTTAGCTATGTAATGTTAAAGTAGTGTCCTTGTTGATTACATGTTCTTTTTCAGCCTTTGTTGTTGTTTCGAATTAAAGTTCTCGTAGCGTCCTATTGTCATCGGACGTTGCCCCGAAAGTTGAGCTGAAGTTTGTTGTTGTGCAGTCGTCAAGCGCGTCAGTGGAACACCTTTCGGATTGATTCAGCTGATTTTGCGCTTTGCCCCGTCATTGTCTGCTGATTTGCTAGCACGCACCTCTCGTCATTGATATGCTCTATATTTCCAGTCTCTTGTCGTGACAAAACACGCCACTCTGGAGCCTGGAACCGATCTAGTAGGAGAATCCTGGAACACGACCAGGAGTTTTCCATTTAAAACTACATTCGCACTTCTTTTCTTGAACAGTCTTCATGTCTCTGTGTCTTGGTGATTACTTTGACAGCTGCTTTCCAGTTAGACCATCGCGAATTTGGTTGAGTCCTGCGGCATTGCTGATGAGGCCACGCACGCAATATCCAAAAATGACCAGCTTTGGTGTGGGGCGGTCCCAAGGCCAAAAAAAAAAAACATTTGTGAATATTCTGGAAGCTCCCTCCAGCGCCGATCATCCGGGGATTTTCCATTATCTTCAGAACACGAGCTCGGTTTTGGCCGAGAATTTCTTGGCCACGCAACAGATGGAGTATCATGTATTCGCGCTAACCCAACGAGCAAAACAAAGCTGAGGCAGACCATGCTACCTAATCCAGAAACAAGCGGATTCCGCCTCCCGCAAGCCATTCCGCTTGCGCAGTGAGGCCCAACCACGATTGAATCACATGCTTTTACTTAAGTGGAAATTAATAAGAATACATAGCATATTGAGAAGTAGAAGTATTAGGGTCTCATCTACAGTCACGTGATGAGCAAGAAAACGGTGTCTGACTGCAAGATTGTCTCCATGACGTCCGAACCAGGCGAGTCGATTTCCTCATACGCTCCGTTTTCCTTTAAGCGGATGTAGAGATTGTTGTACGCTATCTTCAGATAGATTGCGTTTTTGAAGGATGCCACTGTTGGCGTTTCTGCGATGTTCACGCGCACCACGACCTGGTCATTTGTCTGTGTTTTGATCTCACATCTGGCTTGCTTCCCTTCGGCCGACACCAGGGATTTCCGGGGCGTGGGAGTACCAAAAGATGCTTTCCGGGGTGCAAAGACCGGCTCGGCTGCCGATCTTGGCGTGCCGTGGTGGGACATAGGCGTCTTCAAGCCGGTCGGGTGCTCGGAATCGCCGTCGGAAATGCCGGAACCCAGCGAAGTGGCCGGAGACACCAATTTCTGCAGCAAGCCGTTCATCTGCAGCATTTCGGCAGGATACCGCTGCTTGGGCTTCATTTGCGGAGACGCCGGCTGGCCGGGGGACGTGTACTTGAGACTCTGGGACTTGTGTGGTGTTGGGGTCATGGGAGCATGTCCCAAATCCAGTGGGTTTTTCTTGGGTGTGTGGTTGCCAGTGCTTACGGTGCGGGCCCGCTCCAATTTGGAGCCGTTTCTGGTGGGATACCTGCCCTCTGATGTCGACAACGACCGAGCAATATTGATTTTGGCATTGGCAGCCTGCTGGTAGTGGTTGTACACGTTTTTGGGCTTGTTCAACTGCGGCGTATCTTTGGATGGTGCCATAAACTTCACTTTCTCCAAGGAGTCGTCTTTAGGCTGTTCTGCCACGGCTGGAGCCATCGTTTTGGAGGCCAAAATCACAGATCCTGGCAAGATGCGCTGGTTAATGTCCTCGCCATCCGGGGGAGTGTCGTCTGCAACAAAACCGGGCAAATTCTTGAACCCCACTTCAAGCCAGTTGACCAACGTAGGGCAAACCTGGAGCCTCTTGGTCGAAGTGAGCTCGTGCATGTACGCACTCAATTCGCGGCACCTGCGAGTGAATAACTCCTTCTGTTCAATTGAATTGCGCTTCTGGCTCGGCACGGGCTCGGGTAACTTGGGTAGCTTCGAACCGGTCTGCTGCGGGGCGTCTTTCAGGGTGTTCACGTGATCTAATAACGAAAGATGTAAGTCATAAAAGTCCAGGTAGTATCTGCAGAGATATCCCTGCTCGCCCAGGCTGTACGTGACATCCACACGGTACCAAAATCTGTTTTCATACATGAGATAGTTGGACACAGTGGCTGACAATGGGTAAAGCTTGTTGTTGATCGAAAATGGCGAATTGTTCTCAAGGAGCATCTGAACCTGAACGTCATTGAACGTCTTGGATGCATCGGACGAATTCATGCCCATTTCGTGGAGCCACAGAAGAGTGACCGGATTGATGGGGTCATTAACGGCAATGTCCACGTACAAGGCAGGCACCAAACCGGGCGACGCGATTTTGTCGATGAACTCGACCAAAACCCACCCATTCGAGAAGCGGTCGAGAAGCTTCAACACGTCTCCTTTCTTTACAGAGAGCTCTTCGTTAGTTTCCGCGGCAAAATCAAATTTGGCCACGAGTATCACCTTGCATCGGAGAGATGATGCAGTTTGGTCCACGTTGGTTGGGGCAGAGATTTTGAGATCTCTGACTCCATGAGGAAAAAGCCCTGACATTATCTGACGGTGTATGAAGTGCTGTTTAATTTGTATCACGAATAAACGGGTAGATGTGTTTTCAAAATGAGCAAACGAATGAGTCTTCTTAAGTGAGGATGTGCGGTGAGAACGTTATCTTTTATTTTTTGTCTCCCTTGAGTTGTTTTTACCGTGTTCTGCATCGCGCAGACACGCGACTGAGATGCATGTCGAGTTTCATGCGCAAATTAGCGCACGCGTTTTTCTAAGGTCATGTTCAAACATTTTTTTCGGAGAGATGGCTCACATATAAAAGGCATACTCTGGTTTCAATGCAAATTCAGCTATTTTGTTCTCGGGCCTTGACTTACGAACTATGTGCGTCCGACTTTCGACGCCTTTGCAAAGTTAAGTCGCGATCTGGGTGTGTCGCACAGCCGCACCTCCGCTTTGAGATAGGGAAATTTAGGGGTAAGCTGTTGAACCAGTCCGAAAGCAGTTTCATCCGTCAAAGCAGAAACCCAACAAGCCAGCTAGTATACTAGCATTTCCCAGGAATTTTGAGTAAGATTAAGAGTCAAGTATCAAGTCTGCCCAAATTTCAATTAAAAAAAACTCTAGTAAATTTGTGGACCGTGTTAATGCACGATCTGGAGTCGCGGGGAGTGCCCGATGATTTCTCCACAAATACTACGTAGCAACACCACACCATTAACTCAGCTTTAAATGTAGCAGCTCCTGTATATCTCAGACAAGGGTTTAACCGGAGCTTCTCAATGCAGAATTGGAAGGAAAAGGCCATTTTCTGTTTTTTGACATCTTCAATTGGAAACAACTAAATTGAGCTACCTGCAAAAAGACTTTACAATCTTGTAAATTGTGCTTGAAATTCTAAGAGCAAAAAACAATAGAAGCAATAAAAAAGTCATTCATACGAGAATAAACATTTAAGAGGGTTATATATTCAAATAAGTAATAATAATGGCTATACTTTCAAGATGATTTCTGTTTCCTATTACAATGTCTCGAAGGTCGAACCGGTGCGGACTTTCGTGCTTTCGAAAGGCTAAAACGGGAAAGCGCTATTTGTCAGTTGCAGCTAGTTTGCAAGAATCTTGCTAAAAACAATGAGAGTGTTATCGATTTTGAATCAATATAACCCGAATTTATGTGTTTTAAACAATAAAAACTCAGGCAAGAAAATGGATTATGCAACTTCTCACACGATTTGTCGTAAGCGATATGAATCTTGTATGACACATAATTTTGATTAAAAAAGAATTGAGGTCTTCAGGGAATTCGCTTCTGTTATATAGGTACGATGACATATATTTGAAATACCAATGATCACTGGCCACGGTGGTCTGAAATACGAAGCCGTTCGAACAATCTGCTGCACAGACGGCCTTAGATTAAAATCTTGGAATGCGGGCCAAATGATCATCACACAGTCATACTCAATTGCGTTGTACAGTTCTAAAATAGAAAGCCTTTGTTTCCCAAGCCTTGGTAGTTTCTGAGAGCACGAAGGTCTGTTTTTCTCGGTCGGGTGGCTAAACTGAAGTTGAAGGCAGAATTGGCGCGAGTATTACCTAAAAACACCGATTGCGATTCAGAAATCATTTGAGTTGAAACACTGAATTATTTTTGCGTGGTGGATCAGAGAATCAAGACAATTTTATAGAAAATTTGCCGTGGCAGGCCAGAGTGAGGAATACAACACAAGTATAGTTCGACAGAAAGACCATTTCTATGAGGATCAGGGCATCAAAATATCACATCAATTTCGGAATGGAACGATGTCGGTGACGATCTTTCCAGCCCGTAAGAAGCGTGTTCCCCGCAGATCGATGTTGTACTCGGGATTGGCGAGCGCAATTCTCAGCTCAGACAAAAGTTGTATCAGATTTGACCACACGAGCTGAGAGTGGATTAAGTCATGTCAGTATGACCAGCCTAATGCGGGGAATAGACATGCCCAGCAGGAAAGTTGTGTTATGAGAGCATGCCTGGTGAGCTCCGGCTTTGTCAAAGAAACAAAAAAAGACCGGGAAGACATTGGAAACAACATTGCCCGGCTCATCAGAATTCATCATTGACAAAAAGCACAATTTCATTTACTAGGTCTCGCAAACGGGAAGAGGGCCGGGAGAAAAAAACAAATCCAGCCACTCAAGGAGGATTTGTAGCTTTTTTCTTCGGGAAGGATTTATTCCTAAACCATTGCTCTATGGCAACCAGCATGAACATTCTTCAAATAAATATTCCCCAAGGAACAAGATCGTTGGACTGAAAAAACTTCTCCTAGTTCTTTCTACAAACTACAGATATCATACAAGAAATGTGTCCAGCAAGCGAACCGAAAGAGCGACGGAAACCATCTCTTTCAGATTATAAAGTGGATGATTAAAACTTTCTCTGCATCCGGCCATTTTTGCTTAACCAAAGGGAAGTGAATTGGTCTTGCTGGTACTCCAGATGGGTAGTAAAATATGTGAAGAAGAAAAGAGAAGTAGGAAAGTTGAGCGAACATGGAAAAAATTGCACTCCGAGCCACCTATGAGAAGTGTGCATATAGCCCACCACAGCACTTTTGTTGTTTACACCGGTACACCAGAGGCAACTACAACACGTGAAATCATGTAAGGGTATTGAGAAAATAGAACTCCTATTTGAACACGTTTCCACTTGAAAGCGAGGGTAATTTCGTGGCCGCCTAGTCTAAGAAGCTTTAACATAACTTTGTCAGGATCACTGTTTCTTCAATAGTCAATCCTTCCATGGTTTCGGACTATAATAGTATATATGCCTAAAATGAAGATCTCTTGTCCATCAGCAAGCCGTTACCCACCAGAAAAATAACATATCTCCTGTGATCACTCCTGCATATTTTAGCATCGCTCATGTCCCACCTTCCTCAGATACTCTGAGGAGTCAAGTCCCAAGCGCCTACTAGACCCCACTATTGTTGCTATGCAGCAAGAGTACACATAAAGTCTATGATTATATGCAGACAACACGTTCTGTCGCACTTTCACTTCCGTTGTAGTAATGTCAAAAAGTCCGCTAGTCTCCATAAACTGGAGCCTCATCACAGTCATGCGCGCGGGTCAAATGACGACGCTTTATTAGGATAAAAACGAAAAAAAGGCACGATATATTGCCAGCACTTTGGCTTGTTTGCAAAAGCACATTAACGAAGGCCACGATTAGGGGTGATCAGTACTGATATGCAGCCATTTGGGACAATAGACATAGCACGCCATACGAGCAGTACCTCGTCACGAAAATTGAGCACGAGCAACATTGTTCGCTCAATAGAGATTATCTTTCAAGCAATGTTCACAACCTATGACGGTTTTGCATGACATGGCCCGAATGAGATGAGTCAGAAAAATTACACTGATTAACCTAATTCCCAATCCAGCCAATCTCTTTAGTAGCTCCGCCTTAATACCACGCAATGAAAGCCTTCACGAAGTGGGCATGCAGCATATCTACGCGAACGAAAAGCTGCATTTCGTATCACTACCGAAAATTTGTACGGTCTTTCGCAGCCCATGCTAGTTTCTTTGCTTAGCCTGCAACATAGAGACATATCTCGAATTGTTTGTATGTGATAAAAAAAACAGTCGTGCTTGGACCCGCTGCTGGCTCTTTTTTGTATAGTTTTCGCCAGTCAGATCCATTAGATTCCGCGCGGCTGTCAAGCTCGCACCAAAGCCCCAATAGCTAATTCCGAGCCTCCAGAAGCTCCAAATGCAGTTGTAGAAATAGGGCTTCCTGGGAACTTTGTCGACTGGTTCAGAAACGTGTAAATTGTTTACTCAAGTAGGAAGCAATCATTCTACATTATCGTCCAGCACGCTCTTCACTCGATCTCTTCTTTCATCAGATTTCCATATTCGGTCTTAGAGATAGCAAGACTCGTCAGAATGAAGATCATTGATGGAAAATCAGTAAAACTTACCTAGATGGGTCTTTCTTGAAGTGATAACACTTTTTCAGATATCCGGAAACTGAGAAAACGACACCACATTTACTGTTTTTGCAGAAGTCACGTATCAGAAATACCTGATGGGATTGCATGCGTTATTGATGCATGATGAGCAAAGCTGCTATTTTTCGGAAATCACCTTGTAATTATCTCGCGACTCTTAACCTTTTAATAATCGTCCCATCACCGCAAATTGCTCACCAAGACTCAGCTAATTCAACTTGAAGATCAAAAGGAGCATTAGAGACATAATAAGACACGATGCTAGGTAGGAGATCAAAAGTCACTCAGATCATATGATTTACTCTACTTCGTAACGAGTGCAACGTATTCAAAAACCCCAGAAGGTTTATCTCCCCACGTGCTTTTATGTTCCAACCTGTATATCATGAACCCCGCAACTGCTATTCTTAAAATAGCGCTCGATCTGGATTTAGTTCTGAAGAGCGAAGTTATGTGAATTAGACGTCAAACAGCGTTATAAGTAGGTTGGGCTCATATAGAACAAATGCAAACAATAGAAATTCTTACGTGGAAGTGACCCCAGCGGGATCAAAGCCAGAAGAGGGAATAATGAACTTCCTAGAGTCTCAAGTATTGAAAGAGTGGGAACAATAATAATACCATGACTCCCCTTCATTTTTTGTCTAGAATAAAGTACGAGGACATTGTGGCTTAACCTACTTGGCCATTTGAAAAAATATGACAAACTCACTTAACGAGCAGATTTTATCAGGGCAGGAATAGAGTAAGCGGCCATGGTTTTGGGGCCCTGATTTACGTGAATACTCAAACAATGTCGCGCAATGATCTCGAGCCTCGAGCCGTTCTCTTCAAGCTTAAGATTTTATTTAGGATTGCACAAAGCCTCACATTATAATTGGCCTTCTTAAAGGTACAGAAGATGGTTTCCCGGCTACTGTGAGTCGAAAACTTTAATCAACTATGTGATCCAACTTACAATCACAGAATACCCTAAAACACCGACAGTCCTTCTATTGATGCGATTTATATAACCGCTATTTTGGATACGTGTGCAGATTGGCCCATGCAGCGAAACGTACATGATGATGAATGCGGAGGCTCATGTGCGGGGCTTTAAAGCAAGAAGAAGTTGCGTCGTGGGTGTATTGTGCAGAGTAAGTCGATGTATTGGTGCTTGAATTCTTCCAACACCACCTACAAGCCCAAAGTATTAAAGACTTGACCTGTTCCCAGGATTGATCTGACAGCCCCAATTTAACAATTTTAGATCGAGACGAAGTCTGGAAATCACACCCAAAACTTTTGATACGCAATATTCCCCAAAAGCCTGTGAAGTCACAAATTTCATTCAACGTGAACAGAAATTTAATATTGACTTATACTTTTCTCCTTAGACACAACTGACAGGCAATCCACATTGGCATTTCAGGGTCAAGTTTGTTTTAATTTAGAGTCTTTATTTCTTTTTTGGCAAATACAAAATTTTGATCTGGAACCATGAAGTCACCAATGTCAAGCTCGCACAACCCGAAAGCCTCAAATCCTCAACTATGCGTATCTTCTTACTTCAATAACCCCTCAATGGAGATCCATACAATTGATAAAGAATATGAAAATGGTACAAACCATAGCGACAACTTTTTAAGACAGTTTTCCTTACCGCAAGAAAATTTACAAGACTTTTTGACTGGTTTCAATGCTCAAGAACAAGCTGTTCACGCAAATCAGATGGACATTTTGCATACTAGAGAACGCACATTCGATCAGTTCGTATTACAAGATATGTTCAGAGTTTCTCTTTTCCCTCGCACATACAATGATGTCGAGTCATCTGGAATGTCTTCCACATCAGAGGACTGTGCCAGTATGAACTTTTCTGGGGAAGCTTACCATCTGGTTTCTCCGGCTGAATCTCGAGCCATAGATACCATGGCTGACTTTACAGCATCATCTCCCTCTATCAAGAAAAAAAAGCATAAGCGGAGGCTGCTTATGAATCGTTCGAGGCTTGGATGTTGGATCTGTAGAATAAAGCACTTGAAATGCGACGAAACCAAGCCTGCTTGCACAAACTGCATTCGCTTTGGCATTGAATGCGATTATTCGGTAGAGCGTCCCGCTTACGTTCTGGATTCCAGTCTTAGAAGAAAAAAACTAGATTCTATTATAACCAAAAAACGCCGGCGTTCAGAGAGCACGCCAAATGCATCTTTTTTTGCGAGTGCAATAGAGGAAAATATGAATCAGTCTGACTTTTCATATTTTCGGAAGCAAGAAGGGACAAGTTTTGATGCAGACTAATGAATGCAAGAATCTAGCGGCCCATCACACAATTTGCTTTTTTTTTTTTCATTTTCTTTCTCAATACACAGCTCTTAAGAAGTAAAAGATCTCTCACGTAAAATATGCGGACAGGCATGACATGAATCACAATGCGAGCGTTGGAATTGCTACAGCTTCTATGCCTTCAAAACAAAATCAAAAGAATGTTCAGCCCAAACATATTTTTTGGCATCCCATAGACAAATTGAGATCAAAATCTAGCAGAAGAATTTTTCAGAATTAAGCAAGGTATTGAGTTAGATGTAATGTGAAGGTATCCCTTCGAAGATTGTTTTTGAATTGATTGCCTCTGGACTTTAAACTCTAAAAAATGCCACCAATTATAAGTTTTAAAAACCTTCAAGACCATTAAACTGGCCTAGGGTGCTAAATAATAGAACACAAAACGAGAAGTTGGTTTCTAGCGAAAGAGAAACCTGTCAAGAACTTGGTAATCTCGGTTCTACATCTACCACCGTTGAAAGATCCCGGTTCTACTTGTAAAAAGATATGAAGTGATGTTAATTATGGTATTTAAAAATTATGATTCCGGGGAATTATATCGTGAGTAGACCTAGGATACTTAGACACGGTAAGACCAGATGTATGACCTCTATCAAATTTTCGAGAGACGAAAACATCTGAATCAATTACATCTAGACGATTACGTGGGTTCGTAAACCTTACTTGGTTCGGTAAATGCAAAGAATAACTGAATGAGGCACTGACACAGATTAGACGAAGCATGGCATATCAGACTTTGTACCAAAAAGAAAGACCAAACAGTTTCATCTGAACACAAGATGAGCTTTTGTACGTATTGATTTTTAATTGCACGTCTTAAATGTACCAAACAAAAAACTAAGTGTAAGAACCCGGAAATAGGAAACTACTTAGTATATGTTAAGCAATTTAAGAGGCCTAAAAAGGGCTGTTCTTTAAAGTACAATCCTATTGCGGTGGTGCACTCACATACTGTGCAGTTAACCGGGTTAAAAATCTGACACTACTGTCTCTGATCGACAAAATTTTAGGTATCCTTGCAAAGTCGAAGAAATTTCATTTTTCTGAAAAAAAACAACCATATTTAGCTACAGGAAATACACGGGGATGAAGCCCTGAGGACATGTTCGTGATCAAATATACAGTGTGTGAGATTAAATCTCATGTCCCATCTCCTTCAATTATTTCTTTGATGGTATGAAGATAAATGATATTTCTTGTTTGAATTATCTTCCTTCCAATGACAAGAGTAAGAGCTAAAGTGATAGATGATGCAAATTTATTGGGGAAAAAAGAGAACAACGAAAAAATATGAAAACTATGGGATTTGTCGATTCGCAGTCCGGAATGAAAATGCAAAAAACACAATGAGGTCATCTTAGTAATTCTTTTAGATTGAAGGAATTCAATTCACGCTGGAATTTTTACGACGTCTATGAACAGATTATATGCTGGTTCAATCAGTTTCTAGTTCACTCTTTACAATAAATCATGAGCGAGAAATTCTCGTCCCAACAGCATAAAAACAGAAACCCCCAAAAATTTGGCTCCTCGAGAAATCAATGCACCTCAAGACGAGCTACGAATAATGATAGTTGAGTTCTGGCAAGCTAGCGCCGTTGCTTTTGGAATTCATTCAATTCTTTGATGCGGGCGAGTAGAATAGGTCACTCGTAAGAGTTTGATCTCGAGATCATTCTTGTCCTACGGCAAATTCAAAGTAGACATCAATGGTCCTTGAAGAAAAGTGGCGTTTGTTGTGGGTCATACCCTATACTCTTGATTTTTTTTTTTTTTTCAAATTCATTACTCAACTTACAAAATCACAACTATATGGAAATTTTTTTGGAAGATTATATGACTTAAACGGAAAGTTTTTTTTTTTTTTGCTATGATTTCGAAGAAAAGAGACCTATTTTGCAACTACAGAGCTTTATACACTTGAATGAAGTAGTTATTACTTTCCAATCGAGGGAAAACTAGTAGCCTTCTCTATAAATATACAAGATGGCCTGATTGATCGGTAACAACAGGCGCTTCATGGAATGATTACACAGTGACGTGTGGCTCTGATCATCGAAACAGATTCTAGTTCTGGAGCGACGGAATAAAAGCAAATTGTGAAAGCCTATAGGAGACTTGTCACATTTGCAAATTGAAAATGAGTAATTTATTTGACCATCTGACTTTCGTGACATGAATAACAAACTTCTTTGAAGTGAAAAGAATTTTTTTGGAATGAACCGGTAATGGGGCATATTGTTTTACTTAGAGGACACGTGAACGAAAAAAACCATTCAGTGCAATGTACCCCTTGAACTTTCAGTCATAATAAGCAAGAATTAATCTTCGCAATCGAACACATAGTCTGTCCAAACACTATCCAATCACTCCCACTCAGAGACTCGAATGCGCTTGCGAAGGATGAATTCTTCTTCATCTCCATAGATTTCTGAAATTTCTGCATCACCTGATTCCAACTGCGAGATTCTGCCTCCTCTTCGATACTCAATCATAGATATGTAGTCACCCTCAAATCCAACCCATGGGCCATCGAGTGGGTCCTTCAAATAAGGGTAAGTATAATCTGTAAATTGCTCACGTTCTTCGTCAACGGTCGAGATTTTGCGTCGATGATGTATAGCTCCCGAGCTATATGAAACGGAAAAATCCCCCTCAAGAAGTACTGAGTTCTCTGATTCCTGGGGAATCAAGCAATTGCCAGAAGTACTTTCGTTTGTCAAAAGACCTGTCTTTGGTCTGGGACACAGCACCAAGCTGCTGGAGCTCACACCGGCTCTAGCTAAATTGTATGTTGAAGCATGCAGCAGTCGATCATCGTCAAACTCTTTTTCGTAACTTTTGGGGTTTTGAATGGCTCTTAATGCAATAAAATTATGAAGGGGTAGATAGTAGCGCTCGAAGTTCCAAGCTACAGTCAATGTCACGAGGAATAAGGGCGTACACAAAACAGCAAGTAAGATTGCACCCTCTAGTGCAAGTGTACCGCACATGAAAAGCTGAAATATAATCAAGCCGAAGATGAGTCTTCGGAAGATCATAGGCCAGACTTTCCCGGTCGAGTGCGGAGGATGGACGTAGCTGTATATCAATTGATACTTGTAAACGAAGTATCCTAAAGCAAAATATACAAGCCCGCTGGTAACTATCTTTGTTGAGACAACGGAATAGATGAGGATGATGATGAAAACCAAGATATGCTGAGGCAAATTGAGCCCAAAATCAAAAACAGGTGGGGTGTAATAGAAGAACCTGTAGTCACGTGGGGTCTTTAAAAAGAAACTTTTTAAAAAGAACAATTTTCCGATGACATTCAAAATGACGAAATCCCCTGCCTGAAGAAGTTTGACAGGGAACATGGCCAATCCCTGTAATAGAATCAAGTCAACATAGAATAGAGACAATTTTCTCAACGAGCTAGCCAATTGTGATGCAAATTTGGTTGTGTCTCCGATGGAAGTAAAATAGTCCCACAATGTGCCCGTGATTGTGAAGACTAGAAACAAGATGAAAAATATGAAAAAGAAGTTTTTCAGTAAAGTGGATAACTCGACCTCGCTGGACAGCGAATATCCTTGCTTGAGGGTGAGACTCCGATATAGGTATGGAAATGAAACGTTCATCAACGAGAACAAAAGGGTAGGTAGGAAACCTGTGACGAAAGTGCTAAGCCACTTTGACTTAGCGATCAATTGACCGAGGGCAGGCCAGAACTTCGTTATTGTTTTCACATCAAGCAAAGTGGATAACGATGTCACCAAGAAGAAAATGACCAAATAGCTGATAATGATTATGAAGGTGATCATGTATGATTTTGTAAGTTTCTCATAGTAGGATAGCTTGAGATTCTTCCAGTAGATGTCTTTAGCAGCTGGGGCCAAGGTGACCACGAGTTTGTAGACACGGGGATCTAGGATGGTCTGCGCCGCCATTTGAGCGGAAGCGACCGAGTCCATGGTCACAAAAGCAGATTGTAGAAGAGGGTACCTGGAGTCTTCTATGGGGTAGGTGGACATTGTCGCGTCGTACTTGCTCTGCGCCTCTCTGATTTCGCGGTCAAGAGCGTGCAATTGTTGGGAATAGGCATCTATTTTCTTTTTCGTCATTTGCTTTGCCGAAGAGTCAAGTGTGGGTGCGCTGGGTGCGTTTTCGGGGAGAACCCTGGGGAGGCGGTCACTGTTGTACAAGTCTATCTTCAAACCGAAATGGCGCGAGTATAGTTTTTCCAAACGAGAGATTAGATCGGTCCTGCGGTCAAAGAGCGCTTCTAGAGGCGACCAGTTGTAGATAAGCTTGACGTTCTCGACGCCCCCAATCCCCAAGTCTTCGACGAAGCGTTTTAGCACGAGAGCATCGTTTTTCGTGATGATCTTCCTTGGGATGCCATCGATGCGGATGGTTCTGTCCGTGATTGAGTTCTGCGAGGCCAAGTACTTCTGGCGGGTGCGGATGATGACCTTGGTGTAGTGGAACAACTTCACGTAGACGATGGTGGAGAAGAGGTACGTGAATACGGGGTAGACCCACAAGAACGAGGGGAAGTGCTCATCCAACGGCGGTGGTTTGGCCGCGCCGAAGTCAAAGAGCACCAGCCACACGATGTTATCCTTGTCGTAGTTGCCCGTGAAATAATAGCGGACCGGGCTCAAGACCCCGGCGCACAAGACCAGAAGAAGCAGGAAGATCGTGATGCCCATTTTGAAGAAGCTCAACACCACATAGGCATCAAGCCCCGAACAGTCCAAGACCTCGTCGTCCGAGATGGCCAACACCGCGCCCACCCACTTGAAGAGGTCGTCGGGGAGCTGGCGCCGCTGGATCAGCGATTTGCGGAGCGTGCGGACCGCGTACATGTGTGGCCATTTTCTGCGGAGGAAGCAGAAGAGGAGGAACGTGGATGCCCCGATCACAAGCGAAAGCACGAGCTGGGTCTTGAAGACGCGCAGCTGGCTGGGGCCGTAGATGCCGTTATCGTCCCCGGCAAACATAGTGGGTGCCGACGACTGCTGCTGTTCTTTTTTTTTTGTTTGTGCTTTCGAGGGTCTGCCAGCTGGGCCCGGGGCCAGAGAACACGGCGCGCGCCCCAGGCCAGGGCCAGCGCTGGGCCCGCCCGACATGCGGCTCGGGCGCGACAACGGGAGGCCAGCAGGCCAAGGCCGCCGAGAACCACGCCTCCGTTTGGCGCCATGCCGGCGGCACGCCAGAGCCTCGAGTTGCCCCACTGGCCCGGCAGCGAGAAAGTGGGCTGATTTTGGGCGCAAGGCCGCGTACGCAGATCTGCCAACTGCGTCCAGCGGGATTGTGCTGGTGTTTTTTTATTTTTTTTTATTTCGTCTGTTTTTTTCATGTTGTTGTGAAGGAAGATGGCGGTTTTTTTCATGTTGTTGTGAAGGAAGATGGCGGTTTTTTTCATGTTGTTGTGAAGGAAGATGGCGGTGTCCGCCGGGCGTGGCCCTGGCCCTGGGCGGGCACGCCGCCTCCAGCCATGCCCTACGAGGCAGGCACCAAAAACGGCTGGGCAGCGAAAACCGCAATGATAGGGGAGGGGGCATTTTTTTTTCTGCCGCCCCACACACCACAAGGCCCAGCCCGAGCCCGGCCGCCTGCTGGCGCCTGGGCGTCTAACCGGGAGCCGGGCCAACAACCCAGGCCCAGTACCCAGGCCCGGTACCCAGGCCCAGTACGCATTGTCTTATATCTGCGCGGCCTCGCTTTCGCGCCCGTTTCCCTGGCCTCGCTTTCCAGGCGGGCGACTGTGCAGCCCGCACCCCTGGAGCCAGGCCAATAGAAAAAAACCGCGCCGGGCCGGCAGGCGGCCCTACAGGCCCTGTCCTCAGAACTCGCACTGCGTCCTCAGAAGTCGCACTACTGCCTCGGAACTCGCACTGCTCCCTCAACCGCCCGTACTAGTGGCCTCCTTTCCCTCCAGACCCGACAGCCGACACACCAAAAATGGCCGACGCTTACGTGGTGGTGCAGCTTGCAGCCACCTTCGACGAGCCTGCCGTCTACGTGCCGCGGGACGCCGGCGAGCTCATGGCGCTTTCGTGGTGCACCGTGGACGCCAGGACGCTTGAAACGCTGGCGCGTCAGTCCATCTTGGTGAGGCCCCTGGGCACGCCCGTGACGCCCGCCTGTGCGCTGCGATACAGCCTCCTGTGGGACGACGTGAAGGACGGCGCCACGTTCAAGGCCGCCATGGCAGAGTTCGACCGCAGGCTCACGGCCCAAGTCGCCGGGAAAGACTTCCTGTTTGTCTCCGTGGACGTGCCCGGCTTGCGGGTGCTGCTCCCGCGCGAGGCGCGCGACAAGGCCGTGGTGTTGCCGGGGTACTTGCAGCATCCGCGGGTGTTTGACTTGTGCAACGAGTACTCGAAGTGGCAGGCCGTGCACCCGGAGGCGTTGAGCTACCCCAGCTCCAGCTTGGCCAACGTCATCACGGCGCTCGGCGTCGACGTGGGCCCGGCCTGGGCCGACGAGTCGCCGGACGCGTATACCGTGGCCGTCGACGTGCACGCCAAGATCTTGGCGCAGCTCTTGCAGAAGTCCGTGCCCGTGGAGTCGCACCCCGCGGTCTTGACCCAGCCATACGACGCCGCGCTCGACGCCAAGATCTTTCTAGCGGAGCGCTCCAAGATCTTGTATCTCTGCAACTTGCCGGCCGACACCACGCACTCCGAGCTCGAGGCCTGGTTCGCGCAGGCGGGCGGCCGGCCCATCGCGTTCTGGACGTTGAAGAACCTGGATTCCGACGCCCGGCTCGGCCTGCAGGCCGCCGGGGCCAAGGCAAAGGCCGTCTGCGGCTTCGCGGTCTTCTCGAAACACGAAGAAGCGGCTGAAGCCTTGTACATGAACGGGCGCGTCTTGATGGACAGAGTGGTCGAGGTGCAAGCGTCCTCGACCAGGGTCCTTGACCGCGCGTCCTCCCTCCTCACGCCCTTTCCCCCGCTGAAAAACCGGCCCCGGCCGGGTGACTGGACGTTTCTCTCGTGCGGCTTCTCCAACTTCCAGCGCAGAATCGCGTGTTTCCGGTGCTCCTTCCCTGCAACGTCCACAATGCCGGAGCAGATGCACAACGCCGCTGCCAGCGGGCCCCACGATGGCCCTGCAAATGCCGCAGGATCCACCGGGAGGAGGGCAAAACAAGACGAAAGACAATCTTATGCGGGCTCGGGTGGCTACCAGGACCAGTACCAAGGGAACGGTCTCAAAAACGGGAACCCCTACAACTCCGGGTACAGCCATAACTTCAACCACAGCCACGGCGGCACTAGCCAAAGGTCTCACTACTCCAACCAGGTTCCGTTCCGTGCCGGGGACTGGAAGTGTGCAAACGAGTCTTGCCAGTATCACAACTTCGCAAAGAACTTGTGTTGTTTGAAGTGCGGGGCCTCGAAGCCCGCAGCACTGATGCATGGCAATACGTCAAATAGCCTCAGTAACGGGAACCACCCCGCAGTCGCAAACCCGGGCGTGGGCTCTATGCATTCAGTCAACAACACAGCTGCAGCCATAGCGGCCGCCACCGCAAGTGGCCAGCCTTTGAACTTGAACAACAGTTTCTTTGCCATGCAGCAACACCTGGCACATCATTCACGCCAGAGCACGAGCTCCCCATCGTCTGCTTCGTCATCCCCCATCCATAACAATGGGCTCTACTCCAACATTTCGCATTTGCAGCAGCTTCAGTTCCAGCAGGGCAAAGCTCAGCCGAACGCAAACTTATCACAGAACTTGGGTATGGTGTCAAACCAAGGGCATTCTGGTTTGCAAGGCTCGCAAGGAAGACAGAAGCAATCCCAGTCCTCAAGTAGTTCGCCTGGGTTGTATGTTCTGCAGGGATATCCGTACAAGGGCTCTCGTGACTCTGGCGATGGGAGTGCCGGCAGTGGGAATGCAACTGGTATAAGTTCTCTCAGCAATCAAGTCAGCTCAATGAGCTTGAACCAGTAGTTTCGTGGATACACGAGCGAAGGGCAATTGAGATTCCATGGTCGCACGTTGTCTCAGAGACGCTGCGCATTTGGTAAAACATGATCTGTGTCGTGGAGATGCTTGGCGTTGGGGTGAACTAACTTCAAGGTGGCGCAAAGAAGGAAGGGATTTATTAGACGAGGATTTTTTTAGTGGAGGCAAGGTGCTAAGGTTGGATTTAAAGGTATGCTTGGATTGTTGGATGAGCTGATTATGCTATCCAGACGAAAATTAAAGAAACTCATACAGAAACTATCTTTCTGCAAAACAGAAGAAGTAGACATGTAGAGATCTGGTTCTGCGGAAACAGAATCGGAGATCACTCAGGTAGGAGCTTAACAAATCGGCTGAACAAAGTACTGTGGGGCTCAGCCTTAATTCCTAAGTCAGGACCTAGTAAATGCAACCATTGGGAACCTGTAAATTCCCTCGAGCCAATTTATTTCTGATGGCCTGGGAAAGTGGAGCGGTGACAGCTGATAGTCACCTACTGCTGGCATAGAAGGTCAATGCTTGCATAAATCCAATAAAATGTCTGGATACTCCTGCGGAAAATACAGTTAGAACATGACGAAAGAGACTTAGTTCATTTCTCTGAAAAGGATACGAAGCTCCAGCACTGGTGCCTGGTGTTTTGTTGAAAAGAAGTAAAGAGTTAATCCCTTGGAAAATGAAAGTTAAGATTAACAAGTGAATGGTCCTGAGGCAAACCAAAAAAAAAAAGCACAGCGCAGCCTGCAACAAAGCACCACCGTTATGACATTCTAAACCTTCGAATAATTGCATACACATATATGGAGCGATGATCCAAACAGGAGCACCAAGTAGTAGCACCAGTTAGCAGCAATATCTTGACAAAAACATCTCACCACTAATATCACCGATAACTGGAGCCTCTGGCGCAGGATAAAGCTAGTGGCTGTTCCGGATCTGTGGCGTGAGATAACGAGCAGTCGAATCGTGGATCGTGCACTGGTGAATATGGCAGAGCACGCAGAGGTATTGTGACTTGAAGAGAGGAAAGGGAGATATCAAGCCAACTCATTGATGAGCCAGTTGAAGAGCCCAACAAAAATAGACCTAGTGAGGAAGAAAGAAAAAGAAAAGAATCTCCAGGACACAAAAGACTGGCGCCTACAAAAACGCTTGTCCAGCCCCAAATCCGTGAACGAATCGGACCACCAGAGAAAGCAGCTCGAAGGAAATAGACCCATTGGGCTGTCTCACAATCGACTTGTGAGTGCATTCGGCCGTGCAGGCGTCCACTCTCTCAAACTACAGAAAAGAGCCACATGTATTACTCAGCAAAATGGCCTATTGTCTCGCATAGTCCTCATTTCTATATGTAGCACGGCTGTTTTGGTGGCTTTTCATGCCGCACCGGATCGCCCGGCTGAGAGTCATGTATGTTTACCAAAACTGGGTAGGGTGTCACCTGATCAGGCCCAACGCGCGCAGCACAAGAGGGGACTTATTAGCGTGCCAGCTGGCTTCAAACGTTTCTGCACGTTCACAAAACTTATCAATTATGGAGCTCACTACTTATACTCTTGCTGGCATCTATGCTGTTGGTGGCACTATGGGCTATGTTCTCCGAGGATCTGTCCACTCCTTGCTTGTCGGAGGTGCTGTGTCTGCTCTCTATGGATACTCGGGCTACTTGTTGAAAGATAATGCGGACTGGGGCTTGAAGTTGGCACTAGGCTGCTCCACTTCGATGCTTGCCACCGGGATTGGAAGAGTCATTGTCACGAGATTTGCTAAGCCAGTACCTGTGGTGTTGTTGGTGTTGGGAGGATTGTCCTCGACCTACTACTTTGGGAAATACAACGAGTTTCAAGGTCTCCCTTGAGGACCGAAGTATAGCACCTAGTGGTCGCGCCAACTAGTTGCACCCGGCCCCGCCTAATGACATCATGAAACACTAGCTAGTCGCGCCAATAGTCCCAATAAATTGAAAATAATCGCGCCAGTAGAGACCAATGAAACCTCACCGAGAGCGAGTAGGATTAAGTTCCGCACCCGCATTATTGTCAGCAGCAGATTCAATACTGCATCTTTGTTAGCAGCAAATTCAAAATAGCGATTTGTCAGCAGCCGATTGAACATTCCTGTCAGCACCAGTACCAGTATGGATATGAGCACCACAATATCGAGCCAAGGGCCTTCAATGAGCGCACAACAGCAAGTTGCACCTGGAACATAAAACACCAAAATATGGCCGGATGCTCGCACCAGTCCCACGCACCATTTAGCCACACCAAATCTCTTCGGCATCAGCGCCAACACCATCAGATAATATTCATACATGTCCACTAACTAGCAACAAAAAACACCATCAGCCCACTTCGGTCGACCCCTCAAACATCATCAATTCAAAGCACACCAGCTGGTCTGAGCACCCGCCAACTAGTAGAAGTAGTACCAAGGACACCAGAGATTATCGATACCGCCAAACTATAGATGTTGCCAGATGATAGCCCGAAATGCGCCACCGAAATCCATCATCCATCTAAACAGTATCAAATAAACCGCATCAATGTCCCTAAACAGCCGCACCAGCAGTATTCAGTCACCAGGTTGCACCCAATATCCCGCACCACCAATATTACTCACACCCACCGAAATGACGCGCAATATTACCCCCAATACCCATGATATTTCCACCAATACTGCCCACAATATCACCCGCAGTATCACCAAAATAATACCCAAAAATAATACCCACAATATTCCCAAAATAATACCCACACCGCAAATATCACCACACCAGCATCCTCACATCAACATCATCTACCACCAGCTGCACCAGACTTCACTCCTCGCCCCAAATCACCCCCCGCACATCGGCCCCGCCACGCTGTGTCACGAGGTATCCGCCATGTAGCCATCCCTCACGTGGCAAGGGGAAAAACTTCCGTAGAGGGAGAGTTTTTTCCTTCCTTTTTCTTCCTTAAGGGTTTTAAGAGAAAAGTAGTATTCTAAGGATCCAAAGTACCGTACATACTTGAATTGAGAAATCTGATACTAATACGCTGGCATTCCAGCCGCGTGCGAAAAAGAATACGCACCGCACCAAACCCACCTCACCACACCAAAAACCCTAATAAACCAAACCTGACCCGCAGACCCGCCGCTCCCACTGCACCAAATCTTGCTGACCCCCTCCGAAAATGCCAGACAAGTACTCCATCATCCTCCCCACATACAACGAGCGCAAGAACTTGCCGATTCTCGTGTACCTCTTGGACAAGACATTCAAACAGGCCAAGCTCGACTGGGAGGTGATTATTGTCGACGACAACTCGCCCGACGGCACCCAGGACGTGGCCAAGAAGCTCGGCGCTGTTTTCGGCGCCGAACATATCCAGTTGCGCGCAAGAGCGGGCAAATTGGGCCTAGGGACCGCGTATGTCCACGGCTTGCAGTTTGTCACCGGCAACTACGTGATCATCATGGACGCGGACTTCTCGCACCACCCGGAGGCGATTCCCGAGTTCATCGCCAAGCAAAAGGCCGGCAATTTCGACATCGTCACGGGCACGCGCTACGCGGGCAACGGCGGGGTCTATGGCTGGGACTTGAAACGGAAGTTGGTGTCAAGAGGCGCCAACTTTTTGGCGGCCACCGTGTTGAGACCGCATGTGTCGGACTTGACGGGCTCGTTCCGCTTGTATAAAAAGGACGTGTTGGCCAAGGTCATCAGCGAGACGAAGTCCAAGGGCTACGTGTTCCAGATGGAGATGATGGTGCGGGCCAAGGCGCTTGGGTTCTCGGTGGGCGAGGTGCCCATCAACTTCGTGGACCGTGTTTACGGCGAGTCCAAGTTGGGAGGCGACGAGATTGTCCAGTACTTGAAAGGGGTGTTTTCCTTGTTCATTGATGTCTAGGTGTTTTGTATGCGTCTGTAGGACCAGAGAATAGCTGTGAGACACGCTAGTGTTGTTTTGTGTAGGCACAGTGGACTGTTGTGGTGGTTGCTGATACATCAGACGTGTTTTGCCGATTGCTGGCGATGTGGGCTCCGCAAGCGATTGGTGCGGACGTTCTTCTCATGGTAGCTAAGTATTAGAGTTCAGTTTTATGGATGTTTTCGGCACAGTGCCATGCTTATTTTTAAGCTTTTTTTTGAGGCTGTTGAAGACATGACTTCTATGTGACTATCAGTGTTTCGAAGCGGTTGTTCATTCACGGTGGCTGCCAGCATTGATCATCAGTTGGGCTGATGATGGCCCATGGTGCACCACGAACTCTCCTCCATTCAAAAGCATTTAGATCCATTGGGGTTCTCGAGAACCCAAATGAGTTGGGAGCTTTTTTTTGCAGGTACCAATTATACATTCTCACAGTTTCTGAATCCAAGTGTCTAAATTCTGAGGTTTCTCAGCTTTCAAACAAATAAGGTACTATGCCCCAGAAGGTGCTCTACCTTGATTATGATTTAAACAGGTTTTGTGAAGACCATGATCAAAACTGGCACCAATACACCAACATTTAGAGATATAGAACCATGCAAATTATCATGCTGCAGTCGCTTATGCATGAGACGTCTCCGCTTATACTCAGCATATCGGATACATCTCAGCAACAAAAGAACTTCGCTTTCAAATTCAAAATGTATACTAGACCTCAGAAGCTCATGAAGTAACAAGTTGCAATCATTTGAAGGTTCAACGGGATGATGCATGTGGGTTTACAGAGAATAGGGCGTCTTCAAGATGTTTTATTGTTTTTTTTTTCAGGTTTTAAGAACAAGGAAGACGCATGTGAACAACATTATGCCTTTTGGAAATGTTTTTGACAGAATTCGTAGTTCTATCAACCCAAGAGGCTGAAGAGACATAAGTCATCTTCTTTGGAAACAAGCCAAGTATTGCACAGCTCCCCCAGGAAATCTTTCTAGATTTCCCTTATTCCATATTGCTAAGGACAAGCTACGTACTTTCTGCACTTCAGAAGAGTGCACGCATCCCCTAAAAAACTCTAGAATAATACTACGTTTTTACCTCGAATTCACACGCCAAACTCAGTGAGCAACTTCCACTTTCCACCTGCACCAGCCTGCGGAGAAATTCCAGTAGTCTATTATCGGGAATATGCATATCTAGCAAAATAGTCCCAATTAGGTACCGTACATTGAATTTGTTTTTTGTCAAAACTGGCAAGCAATTATTCGTTTGGGGCGTTTTTGGACCTCACCCACTTTTTTGACATGATGTCTGTTTCCAGACTGACTGGATGTAGAAATCCAGTTTCTTTCTGACCACAGGGATTTCGGGTTTCCTCCGATATTGTCCGAAGCAATACAAAGCGGTATATGCGCAGTGACTTGATTGCGACAAATGCGAAGTACTACCACAATGCAACATCCCATTTGTTTTCCCACAACAGCTCAAATACCCATAACTGGACTATTGATGACTCTGAATCGCAAGGATGATCAACTCGATCTTCTCCAGCGCTATTTCGAGACCAGGGCCTAAAACCCATCCTGCACAATAACATGTCGCTGTGCGTTATTCCCTCTTTAACGAGCCTCCTGAGAGCATTTTCGCCAGATCCCAGTGAGAATGCGCTAACATGGTCCGTTTGACCATCGGTGCATCATACACACCATTGGTCGTGATTCACCCGGCGAAAAAAAATTCATGGTAGTTTGTAGCAACTGTAGTTCGAAGCCGCAAAGGTTATGTCGTTTTTGAAAGAGCCTCTTAGCCGCCTCAAATGGGGATTTATCCCCGTAAGACGAATCGTCGACGAAGATATCGAACCCCAGGACCTGATGTCGGATTCCAAAGAGTCTCTTCAAGAGAGCAACTATGAAAACCTGGAGACTTCTTTGGACACTGAATTGATCGAATATCGCGACGAGGCCAATCGGCCATGGTGGAAGTTCTTTGACGAGTATGAATACAGGTTGAACAAGCATGTTCGGACCGGCCGCAAATGGTACAAGTGGTTTGACGACAAGGACACACCAGAAGAGCGGAAGTTGCACATAAAGATCGATATTTTGTTAACATTTTATGCGCTCATTGCGTATTGGGCCAAGTACTTGGACCAGACCAATTTGAACAACGCCTATGTGGCGGGCTTAAAAGAGTCTCTTGACATGTCTGGCAACGACTTGGTTAACACACAGGTGCTTTTTTCTGTGGGGAACATTATTTTCCAGCTTCCTTTTATTTATGTGTTGAATGGTCTTCCTCTCAACTATGTGTTGCCCTGCTTGGACATCTGCTGGTCGCTTTTCACTATTGGTGCATCAAAGGTGACTTCGCTCACCCAGCTCAAAGTCATTCGATTTTTCGTGGGTGTGTTCGAAGCGCCGTTGTACTTATCATTCATGTATTTGATTGGGACGTTCACCTTCGACCCAGCAATGCTTGCCAGAAGAACCATGATTTTTTACTTTGGCCAGTACTTGGGTATCCTAACATCGGGTCTAATTTCTGGCGCCATTGTGCGGAATTTCGATGGAGTGGGTGGGCTCGATGCCTGGCGGTGGATCTTTATAATTGACGGAATTCTTTCAGTGGGCGTGGGAATCCTTGGATTTTACATGTTACCTGGTACTCCCACCGATTGCTACTCGATTTGGTTGACAGATGATGAGATCCGGCTATTGAGAAGAAAGCTCAAGGAAAACCACACTGCAGGCAGACCTCACGACAATTTGTTCAAGGCGCTATTCTCCTGGAATATCTGGAAGCTGATTCTCACATCTTGGGAAATCTACGTGATCACAGTCTGGATTTTTCTTGTGTGCAATAACAGCAGTGGCATATCAGGCGCATATATCTTATGGCTCGATTCGTTGGACCGGTATAGCGCCGGAAAACTCCAGGACCTTTCCGCATTAACACCGGGACTTGGTATTGTTTGGCTCTTCCTCACGTGTATGTGGGCAGACATGTTCCAGCTGAGATGGTCGGCCATCTTGATCTCCCAGGCTTTTAATATCCTAGGAAATGTCATTTTGGCAGTTTGGAACGTGCCAGAGAGCCTCAAATGGTTTGCTTGGTGTCTCCAGTATTTTGGTTGGGCCATGGCCCCGGTGCTGTATTCATGGCAGAATGAAATCTGCCGTCGAGACGCCCAGAAACGTGCTGTGGTTTTGGTCACAATGAATCGGATGGGCTCTGCTTCTTTTGCGTACATGTCTGTACTTGTTTGGAAGACTGTGGAAGCACCTCGATTCTTGAAAGGTTACTCGTTCACCGCGGCATGTGCGTTTGGTTTGTGTATCTGGACTTTTGTTGTCTTGTACTTCTACAAAAGGCAAGAGCGGATGTATGCAAGGCAAAACGGCATTGTATTGTTTAACTCTGCTACAGATCCCGAGCCAATAGAGACTCGCATTAGTAGCTCGGAAAGCGACGACAAGAAATTGGACTAGTTCAATATCAGAGCGGCAGTATTTATTGACTTGACGCATAGAATAGTATGTAAGAAGTGTATCTTTGAAAGTTGTATGCGCGAGCAGGCTCTGAATTGAGTATATTTTCCCCGGATAAGACAAGACAAGCAGTGCTATCATGCTGGAACTATTGTCTCTGAAAAGTTATCTAAATATTGCTTTGTATATTGTTCATTTTTTGGTGTCTCTGAGGTTTTTTTAAAATGAAGCCGCGACGATCCCATAGTAAAGCGAGTTTTTAAATCCACTGGTTTATGCTATATTGCTCGAATTCTGTTTCATGATATGGTCTTCGAATGCGGAGTTCTACCGGTGGGTTCACAGATTATCAATGTGAATGTGGGTCGCGCAGGCTTGCTTCAAGGAATCTGCACTTAGTTCCCCATAAAAAACAAGTATGGTAGCTGTTTCCTCCAATGAAGCATTAAGTTTGAGACTGAGACTTGCTAGAAATTGTGTATCATTGAGTTGAGAATTATGCAAGCAGGTTTTTCTTTCATAGCCTCACCGAGATTATAATGAGAACTACTTTGAAGGCTTTGCGCAGGTTCTTGTCATTTTGCTCCCAAGTAATGTAATAAGAGAGTAAGAATACTTCTAGCTTTCAGAACAGCAAAAGCATTCTTCTTTATGCCTGTGATTACCATTGCGAAACTAGTTCCCTGTAGAGACCTCTTTCAACACCATGTAACCGAAAACACACCAGACCATCTATATAGAAATTGCATGAAGGAACGCGTAAAAAATATGGATATAAATCAAGGTAAAATGTAATATTGATGTCACTCATTGCAAAATGAGTCAACACTGATATGATCTTCGAATATCTGATTGACCCGGTGCGTGTCTATATTTCGCAACCTTTTCTTTTGGTCCCAGATCATAGTATGATACAGAACACGCAATACAACAAATCTTGTCCACTCAATAGAAAAATCCTTAGTATTTCAAGTCATCCTGAAAGAAAATGGAAGCACTGTATGTTTGGTGGTATACTCCGGTCCCACGGTCAACTCGGCCCCACGGTCAACTCGGCCCCACACCCGTGCACCAGGTAGATTGCCTAGCCAGCATATCCAGAAGCACCTTCATTGTGTGGATTTCAGCACGTTCTCACAGCTGCACCCGTTGTGATGGCAAAAGAGACATATCTCAAACGAGTGCTTGGCACCGAAAGATACAATGCGGTGCGGTCCGCAAAAATCTTGATGGTCGGTGCTGGAGGCATTGGCTGTGAGCTTCTCAAAGACTTGCTTTTGTCGGGGTTTGGCGAGATCCATATTGTGGACTTGGACACCATCACGTTGTCCAATTTGAATAGGCAGTTTTTATTTAGACAGAAAGACATCGGGAAGCTGAAGTCGCTCACCGTGGTAAAGGCTGTACAGAGCTTCAACTACTACAATGCCAAGCTTGTGCCGCACCATGGCAATATCATGGACCCTGCTCTTTTCCCTGTTGAGTGGTGGAAACAGTTCGACTTTATTTTCAACGCCTTGGATAATGCCGAGGCTCGGAGATACGTCAATAGAACCGCGTTGTTTTTGCACAAGCCGCTCATGGAGTCGGGCACCACGGGATTCGACGGGCAGATCCAACCCATCTTTCCCTTTGAAACCGAGTGCTACGAGTGCCAGCAGAAGGAAACGCCAAAATCGTACCCCGTGTGTACCATCCGATCCACGCCTTCGCAACCTGTGCATTGTATCGTGTGGGCCAAGGAATTTTTGTTCACGCAGCTCTTCACATCGACCTCTGAAAACGAGCTAGGAGCCGCCGACTTGCGCAAGGAGACTGACGACCCGAAGGAGATCGAGCGGATTTTGCTGGAGGCCAACGAACTCTCCAGCTTGAAAAAGCAGGTTGCCGATGCGGACTTCCCGGCCAAGCTTATCCAGCAAATCTTTCACGATGACATTCGCAAGGCATTGCAGCTCGAGAGTCTCTGGAAAACAAGACGCAAGCCGGAGCCTTTGCAGTTCCACGAGAAATATAATAGCGACTTGCAGAACTTGGCCCGGAATCCCGAGAGTGCCAATTTGCTTGTCAACGACACCGAGGTGTGGTCCGTGTTGGAGACCTTGTATGTGCTTGTGGAGTCGACGGGCAGAATCCAGAAACGCTTGCAGCTGGGCGAGCAGGAGGTCTTTTTCGACAAGGACGACGAGGACACGTTGAACTTCGTGGCTGCGGCCGCCAACCTTCGCTGCTGTGTTTTCAACATCGAGCGCAAGTCCAAGTTTGACATCAAGCAGATAGCCGGCAACATCATTCCTGCCATTGCCACCACCAACGCCATCATCAGTGGGCTCTCGAACTTGTCGTCTTTGATCTACTGGAAAAAGAACTTTTCTGCTGCCGCCGCCAAGGTCACATACATCAGCATCAAGGAAAACAAGCGGGCCACGTCGGCACTGGTCGAGGCGCCCAACGCCAAATGCGCCAGCTGCGGGATCGTGAGCAAGGGCCTAGTGGCGGTGCTGGAAAAAGGCTTCGACATGCCGCTCCAGGGCTTTCTCGACTTGGTCAAAGAACAGTACGGCTACTCAGACGACGTGTCTGTCATTGTCGGCAAGAACAAGTTGGTCTACGACATTGATTTTGACGACAATCTTGCACGCAGTCTCCGGGACCTTGGCGTGCGTACAAGCGAGACGCTCCTCATCCAAGACGACGCCGACGAGTATGAGAACTTGGAGCTTTTGGTCTGCACCGGTGAGAATCAGCAGGTGGAGCTTCCCAAAATCCTGCTCCGTGCCAAGAGCAACAGCACCGAAAACACCGCGGGACATGGGGCTCTTTCGGAGGGTGAGCTTGAGGAAATTGCCGATGAGGTCATATTAATAAATGACGACGAGCAGCCGCCCTCCAAGAAGAGAAAAGTCGACAGCGATATTGTGGAGATATTATGAGCATCGTGGAGGTATTATGAGCATCGTAAGCGCACTGCGATAGTCGCTTATTGCACGGAAAAAGAAGGTCCACGAAAATCCAAAAGTGCGCCTTGAATTAGGGCTTGAGACTGGCGCCCTAGTGACCAGGCTTGCTAATTTGGGGCGTTGGGGGAAAACCGCCGGATTGCCTGTTTTTTGCACCCGGGCATGTATGCCTCCCCAGCACACACCCGTGCACCAGCAAGGGCGACAAGCAAGCGTTTGGCCAGCTGTGAGTGCCCTGCCTCTCATTCCTGATCACTTACAAACGCACTATTTAACATGTCTTGGAACGCATACACCGACAGCCTTCTCTCCACCGGCAAAATCGACAAGGCCGCCATCTACTCCGTGGCGGGCGACTCGCTCTGGGCGCAGTCGGGGGGATTCCAGATCGCCCCCCAGGAAATCACCAACATTGCCGGTGGGTACGCGGATGCTTCTCAATTGCAGGCCCACGGCTTGCGTGTGGAAGGAGAAAAGTACTTCTTGTTGAAGTCCGATGAGCGCTCCATCTACGGCAAGCAGGAAGACCGGGGGATCATTGCTGTGAAGACCAAGCAGGCAATTCTCCTTGCCCACTACCCTTCTGGGGTGCAGGCCCAAGAGGCCACAGCCGTGGTGGAGAAGTTGGCCGACTACTTGATCTCACTGGGCTACTAGATGTGTGTACGAGACCTATAGGAACAGAATTGACGGAATGTCACTGATGCGGGCCGGCCAGTCTCTGGTCCGGAGTACTCTTTGTAGGGTAGTTCGCCAGCCTCTCCACCTGCAGCGTTTCCATCCGCTCCAAGGGGAATGCTACTTCAGAAATAGAGAATCATACATAGGAAATAGAAGATGATACAGAGATGGCCACACGGAGGAAACTGGGGCCATTTGGAGCCGCTTTTCACAGATCTTAGACCCTGGCTTGCTAGCTCGATTGCCGGCTGGCGGCACATAACCCGACGCACCCGCACACCTCGAGCCAGAGTGAAACACCAGGAATGCGGGTCCGCATGAAACATAGGAATTAGGGGACGGGGCGGATTTCGGTGTTTGCTCATGACGCCAAATCAGACACGTCCATAGAAGGAAACGCTTGGGCTGAGGCATGCGGGAAACGGCCTGAATTGTTCTGTTGTATCAGGTATATGTAGTGAGGTTTCATTGGCCAGATGGCGCACTAGTATTCGCCGGCTGAAATCTTTTTTTTTTTCATCTCTTTCTTTAGCGTGGCCAGTCTTTTAGAATGATAGTTCGAATTGATTGCGACACGAAGGCTAGGAGACTGGTGGCCGATCTACTTATTCATCTGCTTGGCCTTGTGAGGCTCCGGTTCGCACGGCCTCATTGGCAAATGACAAGCTAGGTGAGGACAGGGGTCCGTGCACCAAGGGCTGAATCTATGCTTTGTTTGTTTCATAGACCCGCTCACAAGATTTTGTCGAAATTTTCAAATGCAAGAAGTTTGGACTTATAAGCATGACTGTTGAACATAGACAAACCAGGCCCTGGAAGCCTGTGCCCAACGGCTGCGGGAATGTCGGTGCTTTCTTTTGTCCCGGCTGCCGCTCTAATTTGTATTTTCCTTCAATTAAACTCGATTGTCCCCAAATCTGCAATGAATATGATGACTTAGGACCATTAGTATACACGAGGGTCTTTATTATACATCCCCGTTTCTTTGAAGGGCCACAGGAGACCAGGAACCAAACCCGGGCCAAAAAGGTCACACTCAAAAGAAAACCGAACCGAAGAAAAGGGCAACCAAAATATTCCGACGCCAAAAATAGTAAGCTGAAACCCCCTAATCTGGCGCCGGGTGCAAGTTTTAAATTGGCCACGGTCTGATTTTCGCACCCATGCCATATCATGTCTCACCTGTGGCTTTTGGGCCGCGTAATTTAACAGGCGGAAGGAAACGAGAACAAGAACGAACGGAGAGGCTGGATACTAAGAGGGAAACAAGATACAAAAACATGACAAAAAATTGCAAGAACAGAAACTTAAAGAGGAAGAAAACAAATAAGGTAGATGACAAGAAAAAAAGGAAGTAAACCTTGAAGGAGAAGAAAAAGAAAACGAAGGAAGAAAAACACGACACGAGACCAAAACATCAGGCAATTGATTAGACAACAGACAATGCCAACAAGCCAAAACCCAGCAAGCAACAGAACGAGAAAGAACAGAAGCAATCAGAGCCGGAAAAAAACAAAAACAAAAAAAACAAGTGAAAACAAAAGGAACAAAACAACAGGCACAGAACGAGAAACATATATCACAGCAGGAAGCAGGAAGTTAACCAGAAAACCACACTTCCCCACCTTCGGCACACCCAGACTAGGGCCCTCCAGATGCGCAGCTTGCCAATTGAAACGGCTCGCGCGCGGCACGTGACCTCCCGTGAAACCTGCGCGCCGCCATTGGCCAGTTTTTTTCGTGCCTTCGCACAAGTCCATTCTCACGATTTCAGTCCTCTCCTCCACGCCTATCTTGTTTCTAGACTATACCCCGTAGAAACACACACAAACACCATGTTCCGCGCCACGTCCCGCACCTGCAGAGCCAGCTTCAAGCGGTTCTTTGCCGCCGGCGCCCAGCACGACGCGCCCGCCGCCACACAGACCGAGATCGACGTGACCAAGGTCTTCAGCATGGCCGTTTTGGCCGGCGTGTCGCTCTATTTCTACCGGTCCTCGGACTCCCCCGTTGTCGAGACCGCATACTACAAGCAGATGGAAAACCGTGACCAGATGAGAAGCGACGCGTACTTGAAGCGGTACAAAACCTCGTTCATCAAGACGTTCATCCGCGACAAGGGCGGGCTTGGCCAGAACCACTTGAGGGCCGCCGCCCACACGCCCATTCCGCAAACGTTCATCCACCTGCACTCGCCTTACGGCCAGCAGTTTGGCGCGGGCATCAAGACCGACAAGTTGGGCCCCAGAAGAGAGAGAATAAAGTACTTTGCTCCGTTGCAGAACTAGATTCGCTGCGCCTGCTACCCCGGCAGCGGGGCCGAGACGTCCTTGCTGTCGCAGGAGCAACAACACACGAGGCGAGCCTCGAAGACCCGAAAGACCGGTGCTCGGGCCGTGGGATGGGGCTTTTCTTCCACAGCACTTCGGTGCGTCCATTTGCATTCATCATCGAGGGGCCGCGGCCCTTCCCTTGCTTCACCATTATATTCATAATATACGAGACTTTTAGACTGTTTTGGGCACCCGTGCCGGACAGATATCTCCGATACGCTGCGTGTGGCTGGCCCTGGCTAAGGACTGTGGTTGCCTGTGTCTCCCTTGACATTGGGGTGTTTCCGCTCTTCCAATTCTCATGGGCTCAAAGTCGCTGCAACTTGTCTGACAGGCTTAGCATGGATATTTACTGGGTTAGGCTGTATTAGGCTTCGCTGTATTTGACCTGTATTCAACCTGTATTCAACCTGTATTTGACCTGTATTTGACCTGTATTCGACCTGTATTCGACCTGTATTCGACCCGTCTCACATATAACTGGTACCAAAGAATCAGCTCTTCACTATGCTGCCCCTTACACAAGACCCGAATTCCCTTTCTTTGATCATATCAACGCACTAAACAATATTGCATTTTTTATTTTTTTTTGATCAGAATCGTCTCAAAGTAGAATTCCACGTTCCATCTCTAACGCGCGTCGCTGATGTCGGACACGTTCTTGTAGTATACCGCACTTCATATCTCTCTTCTGATCCCATCCAAAATGTCCAAAATTGAGTGGAACGTGATTGTTTTTGATAAGCCAGGCACAGACAGAACCGCCGTGCGTCCGCAGCACGTGGCGGCGATTCCAGAAAGTGTGAACAACGGCACCGTGACCTCTGTAGGTGCCATTTATAAGGACGCCTCCAAAACCCAGTTTGCCGGCTCGACGTTCCACATGATGGCCGAGTCCAGGGAGGAGATTCTTGACTTTTTGAAGAAGGACATCTACTACGAGTCCGGAATCTGGGACTTGGACTCTGTCATTGCTCACCCCGTGGGGATTGCTGCCAGATTAGGCAAGGCCATGCCTGGCGTCACCAAGATCTGATCTGCTGAGTGTCGCTGTGTACTTTAAAAGTGATATGTAGCTTTGAATTGATGTTTGGGTGCAATTGATGCGTAACTACAAATGATGTGTAGCTACAAATGATGTACAGATGAAGCATAGCCCTGAATGGATATGTGAATCCATATATCGATATCATTTACCAGGTGTATGTGATACTGAAAGATACATCGACATGAACTGATGTGAAATATGTTATTAAGAACTCTCATGAGGATTTGAGTTACAACCTTGGGTGGAGCGTTTACTGTTTTCAGTCCGCCGAGAACATGAAGATGCATCATTCTTTAACAGACGCTAACACAAGTGTTTTTCATGTACAGCTATATCTTGATATGTATTATGATAGAACATTTAAAATACGCCGGTGAATTAATGGATTCATGAAGCAACTCTTACATGGTGTGCTTCCAGGAAAAGTTTCTGTAAGGCATTTGCTGGCATTTTCTATCAGCCTGATGGAGGATGTTGATTATGTTAGATTTTCAAGGTGGATAGCGCTAGAATATACTGCAATATTCGCTCAACAGAAGCAGTAGACTGATACATCTTCCAGTATATACTGTTCAAGCATGCTGAGATACAATTAGTTAATTGGTAATGTAGCTAGAACCACTGAAACACACTCGATGCAAATAAAGTGTAATTCATTTAGGAACATACAGAACAACGTTAGTTGAGATAACGCAGAAAACACTACAGTTCATGGTATATGAGTTGCTTCACCATGTCGTGTTTACAAGAAGAGTATTTTGAAAAGCAAGACAGACAACATCAAGTGGGTCTACTGGCGAAAGACTCAATTTATCAGAAATAGTCAAAAAACAATGGAGACCTTGTCGACCTCTGATGTCCATAAACAGTTCTCAATCCAGTCTTCGAGAACTGGTTGGAGCTATTAAAGCAATGACTCTCGGGTTGTGTCTCGCTTGTTTGATGCTCTACTTCAAAATCAATACTGTTGGTTTAATTGTAATTTTCGAACAATACCAATATTACACCGCTTTCTTGGTGCCAAATACCCGGCACGTCACTATTCACAGGAAGGCTATATATCACTATAATCACGAAGCTAGAGTTGAGAATGCACCGCATATTTGAGCCGAAGCACCTGGGATACAGTGTAATAGAGTTCTAGAGTACTTGCCTAAGGTCTTGCCATCGCCCTGTAGCTCATAAGTTACGCATCATAATTAGCTAGTGAGCTCATTGTTAAAGCATGTCAGAAACAACAGTCTCTTATCGATTATAAAAGCGTAAAAGGCTGTATAGAATGAATTATACATAGGTTTTTGATATAGAAACGGGAACTTTAACACTCTGAATCTCATATACTGAATTGGTATACATCCCAATTTTTGGGCGTCAAGGTTTGAAGACCCTTGGCTGAAAAAACTTCGTTTTATGTTTTGCATTCACAATTTCTTTTGCAGGAGTACCAGAAATTTACTTATAAACGTACAAGGAGCAGTATTAAAATTGCAATCCATGCGAGCTACATATATTAAATTGAGCAGCGGAACGTACCGAACCCCCTCTCATCGAACTTTTACAAGTTTCGAGTAGTCAGTAAGGCTTTGTTTAATTACATTGTCCAGTGAATCCTCACTAGAGGTTGGCCGAGTAAGCAGTGTTGCTACACCAAACAGTTTCTTTCAAATACCTCTGCTTGAGACATTATTTATTCATTTCAACTATACGTGAGAACTCTCGTGCGATTCCGTCGCAACCTAACTGTACAAGTCATCATCTTCCGCTTCGTTTGCAAAAGCTGCGCCGTTAGTACTACTCTCAGCCTCGCCGCCTTCAGAGAATCTGAAATTCGTGAATTGGCCTCTGGAAGATTGCAATTGTTGGGCGTAGGACTCGTAACGACGCAAGTCAGCGTCAGAGACCGAGCGCTTAGCGGTCTTCATAGCCTCCTCGAAGTGCGATCTGGAAATGAAAGGCACTGGGTCCTCCTCTTCCTGCTCCTCCTCTGTCTTGGGCTTGTCGGTCATCTCAACGTCCTCACTCTGTTCTTGCTTGACAGCTTCGGCGGCCTCAGCAGCAGCCTTGGAGATCTTGATCTGTGCCTCAATAGAGTCCTTGATGGCAAACTTGGCGGCTCTTTGGACAATGTACAACAAGTCCGCACCAGAGAAGCCGTGAGTAATCTTGGCAATTTCCTGCAAATCCATGCCTGGCTCCAATGGAGTATTTCTCAATTGAGCCTCCAAGATCGACAATCTTGCGACCTCGTCTGGCAATGGGACGTAGATCAATTGGTCCAATCTTCCTGGTCTCAACAAAGCTGGATCGATTTGATCAGGTCTGTTGGTAGCACCAATGACAAAGACATTCTTCTTGGCATTCATGCCGTCCATCTCAGTCAACAACTGGTTGACGACCCTGTCAGAGGCACCACCGGCATCTCCATTGGACCCGCCTCTGGCCTTGGCGATGGAGTCCAATTCATCCAAGAACACGACGGTTGGAGCGGCGGCTCTAGCCTTGTCAAAGATATCACGGATGTTGGACTCAGATTCACCGTACCACATACTCAACAACTCTGGGCCTTTAACAGAGATGAAGTTAGCAGAGACTTCGGTGGCAACAGCCTTGGCCAACAAAGTTTTACCAGTACCAGGAGGGCCATAGAACAAGACACCCTTGGAAGCAGCCAAACCAAACTTTTGGTATTGGTCTGGGTGCAAGACAGGGTACTCAACGGTCTCCTTCAACTCGTTCTTGATTCCGTCCAAGCCACCAATGTCATCCCAGGTGACGTTGACGTTTTCGACAACCGTCTCACGCAAGGCCGATGGGTTGGAGTTGCCCAAGGCGAATCTGAAGTTCTCCATGGTGACACCCAAGGAGTCCAAGATCTCAGCGTCAATGGTCTCCTCCTCCAAGTCGATGAGGTCCATCTTCTCACGGATTTGCTGCATGGCAGCCTCGGAGCATAAGGAGGCGATATCAGCGCCAACAAAACCATGGGTCTCGGAGGCAATGGCCTCCAAGTCGACGTCTTCGACCAACTTCATGTTCTTGGTGTGAATCTTCAAGATTTCCAACCGACCTGCAGCATCCGGAACACCAATGTCGACCTCTCTGTCGAATCTGCCGAATCTTCTCAACGCAGGGTCGATAGAGTTTGGTCTGTTTGTGGCGGCAATGACCACGACGTTGGAGCGGGCCTTCATGCCGTCCATCAAGGTCAACAATTGCGAGACGACTCTTCTCTCGACCTCACCGTTGGTCTTGTCTCTCTTTGGTGCAATGGAGTCGATCTCGTCAATAAAAATAATGGCGGGGGAGTTCTTCTCCGCCTCCTCAAAGGCCTTTCTCAAGTTCAGCTCGGACTCACCGGCCATCTTGGACATGATCTCCGGCCCGTTGATCAAGAAGAAGAAGGCGCCGGTCTCGTTGGCCACGGCCCGGGCCATGACGGTCTTACCCGTGCCCGGGGGGCCGTACATCAAGATACCCTTTGGCGGCTTGATACCGATGGACTTGAACAACTGCGGGTGTCTCAAGGGCAACTCGACCAACTCTCTGATCTGGGCCATCTGCTTTTTGCAGCCGCCAATGTCGTCGTAGCCGACCTCGTTTAAGTTGTTCTCCTCGTCCTCGCGGTTGATGGGCTCGCCCTCGCAGTGGATGATCGTGTCCTGGGCCACAATGGCAAACTCCTCCGGGTCGACGTCCACGACCTTGAACTCGACCTGGCGCATGCCACCGCGCACGGTGAACAAGTCGCCCTTGCGCACGGGACGGTAGGTCTCGACGAAGTACGGCTTCAAGTACACGTCGAACAAGGAGCCGGTGATGCCCTCCACGGTGTCCTGGATGGGCAACACGGAGATGCGCGACGCGTACTTGATGTCCGGGCACGGGTGGATCAGCACAATGTCGCTCAAGCGCACACGCAAATTGTTCCGCACGCACCGGTTGATACGCGCCACGCCGTCCTCCATGTCGTCGTCAGCCAACACAATCAACACCGTGTCGCGGCGCTTCTTGCCCTTCACGAGCACCGTGTCGCCGCGGAACAACTCAAGGAGTTCCATTGTGGCCAGCGACATTGTGATCACGGAGTTGTCGTCGTTTGTGGCATCGTCTACAATCAACGCGTTGTCCTTCTTCTTCCGCCTCAAAATGGCGGTGGCGGTTTTGTCCTCCTTGGACTCGGCGCCGGAGGCGTCTAGCATGGACTTTTTGTCTTCGGTCATCTGCGAAATTCTGGGGCTGTGAGGGGGAAAAAGTCGGGTGATTGGTGGAAAACAAGCGCCCTATGGAAGAAGAAAACGGGGTACTCTTGCCGCCCGGTCCGCCTGTTCGCGCCACATGGCCACCGAGCCCTGGCGTGGTGCACGGGTGTGTGGGCTCAGTGGCGGAAGTTGGTGGAAGCGTTGCGAAGAACGGCCGCTGGGCCCAACCCCGTGCTTTGTGCAGGACACGAGCGAGCCATCTGGGGCAATTTCGGCGGGGGTGGGCACTCGGTGTTGCTGGAGTGGCTTGTTTGCAGCCGACTTTCGTGATATGTTCGCTTGTGAATTTTGGACCTCCTTTTTGTGTTTTGAGTCTGTGGTTTTTTTTTTCTTGCCTTTTTTTCGGATTGTCTTGTATTTTCTGGACACATGTGACGTAAAGTGATGGGGCCTGCTCATGACCACTGGGCCTCATAGCAATCGACGGCCCACCGCGGCCCTGGGCTCGGGCCCGATGGTAATTAACTGTCGCCCTATTATTGAGCAAGTCATTCCCGACTTTGTGCCAAAGAGGAAAAGAAGGAAAAATTCGAAAGAAAGAAAAAAGACGAGTGGCAAACCTAAGAGAGGAAATGGATGCTTTTGAACGTGGGACGTCTTTTTCTGGCAAGATCTATGTTGAGTAATGACTGATCCAAAAAGGAGGGGTGAGCCTACGCCAGGCCATCCGCAACCAGTTTACCTGATGTACATGGTTGCAAGCAACAAAAGGTTAAATTCTGGTCAGCAGAAAGACACAATTCTAGTTATTGGAAAGACCCAAAATCTTCATTTTCTTTTGAGCGCTTCCTTGTTAGAATTGGTCGCCGTGGGCATTTTCTGTATTAGCACCTTGCGAGGGCGCAATATAGTCAAGCCGCGAGCGAGAGACTGATCGAATGCACTCTTTTGAGAGGCCAAGAAACACTCAATTTTCTGATTGTTGATATCATGGAGCCCCGCAACTATGTCTCCATTTCGTTTTATTGAGCGATCCCGATTTGTCTGAAAAATGGAGAGACTTTGGGGTCATTAGAACCAATAGCAAAATCAACCTAATTGGATGAAGCATTGGTGGTTTATTGTTTGGGTTGAACTTCTGATTTCATGTCAAGCTCAATATTCTGCAATATGGCTGAACTATTAACAAATCAATCTAATGGGTAAGTGACGAACTGTAACTGTTCCGTCTCTATGAAACATTATCTATTGAAAGTTTAACCGGTATTAACCGATCGTCTTGTAACTGTTACCTTTTTTTTTATGATTATGACCACAGTATTTTTTTGGCTCCTTTACTTTCAGACGCATGCTAACTCATCTGATTTTCCTGGAAGGGCCTTGAGCTCACTCAGGCAGCAAGAGAATATGATATTCTCCGGGCTTTAACTGTCGCCCATTTGCAGCTGCACCACTTTCTCAACCACTGGTCCACCACAAATTTTCTGTCAGAGCTTCTATTAGTACCCGAGGAAACTATATACTTGAGCAGATGCTACATGAAAACGTAGTCTCCGACAAAGTGATGTGTGAATCGTCAAAAATAATAATCGTCACCACGGTCCAAAAGCACTTCCACATCCAAGCCACCTTCGTCCTCTCCACTACTTGCGTATCTTTTAGTATTTACATCAGCGTTAAAAACCTGAGGAAGATAGTACCACCAAAATACGTGGTTGACTTTTTAACAAAATATTCAGGCACATATCTGCCACATGTTACAGTGTCAAGATTATCTCAATAGAACTAAGTGATTCGTCTGTGGTATATACTCTTCATACAATACTAAACACACAACGCAATCCTGACATTAAACAGGACGTTGCCTAAAGGAACAGACTTGCGCTTCTCAGTACTTATATCCACAAAACACAAGAGCCACCTGCTTTGCCTTTCCAAAAGCCCTACTTTAATACCACAGTTCCTGTGTTATGAACTCTCAACATATTCTATTTCTGTGGCATATTCTTTTCTGGAGTCTCCAGGTCCGCCCGACTGATATCTGCAGATTTACTGGAATTATTGGAAGAAAATGCCGCTTCTAAGTACGCAATCTGTTCCGTCTTGAAGTTCCGTCTTGGTCCATTCCGTCAATTTAAGATGAAGCCGCAGCTGGGCTTCTAACCCCGAGTTCCCCCTATCAGTGCCACTAGACAAAATCCTGTAATCGGCACCATGGCGGTCTCTCCTAGAATCTCTCATCTGAGACAAGAAGAATTGGCAGCCTAGCACGAACATTTCTCCGAATGCTGGCAGGAGTAATAAATCTCCACCATGAGTCACGTGCACTGCCGTCAGGCGCATGCCATATAAAGGGCCGATCACGCGTGTTCCCCAGCTCCGATACCGATACCAATTTCTAAAACCCTACAGTAGCCATCTCCTTTTACAGCGACCCTGAACTTCCGAAAAACTTTACACGGAGCCTTTCCCATGGCTTACCCCACAGACATGTCTGGGCTCCTGCACACAGACGGCCCGTGCGGACCCAATAGGCATTATACATCTCGCCCACTCATTCAAGGTCGACAGTTCCCCACATAAGTTCCACCACCAGATTCGTCGACACATCACACAATGACTAGCACCGCCGCCTGTGTTTTCTGTGACATCATCAAGGGCAAAATCCCGCTGTTCAAATTGCTTGAGACCAAGTACACGTATTCGTTTTTGGACATCCAGCCCACGGCCGAGGCACACTGTCTCATCATCCCCAAATTCCACGGGGCGAAATTGCACAATATTCCCGACGAGTACTTGGCAGACTTGCTCCCCATCGTGAAGAAATTGACGGCCGTTTTGGAGCTTGATGGAAACAACACTCCTGATGGCGAGGGCTACAACGTTTTGCAGAACAACGGCAGAATCGCCCACCAGGAGGTGGACCATGTGCACTTCCACTTGATTCCTAAAAAAGACGCCGAAACCGGCTTGGGCGTCGGCTGGCCTGCACAGGCGACCGACTTCGAGAAGTTGGGCAAGTTGCACGAGTCCTTGAAAGCCAAGTTAGAGAAGTTGTAGAGCTGGATGATTAGGAAGGCGATTGTAGAAGCGGTGAGTTTTGGCAGGTTTTGGGGAAGACAGCTTCGGATGGACGAAGCTATGTAGAGGAGAACCAGGAAAAGGAGGGCGCAAGGATGAGTAGTTTACGAATAAAGATTTCTGATTTTAAAGGGAGACTCATGTAGAGATGACAGAGTTGGGGGGCACGGAGGGAGAGCCAGGATTACAGCAGAACAATATGGGTTCAATGGGGTGATGTTGAAGGGGCAGCTGACTGCAATGGAAGAGCAATTGGAATGGAAGTGAAGAAGAAATTGACGCGAGATAGTCAATTGAAAATTAGAGAAGAAAAGGAATCTGGCTGAGTCTTCAGGAGCAAGAAAACTACAGCAGGTGCATGGCCTCAGGAGCCTCATAGAGGTGCAGTGTCCCAGAAGAATGCTGAATGACTGGTGAAAAACAGGCCTGAAGCTACAGTTTGTATAAATAAAGTTTTGAACGCCAGAGTGAGTGGGAAGTGCAAAGTTTCAGACTGACGCAACTTCAATTGAGAAACCGGCGGGGAACCCTCGAATGCAAGAATGGAACTCATGGGAAGGCTTATAAAGTACCGATCGGAAGCAGGATTGAGGCACATTTAGACATTGAAAAGTCCCTTTCTGAAGCATTTTTGATAAACAAGACAGACGGGCACATGTAAACAATGGCTTCAGCAGGGTAGAAAATTACCAAAGCCACAAGCCCCAAAAAACAGCCTTTAGCTGGCGTTTTCGAACCTACTGGTTCTCATTCTGGTGCCTCAAACCTGCCCTACAGGCCCATTGCCTAGGCACATAATAAGCATGCGCACCAGGGCCCGAAACAGCCCCCACCAAACCAAGAGGAAAGACACTATTCCGGCAAGTCCTCCCACAGTCGCCACAGCCCAGGCACCCCGTGCAACTAGAGTACGCAACTGTTCACATAGGGCGAACAAAGAAAGACAGGCAAAAGAAGACAAGCACCTTGCTGGGATGCAATCTCTAGCCTTGCCCGTCCCAGGCCAGAAAAACCCACACACCATGCACCCAGCCTGGCGCCACAGCTACAAGCTCACCGATCACCACGGCTAACCACAAGCTCGCCACTATACAACCTGGCGCATCAACCAAAAAAAAAAAATCCGCACACAAGAGATGTCCCAGCCAGAGTCAGACTTCAAAGCTCAATTCGGCAGCTGGGCGTCCCGGACGGCCTCGCAGTCCGGCGCCTCATCGGCACCAGCCTTCTCGGACTGGTCTGATTACGTGCGGTCCGGGGCCAACAATCTATACGACTCGTTGCCGTCGTATAACACCAGCGGCGCAGCTGCACAGGAGCCCTCGTGGTTCCAGCTCAGCCGGTTCGAGCGAGTGGTCGCCTTCGGCTGTTGTCTTGGCGCATCGCTCCTTTGCTTCACGCTAGGCTTCTTCGTGTTCCCGGTGCTTGCGTTGCGGCCCACCAAATTCGCGGTGCTTTGGCTGATGGGGCTGCTTCTCTTCGTGGTGTCGTTCGGCGTGTTGCAGGGCCCCAACGCGTACATCCGGCACATCACCAGCTCCGGGCGGATATTGTTTTCCGCTGTGTTCTTCGGCCTGATTCTCACCACAATGTACTGTGCGGTGGTGCTCAAGTCCACGGTATTGACCATCGTAGCTAGCGTGGTGGAGGTGTTTGCCATCTTGTACTACGCATTCAGCTACTTCCCCTTTGGCACGGCCACCATCACGTGGTTCTCCAGCTATGTGGTGGGGTACGTCGGCGGGCTCTTTGCCGGCCTTCTTTAGCGCTGGAGCTGTCCTCAGTCCACGCCGTTAGTTCACTTTTGAGCCGCCATCCACGTTTTCGAGCGTGGATGGTTGCGTATGCACTTTGCATCGCCGCATGTACATCTTCTCGAACAGATAGGCTTGTCCTCCGGATCATCAGAGATGCTTGGTATCAAACCATTGTGTCCTCCGGCATGTTTTTCATTAGGTCTTCCATCAGGTCCTCCATCATTTTCCTTCGTCAAATAGGGCTCAATCATCGGATATGTACCTCAATCTTAATTGTGATAAACGCACCTGATTGCCGAATGGCCATAAACATCGCCCCACAAACCTGATGCTCAGATGAGCCTTGTTTTTCATATCTTGGTGAGTCCTGGGAGCGTTGAATATTCGAATCTGCCTTTGGTTGTGAGTCAGATGCACATCCCCAAAATGTTCACGCATATGTTCACGCGCTGGACTTGGAACCTTCTTTTTTTGAGCACGGTCCTATCCATAGTCACAAATGGTCTGCATCTGCAGCGGAGCCGCCATACACGTACCTCCCCGATCCATCAAATGTGCACCTGCACCTCAAAGTCCTCCTCGAGCTCCGTATCGCCCACCACCGCGTCGAGATCAAGCTGCTCGTCCTCAAACAATATGCGGCCCGGCCGCCCGGGTGTCTCCTTGATTCCTTTCACTTGCATGTAGTACTTGAGGAGGTTGCGGATCTTGGTGGCCGGCCCGACCTCGGCCTCGATGCGCTTGTTGTCCTTGCCCTTGAGCCCAATGACAAAGTATTGGCTTTTCTCGACAGGCTGTGCGGAGGCAGTTTCCGCGTCGTTTTCGTCGTCCGACGCGTCCAGAAGCACCACCACTTCGGGGCCAGATGGCACCTCTGTTGCTGCCTCCTTTGCGTGCGTGGCCTCGTTTGGTTGAGCCTGCTCGTTTATGCTTCCTGCCTCGTCAAATTCCGCATAGAGGCTCTCGAAGTTGTGCACGTGTTCGGGCGGGATGTACAAGCAGCTGATCTGCGTGGGCAAGTGCCCCGGCGCCTGCGGAAGCCGTAGCGTGCTGGGCCTGAAAAACGGCTTGAGCTCCAGCCGGCCCTCGATCCACACCAACACACCACGGGTCCAGTAGTCGGGCTGGTTGTGCTCGCGGAGCGTGTCTTGCAGCAAGATCTCGAGGAGCTGTGCAAACGTGGTTTCGCCGGAGATCTCCTTCTCGTACTCGAGAGGAAGCCCGAGCCGAGATGTGACCTTCAAGCGGTAGATGCGGTCATGCTGGTGTGCCAGCGCCAGCGCAGTGTTCTTTTTGGCGAGCCCGCTGACGAACTCTTGCAAATCTGGATCGAGAAAGCCCGAGTCGTCTGCATTGTCTGATTCCACGACGACCGGGCTGGTGGCGTTGGTCTGGCCGGACTCCGGGTTTTGCTCCGAAAAAAGAGGAGATTCGGGGAGAAGCAGCCTGGGATCCCCGGAATTGTGGCCGAGGCCGCCGCCCGCGTGCCCGGGTGAAACTAGTGTAGTGTCATTTGCTTCACGCTGTGCATTGGAGGCGTGTTTTTCTGTGGAAAACGGCTCTTTGGCCCGAAGCACGCCGGTGTTTGGTGGCAGGACGGACAAGTCTGCCGCGTCCAGCTCGTGGAATGACTCGTTTGCCGAGTGGTATGTGAGAGAGGCGTTCTCCGAGACATCGCCGTCCACGGAAAGCGGTGGATTCGAGTGCATTTCTGGCGGCGGTGGGTGAGGCTGTTGGACCGGAGCCACGGTTTGGGTGGAGGGTGGCTGGGCTGTGTGGCTGGCCTGGGAACTTGTTGGCGTTTTTGCCCGGGGCTTTTTCTTGACGAAAAAATCGTCGTCATCGAGGAACGAGCGTTTTTTCTTCTTGCCTTTGACGGGCGAAACGGGCAGCTGGTTCATGTTGGGACGCTTGACATAACGGTCTGTGTGCGCATGTTTGGGGCCATCTCGGTTCTTAGGCCCTGGGGCCCGGGGCCACGAAGCGCAGTGCGCGGCGAGGCAGGAACCGGGGCCGCGAGGCCGCGGCACGTGACCAGGGCTAATTTCGGGCCTACGGTGCAAATGCTCGGGACGCCCCTTAAGAATTTGAGGCATGTTGGCGACTTTGAGGAAAATTAGGGATTTTGAGGTGTGCTGCGCATTTTGTGGAACTTTGGGGATCTTTTGTGGGCTTAAGGAATCTGGGATCTGTGGGCTTTGTGGGTGTTGGTCACAATGCGTGGATTTCCCGGCCACTGTGGATTCTTTGTTCTGTTTCGCGAAGGCCGTACTGGAGGTGGATTGTTTACGCCGGGCCGCACGGCAGATCTACTGGCGAACACGAAGGCCCTGTGGAATTTGATGGCAGTGCGAGATCTTCACAAGAGACACGTTCCCAAATCGCCGGTTTCTGATTCTTCGAGCTTGCGGAAAGCGATTTGTTTTGGCACCAATAATTCTTGGACGTCTGCGGCCCTGCACCGCTCTGCGGTGAGCGCTGAGGCTTGATATCCGAACTATGCTTAAGCACCATGATTTCATGTGAATTAAGCGCTTTTTCTCAACGGGAACCGGATCAGAAATGCCCTTAGTCCTTTCTGTTAACATGACGCCATCCTATTTCAAAGCTGTTCGTCTGGAATGTTGAAAACCTTTTCGACGAAGGATGCAAAATGCGCCAGGGCAGGGCCTGGGGTCCAGCAAGATTTGCTCGTCTTATCGCGCAAGCCTTGTGCGGCATTTGGGCCACGGCAGCGCATGGGTTTTTCAGCATTCGTCAAAATGCTAAAGCCAGTGCGCCTGTCGCCAGTTTGATATTGCCAGTAAACACGAGCCAGTGAAGGTTTCACGATGAAATCCAAGGAATATAACCAGGTTCGGCTTGAGCCTGGCAGCTCGAGATCAAGAATACATTCGCGAAGGATAAGCACTACGATTCGCTCTTGGCCCACCCAATAGGAATCTGGCAAATGAAAAAGCCTTGTGCTCGACTCCTCTTTAGGCTTTCTTCCTCTTTGGCTCATTCACGAGCGTGTCCGAGAATCCCCGGCGTTGCCAAATGAACCTTTGAAAGCCGGTGCTAGATCAGCAGAAGTGAGCAATTACATTGAAAACAAGTGTCGATTTCGGTATTGGTATAAAGGTGTCCCTACTATAATTTATTTAACAGATTCAAAGAATAATAGAAGAACAAATTTGTTCGTTACCCTAGGTCTGTCTATTTTTATCTTGGAGAGCTTTGTTGGAGCTACACCGAATTTACAATTCATAATAGAGATTCACTGTCGTTAAACTTAACATAATTACAAGAAGCCTAGACTACTCAATGAAGATCCAAATAGAAGAAACTAACTCTACAGTTTTATTCCTTCAAGTTCTAATGACCGATGTCTGTGTATATCTAAAACTAATAAAGCCACAGCTCTCTATAATTGGGAAGTTAAGCGCAGGGTCTAAATCTCTTCAAAAATCTCACGTTGTGGACTTGACCTATGACCATTGACAAAGGACATGGTGGTGTCAACTTTCATTGCTTTGATGGAAGGAGATAGGCTCTCTGAGAACTTCGAACCGTGATTGTTCTGAAAATTTAAGAGAAGAGGAGATGATGGCATATTGATCGCGGAGGCGATATTTTTTTCTTTGGCGGGTGAAATTGCCGTCCTCTGGAAGTCAGACGCTTCATCTTTGGAAATATATTTCAAGAATTGCCTCATTGGAAAGGCCTTTGTTTAAATCCTAATGAATGTTAATAGCATTGTTGAACCACACAATGAGGATGATTAATTCTGATGAAAGTATGATGAATCTATTGAAACAAATTAAATTAGATCAGATAATCTAAGATAGTACCATACCAATATAATTCAAAGCTGATGTTCATATAGAAGAATATAATATTTTCTGTCTATTATTTGATTCCATGACAAGTGAAGAGCCCAGCTCTGTGCATTAGAAAAAAATATCGAAAGAGTCCTATTTAACTATGTATATTAACATTGATTCATAGGTAAATATCACTTATATTGTAAACTTGCATTTATTCAATGCATCTAGGTAAATTTTTTTTTCGTATTTGAGTATTAATTCTATGAGTTATGTATTAAATCTGGTAATATGACTAGTATGTTATATACAATGGTGGTCATGTTATATATTATGTTATTGTAGTTTTTTTAAAATACACCGGGAGAGCACCTCTCTCACTTTCTGTACTTGAGGGATATGATAAATAATTTGGGATGGATGGGCATTTATATAATATATATACTAGCCAGAAGAATCCAGCTGCGGGGTACTAAAGAAACTAATTTATCAGATCCCGGCAAAGGGTAAGTCTCTCTACCTCATTCCGGGCCCGGGGTACCTCTCCCATCAGTACAAAGACTAAAAAACAAGGTTGTATTATTAACAAAAGACTTGGTATAGCTAAAAATAAGCAACCCTTGATACATAGAATTATGATAGCACTAAAGTGGTTTAGCGTGATTTTCAATCTGTTTGAATAAATCTCGACACGGTTATCACATAATTCATAGAGTCAGATTCGTATTTCCAGAGGTATTCGCACCCAAAACACCCTTCTATGAAGGAGGAAATGGTGAATATATCACGAAGACTTGGACGGGCAAATAGTACTATGGCCCACACAAAAGGCTTGGCTGGGCCATTCCGCTATGTAATTCCCAAGAAAACTCCTCTGCTATGCCTGACGCTGCCAGCTGCCGGTCCCTGTTTCAGTGGTTGAAATACAAAATCAAGAGAAGCATATATGTTATGATATGTTGGATAACAACTATAATGAAACATAATTATTATATGAATTTTTAAGTTTGGATAAGAGCTCTCTTATATATAGGAAGGTATAAGGAGTCACCAGATGAATAACTCTTCCGCTTAAATTTAAAATAACATAACATTTACCATGGAGGTATAAAGCTCGAGACGAAATAGTAGTGTGTCATTTATAATTGTTGTGATGTTAGGATGACACGCTTCGTCTTCGCTTCTAGATCTACGATTATCTATAGATATGGTTTGAACCCGTGGTTCATTGTGCCATCTAGTGTTGTAATGCAAAAACCATTTGGCAATGGGAAACCATGAAATTAAGTTGTCCGCAATTTTTTAGGGAGGATCAACAAAAAATTCTTTTCCGTTATCCACCACGTTAGGCTCTTTTTCAAAACTTTCAGGCACGAGCCTGTTTCTATCGTCGTTGGTTATTGGAGGCTGGTGTTCTCTCTGATATTCGAGGCTCTGAACCCTTGAGCCACAATAATTCTCTTCTAGTCTCCAATATTAATATCATGACTTGTTGAGCTAGTTATTTGTTGGGTTCCAAGATCTTATAGATCAGGCCACACATACTTTTATACCACATCAACCAGAAGCACATGGAGATGGATAGAATTAGGACCCAAAATTTTGCGGCAGCAAACGATCGATGTACGGCTTCAAACTGTCGAACGAGATGTAAGATTTGGAGTTCATAACGCAAGTGCCTTCTTTCTTTAGATCCCCTATTTCTCAGCTTCTATTATTTCAATACCACGTGGGCCTGTCTGTAGCCACATTCAGAGTACTTCAGAAGGAGGCACTACCATGATCCAAAATAGTCTCAGAAATACCTCAGATAACTTTTTAAGGTTTCTCAAAGAACCAAATGGGTTTGAGGAAACTCATGCGGAGGCTGCTAGATTGTGTTAACAGAGTACCCAATTCCAAAACTAGGCCCAATTCTAAAAATCTGAAATAGATTCCCTTTACATTGAGTGCCATATAGAAATATTTTCTACAGCTGAAACGGCACCATAGGCTCGGGCCTCTAACCTAAAGTCAGATCTAAATGCAAAGCTTCTCAGTACCGAACTATGATTGGACTGGCAATTTGAAAATAAAGTACTTTTTGTGTTCAATTCTACGATCAGCCAATACGGTGCGTGTGAGACCAGCTCTTTGTCATACTGGTTCGGAATGAGCTACACCTTTAGTATACGCATACAGGCAAAAACAGCCGTCCGCCTTTCATTGGCTGTCTTCGATTATGACGATGATTCGATGATGAATGAATGATCTGAGATGAAGTCCGCGACATAAAAACTCACGGAAGTCGAGGTAAGTCAACTCCGCATAAACTTGAGACCTAAATCATTTCTGAGATCTTTGTTTTGGGCTGCAGCTATATCATCGAGTTTGTCTTGCAATTAGATGACCATGTCATTCTTGGCCAACAATTGATTGTAAACTTCATTTTTCATAGTCAAGCTTGAGAGCACTAGGACTCTGGCCATGCTCAGTGAGGCTCGCATGCTCCGCGCTGATGAATCTCAACTTTCTCTCTTTGTTCGACTTCTCCTGCGATTCACTCATGAATTCCAAACTCTCTAAGAAATCAATTGAGATCATCTTACTTGAATCTGAGCAATCGGGAAGCCGTGATTTAGATCCAATCTCGGCTTTCAAAGTTGATCGCAAAGGCAAGCTCGCTAGTTACCAACTGCAATTCACTCTGTAGCTTCTAGTTACATGACACGATAGTAAGCTCTTCCCTTGTTAATACAAGAGGCCTGTGATGTTTTCAATTGGGTGAGGAAGAAGTTCGTCTATTTCGGGTCGATGGTCATGTCATCTCCCACGGTGCCCAAGGCCCGCAACACAAAGTAGAAGATCCTGGCGTCTCTCAATTTGAGATGTAACGCCTTGATCACCATGGCAAATGAGCGCGAGGCAAAGACCGAATCTTTGTAGCATGTCACGAGAGTGAGGGGGGTGGAGGGAGGCGCCTGGCTGAAACCAAGCGGAAAAATCGATTTTTTGCACCCAAAAAACTGCACCGCTGCAAGGAGCTCGGTCGGGTGGGCCAAAAGCTGGGGCAACTTTCCCATTTTCGTGGTGCAATCTGCAGCGGTTGAAAAATTGTCCTGAGCTTGTAGGGTAATGAATCTGGAGTCATGACCATATTTTAGGTCCCCATGAACACCTATGTTTCTGTTGCTGACACAGGCTTATGTGGAAATTCAATATGGAGTCATGGCCATATTTCGTTTCTATTGCTGACAAAGGTTTCGTGGAAAATCAATCCGGAGTCATGGCCATATTTCATGTCTCCATGAACACTTGCGTTTCGATTGCCGGCACAGGTCTATGTGGAAAATCAATCTGAAGTGATGACCACATTTCATGTCTCCATTTGCGGTTCTGTCGCTGACACAAGTTTAAGTCAAAAATCAATATAGAGTCATGGCCATATTTCATGTCTCCATAAAACTTGGGCCTCTGTCGCTGACACAGATTTATTTGGAATGTCAATGTGGTCTTTTTTAAAACTTTGTCCGTGATACCGACTACATTCCTGAGGAGTCGCGTAAAACAAAAGAGGGCGATTTGGCCTTGAACAGACCTTTGAAGAGACATGTCTTGGAGGCAAAAAGAACTCAGCGAGAACAAGAAGAGAAACTCTTGCGTGAATTTGACTTGCATCAGGAATTTGCCAAGCAGTTTATATAGGACGCACCAGAGCAAAAGAAGAAGAAAAAGTTTTGGTTGTTCTGAGGTGAAGGCTGTCACATAATCGCCGAGGCTTCGCTTAAGAATAATGTTGTACTTCGAAGCTCTAGTAATTTATATTTCCATGTATTTGAAGAATAAAAAGACCAAATATTAATGTTCCTGGGTTCAATGAGTAGAGAAGCTTTTTTGAGAAGTGCTGGTAAATTTTGGCGCATCAGATAAGGTCCACAACCAGCTGAACATCACTCTGGTTGGTTAGGGCATCTGGTTTTCTGAATTCTCCGTCCTTAAAACTCACTAAAAATACTGAATTTGCCCTCTTCAATCGTGTACAGTTGGGAGATGAAATCTGGCCTGAAGCTATTTGTATATTGCCCTATTGAAAGGTTTAAAATATAATGCCGTTGACGCTCAATGAAGAATGTAGAATCTATCAAATTTTCAATGTGTAGTCGAATATAACACAAGGGGGGCAAACATGAAATGAAGCATAATTGAATCATAATATCGACTCAGGTGACTAGGTTGTGGACCGCATTCTTTGAGGGTCCAACATGTATTTCTTGGAAAGAATTACTAAACTTGTTTCAAATGCTCGAGATTTTTATACATATTATTTCTCTGATATTGATTGTTTTGTTATCTAGGCTCATTCGAAGTAAAACAAAACAATTAGTACTCGCACGAAAATTCTCAGACGGAGTTGTGGATTTTTGGTTAGTTTTATCTATTCAGAGATATAAAACTATTTTGAGAAAACAGGTCTTAAAAACGTGCCCAGTGTCAAACAAATCAGCCTTATTCTTTTTGCAAATGTCTCTCGGCCTGATTTGGGTGGGGTACTTCAAGTCATTTGATGAAATAAACAAAGATTTGCAATAAAAAAATCATTCACACAGCTTTAATATACGTACATAGTCTCGAAGCTCGGCTCGTGCCTTTCCTTTGATCACGCCCTAGACGGTTTTCATGGCCCGTGTATTTTTGCGTATTGGATATTACGTTACCAATTCCTGGATAAATTTCCTGCAGTGTTATTTGTAGATTCATCTGATTAATGGAGCAAGACTATATAAAAATATGTATAAAAACCTTTTAGCAGCTCCCAGTTATGTACAACGTGACGACACCTGACCCGTCTCCTTCCGCTAGTCACGGCCTAGACGATCCTCTTGGCCGGTATCTGTTTACGTATTGTATATTACTCCATCGACTTGCGTTCCTGTTGCTGACACGATTTACGTGGAAAATCAATATGGTCTCCATAAACACTTGTGAAATGACCAGTTCTTTTATTCGTATCATCAGAAATACCAACTCTGAAGAGAATTTGGAAGTAGTAGATGAGGGGTTGAATCATGTCTCAGTTTCTCTTTCAGATGCTTTTTTTGGATCAGGTCCAAGATGGCAATCTCCAGATGAGACAAGATTTCCCCAGATATGTTCCGGCTATGGCAAACACAGCTCAGGTTGCGTTGATTAGTACTTTAGATATAGCGGATGCTTACATGGTCTTTGCTCTGTCAAACTTAAAGAGACTGTGTATATAGTGGCGCTCAATGAACAGAGCGGATACAACCAATTCGTTAATAATATGGACTGGTTGACTGCGAGAAAAACATTAACTACGAGTCCGTTTTGGGTGTCGCCTTGATTTGCAAAAGGGCTTTCACGCTGTCGATGATGGACGTCAAAGTGTGAAGGAATTGATCAAAGACATATTAATGACAGTCGGCGATTATAGGGCTTGTTGTGAAGCATAAAGACAAATAAAGATAACAAGAAGCTCAAACAAGACCAAAGAAAACGATCAAAAATGAGCGCTGATTGGAAACATGGAGGTAAAAAAAAACATTGGTCAAAGAACGATCAAAAGAAAAGAGAATCAAAAAAAATCTGAAAAAGAGACCAAGAAAATATCAAAATTAGATATATAGCTGCGATGTATTATTCCGCTTAAAAAAGAAAACCTTAATCAAATCACGTACTTTGTCGAACCTTCAGCAAGATTGATACTGACAACACTTATCTTGAGAAAGTTGCAACATGACAGAGCGCTTCTGTATAATTACGTCATCAATATGAAGATCGTCAAATGGAATATCATGTAGTGGTGTTTAGAAGCAACGTGGAAATCAGCTCATACAGAGAAGAGAGTAATGCTTCTATAAGAATTCGAATTCATTCTTGTCCCATATCTTTGATAAATAGTCGAAAACATTGCCCTTTGAGCCTACACCATGAAACCAGGCCGTAGACTGCTTGCTTGAAAGTGAGACTTTGCTGATAAATGTGAAGGCATGCTTATCCCAAATTCGTTAAATTAGTTCTATTAATACATTTTTATCAAATTAGATTCGTAACCGATCGAGGTCAAACACTGGCTCAAATGCCTATGTTGCAGCCACAGGTTTATGTGAAAATCAATATGGAGTCATGGCCATATTTCGTTTCTATTGCTGACACCGGTTTAGTGGAGAATCAATCTGGAGTCATGACCATATTTCATGTCTCCATGAACACCTATGTTTCTGTCGTTGACACAGGTTTGGTGAAAAATCAATATAGTCTCCATAAGACTTGCGTTCCGATTGCTGACACAAGTTTATGTGAAAATCAATATAAATCTGCATGTCTGTTGCCGGCACAGGTTTAGTGGAAAATCAATATATTTCATGAAAGCTTCCGTTTCTGTTGCCGGCAACGGCTCATCTGGAAAACCAATATGGTCTCCATGAACACTATGTTTCTGTCGCTGGCGCGATTCATGTGGCCATGCCATACTCTGGGCGCCGACTCGCCCATACTGCCTAAATCCTAACAACCCCACCCGAGTGATAACCAAATCTCTCTATGGCCTTTTTGCACTTAAATCTGTAAAAATATATATTTATTGATTAGCTTAACCTAGAACAGTAAGATTCATAATACAATGCAAGACAAGACAAGACACGAAAGTAGATATATCAAGTACCTGAACGTTGTTAACAGGTTTAAATTATACACCACTTGACTGTATGTTTTGGCTAAGCGTGTTTCAGAACTTAGCTACTTGCTCTATAAATTTATAAATTCAAAGAATGAATTTTTACAAAGTAAATGGGTCTTTCATGCACTTGAAACTTGGAGAAAATTCATTTAGAAGTCATAATTACACTCAATGAAATTAAATATCACAATAATAAAGATATAAGTAAAGAATACAGAAGAAATACCATGACACTTAATGATATATCATAAGAAATATTAAATAAAATAAATTAAATATCACAATAATAAAGATATAAGTAAAGAATACAGAAGAAATACCATGACACTTAATGATATAGCAGAAGAAATATTAGATAGAATAAATTAAATATAACACTAATAAAAGTATTACTGAAGAATAAAGAAGAAATATCATGACATTTAATGATATATCAGAAGAGATATTAGATAGAATTATTATGAAATTAGAAGAGATATTAGAAAGAATTATTATGAAATTAGAAGAGATATTAGAAAGAATTATTATGAAATTAGAAGAGATATTAGAAAGAATTATTATGAAATTAGAAGAGATATTAGAAAGAATTATTATGAAATTAGAAGAGATATTAGAAAGAATTATTATGAAATTAGAAGAGATATTAAATAGAATTATTATGAAATTAGAAGATAACAGTTTTTTTTTTTCAATTTAAAAAACGCATAACAAAAAGAAAATAATAATAAATGTCTTTGATTGATGGATAATTAAAAGCGGGAGAAAATCCTGAAGATATATCAATAAAACAAAGTTATTGAGTAAGGTTTGTATATTCAAATATTTGTAACAGAAGGTCATAAATTCATCTGAATTAAGATGTCTTCTATTATCATGATGAAGATCAAAAAGGGACTCAATCAAATGTAATCACAGAAACTACTACAGCAACATCCAATGAAGGATAGTTTAAATCTTATGAAAGGTGATTATAAACTGGCTGAACAGAGAAAAAGCCTCGAGCCGGCCAGCCGCGTGGGTTCCGGCGCGCGCCCTACTACAGTGCCGGGCCGCCAGAACCAGCGGCGCGGGCCCCAGTGCTCAGGGCCAGAAAGAGCGCCCAGGGCCAGAAATAATGCCCAGGGCCAGGCCGCGCCCAGCGCTGGCCCCAGCACCCAGAGCCACCCCTCCTCCTTCCTCCCTCCTCCTCCCTCCCTCCTCCTCCCCCCTCCTACTTTCTCATTTCTTCCACACCAACTACACACACACCTCCCATGTCCGACTCCAGCCAGCTTTTCCAGAAAGCGCACTTGGCCCGCACCGGCGACCTCAGCTTCGTGGGCCGCTTCCACCACAACTTCGGCGCCGAGCACGGGCTCTTCGACTACCTCCTAGACCAGAAGGACATGTGGGGCGAGAAGCTCTTCTACGTCAACGAGCGCCAGTTCCGCCAGTGGGTCGAGCAGGGCCGCCACCGCGTGCGCGAGGTGCCCGCGATGGCCGCGCTGGGCCTCCCGCCGCTCCAGACACAGCCGCTCACGGCGCAGCAGTTCCAGCACACGTTTGGCGCCGCCGCCGACATCGTCTTGAACACCACCAAGGGCGGCGCCGCCGCGCAGCACCGCCTCGCGCCCGGCGGCTGCGTGCCGTTGAACGCCGCCGTGGACCGCAACGCGCTCGCGGTGCACGCTGGCGGCCACGTCACGGCGCTCAAGTGGCTCGCCTTCTCCTCGCCCGCGCTCTTGGCCGTGGCCGTGGTCAACAGCAAGGACGGGCTCGCAGGTGTGGTGGGCGCGCCGGAGTTGGGCGTGTTGGCCGCGGCGGCGGCGGCGCCCCGCGGGACCGCCCGCCACGTGCGCTCTGCGGTCCAGCTCTGGGCCTACGACGTGGACCAGGCGGCGCTCCGGCTCGTGCAGGTGCTCGACACGCTGGCGCTCGGCGCCACGGCGCGGCTCGCGTGGCGCCCCGCGCGCGCGGCGGACGGCTGCTCGGGCGTGCTCCTGGGCGTGTTTTCCGACGGGCGGCTCCATTTCTTCGAGCTCCGCAGCACGCCCGGCGCGGAGCCGCGCTACGCGGCGGTCACGCGGCCGTCGTGGACTGTGGAGCTCGGCGCGGCGGTCTCGGCGTTCGACTTCGTGGACCACGCGCGCGTGGTGGTGGGCACGGCGGACGGCGCGGTGGCGGAGTTCGTGCTCCCCGGGCCGGGCGTCTCCGAGACGGCCGCGCGCGTGCCGTCGTTCGTGGCCCGCGTGGCGGACTCCATGGTCACGGCGGTGTGCGTGGCGGACGCGCACGCGTCGCGCGTGGTGCTCGTCAACACGGCGTCGGCGCAGAGCTACGCGCTCCAGTACGACCAGATGCGCCAGGGCCGGCTCGAGGTGGGCAGCACGGTGTCGCCGCTCCAGCCGCTCTACCACCGCGCGTACCGCATCTTCGTGTACCCGGACTCGGCCGAGAGCATCGGCTACACGTTCGCGCGGCACCCGCACCAGAAGCACAGCTTGCTCCTCCGCACAGAGCTGGTGTCGGCGTTCCACACCAGCGAGTTCCTCAACCACCCGTTCGCGGTGGTGGGCAACACGTGCGGCGACGTCTACGTGATGAACGTGGGGCGCAAGATCTTCGGCATGCCCAAGGCGCACAACAAGCTCGTGGTGCCGTTGAGGATCTGGTCCGTGTTCCGCGCGCCCGGCGACCTGGCGCTCACGCTCGCGGGCGACTACGTCCCGGTGTCCCCCGACCGCAGCGAGGTCATGTGCACCGCCACGCCGCCGGAGGTCGTGGTCTCCGCGGCCGCGTGGAACGAGAACTTCGACGGCAGCTCCACCTACGCGTTCGCCACCTACGCGGGCTTGCTCGTGGTGGAGCGGCTCGACCCGGTCCTCATCTAACCGGCCCGCCCGAGCCCGGGTGGCGGGTGTATCCTGGTGTATCCTGGTTTATCCCGGTGTATCTGGTGTAACCTGGTGTAACCTGGTGTATCCTGGTGTATCCTGGTGTATCCTGGTGTATCCTGGTGTATCCTGGTGTATCCTGGTGTATCCTGGTGTATCCTGGTTTATCCCGGTGTATCTGGTGTAACCTGGTGTATCCTGGTTTATCCCGGTGTATCTGGTGTAACCTGGTGTGACCTGGTGTGACCTGGAATCTGGCCCTATTTGACCCAGTTTCTTGCCCAAGTATTTGTCACTGGTTATCTGCCCTGGAATCTTACCTTGTGTCGGGCCCTATTTGACCCGGTTACTATTTGACCCGGTTTCTGGCCCTGGTATATTCTGGTATGGCCCTGGTATCTGACCTGGTTTCTGACCCGGTGTCTGACCTGGTGTCTGACCTGGTGTCTGACCTGGTGTCTGACCGGGTTTCAAACTCGGTATCTGACTTGAGATCTAACCCGGTATCTGACTTGGGATCTGACTTACTGCCTGGGCCTATTTGGCTTGCTTGCTATTTGACTCGGTTTCTTGCCCAAGTATCGGTCACTGGTATCTGTCACTAGTATCTGGCCCGGTGTCTGACTCTCATGTGACCCATTGTCTGTCCCTCATATGTGACCCGGTGTCTCACCTGCTACGGCCCTGCCTCATGGACCCGCTTCGTGCTTTCCCCGCGTGACTAGCACCACCCTCCCATCAATACACCGGCACCGTCCCGTCCACCTCGACGCTCCACTGGTGGAGCCCGCCCCGCACGTCCCACACTCGCTTGAAACCGAGCTCCTGGATGAGCCTGCGTGCAGCCGCCTGCGAGTCGTTGCCGTACCGGCACATCACGTACACCTCGTCCTTCTCCTTGTCAAAGCCCCGGGGGAGCATGCCGTCGATGGAGCGCGCCCGCGCGAGTGTCCGCTCCCACTCCACATTGATCGCCCCCGCAACGTGCGTGATCTGGAACTGCTCCGACGGCCGCACGTCCAACAACACTGGCCCCGGGCAGCCTCGCATCGCGTCCGCTAGCTCGTGCACGGACCGCCTGTGGTCCGCCCGGGGCGCACCGTACGTGACCAGCCCGCAGAACGCCGAGTAGTCCACCCGGCACGCCTCGATGTCCCGCCTCAGGATCGTGGGGCTCTCGCCGCATACGGCACAGCTGGCCTGCCGCCCCCGCATCTTGAACACCCGCATGGTCTGCTGCGGGAACGCAGAGTACATCGCGATGAACGGCGAGAAGGCGTCCCCATAGAAGCCCGTGGCCACCTTGATGGTTTCCGTGGCCAACGCAACGCCCGTGAGCCCGATGGCTGGGCCCAACACCCCGGCGTCCGAGCACGTGGGCACCGAGGCGGGCGTGGGCGGCTTGGGGTGGAAACACCGGTAGCAGGGGCCCCGGCTCCGGTAGTTGAGGACGGTGACCTGCCCGTCTGTCTTCACGCCCGACCCGCTCACCACCGTCTTGCCCAAGAGCACCGCCACGTCGTTGATGAGGTAGCGTGTGGCGGGCGTGTCGGTGCAGTCGACCACCAAGTCGTACTGCGCTATTATACCGAACGCATTGTCGTTGCAGAGCTGCACGGGGTGGGTGGCAAGCGCCACGTGCGGGTTCAAGCGCAGGAGGTACTTCTTGGCAGAGTCGCATTTGAGCAGGCCCACGGCGTCCGTGGCGTGGAGCACTTGTCGATGCAAGTTGCTCTCGTCCACGACGTCATTGTCCAAGATTCCGATGGTGCCGACCCCGGCGCCGCACAAGTAGAGCAACGCAGGACACCCCAAGCCCCCGGCGCCAATTACCAACACCTTGGTGTTGCGAAGCTTGAGCTGCGAGGGGAGGGACCCGAACCCAGGCACTATCATCTGCCGCCCGTACCGCCTATACTCGGCCAAGGACATGGGCAAGCGGGGCGGACCGTCGTTTTTGGCCGCGTTGTCTGCGGCGCCGGCCGACTGCGCAACCTGGCTTTTCAACGCCTGGTTTTCTGCCTCGAGCGCGGCGATTCTCTGGCGCAAAGCTTTTACCTCTGAATCCATGGTGAATGCGATGTCCGGTGATGCGCACGGCGCGGCGCTCGGCTAATATAGAGTAGCGTGCGGCCCAGCCCGCGCTGAGGTGAGCATGTTCGGAAATTGACTGTGTCCTCGGCTCGTGGGGTCTACTGGCATCTGCCACAATGGTTTTAAAAAGACTCCTTTTCGCATGAATCTACGTCTCAATCATACGTTGCCATAAGCTATGTCCCACCGATGCGGTAGTACTGCTCGTTCACATGTTTTCACCAGCCTTGAGACTACACCAAGTTAAGCCCGGTATAGGACTGTCTACAATATTGACCACGGCTCTGGCCTGTAGTTTGAATGCAGGGTAGACTTCAGCAGGTAAGCATGTATCCGTGGGCTTTGTTTCTTGAAATCCGAGGCCATTCGTGATGATGCAGACAGAGTTACGAAAGATCTGCGGCCGCGTCTCTCGTTCTCTGCCACTGTTCCCACAAACCGAAAAACATACGATCGTGGGTCCTTTTTGCTTTGCTGAATAATTCTTTTTTTTTGCTGTATCCTATTTTTCCTTTTACTGGTCCTTATTTTTTTACTGGTCCTTATTTACTACTGGTCCTTATTTACTACTGGTCCTTAATTTATACGGGGTCTTGTACAGATCCACAGGGTCTCTCTTCTGATGCCCGCAACTGGCCATGTCGTTTGCGTTCCGGTCTTTTGGCGGCCTTTTCGGTATGTCTGTAATTGACGTGAGGCGGCACTCTGTCTTTTTCATATCTGAAACCACCTCCAAACATCAGCAATTATCACTACTGCTTGTATCATAAGATCAATTGGGCTGGTGGCCTAGGCAGTCGTTGGCGCACGTCACGCCAATAAATACGTGGCCAGCAAAATAAAAGCCCCCGCGGCGATCCAGCAGTTTTTCTTGTCGAGGCTGTATCGCTCAATCGGGTCAAATTGGAAGTCTAGGTGAACGGGCGACTCCAGCAAGGAATCTCGGCTCTGGCTCCACCATAGCCACACAGCTAGAAGCGCAACAGCAGCTAGAAAAACCCGCTTGATGGGGACGTGGCCAGACATATGTAACAGGTGGTATCAGGTGTCTTTCGACTGGGTGATATGAAAGGCACGGTGTTTTTCAATGAGTCGGCGAAAGATGACTCCGCGTTTTTGAAGGTACAGTGTTTTTTGAGGTGGGGGTGTTTTTGGATGTGAATTAAATGCCCGAGCTACCAACGAGAATACCCACCTTTGGCAAGTGACCTGGAGCTTTGCTGGCCCGGCGATATGGGGCAGAATACTCTATTGCGGCAAGAGCAAGAAAAGGATACGTGCTAAGTGGCGTCAGTCGCCTAGACAAGCTGGCCCTGCGAGGCCCTGTGAAAAGCCAGGCGCAAGCGGCCCCACGCAGGCCGGCTCGGTGAGGGCGCGGCACAAGGCCCTGAAGCGGTTTCATCCAGGGCCAGCACCAGAAGAGCGTTTTTTGGGCGGCCGTTTTTCTGGTGGCCCCGGCCGTCTCCATTTTGACACCAGTACAAAAACTGGCGTTCCAGATGGCAGGTGCTCTGCTATGGAAGGGCCCGAATGGGCCTCGCCAAAAACGGGAAACTTCCAGGCGAAAAGCAAGATATCTTTGGCCCTAGGCGCAAATTTCTGGCCCAGGCGCGAATTTCTGGCCCCAGGCGCGAATTCCCCTAAAACCAGGATATCGCGGCACTGGAAGCAGAGTTCTCCGGCCCAGCAGCGCGGGCACCACCAAAAGTCCCCCAGGGCCAAAGGCGCAAGCTCTCCGTCCCACCATCAGTGATTCTCCAAGCCCAGAACCAAGAGTAAAAATCTATTATCACATGAAGACAAACAGATCGTAGGATATAGTCCCATTTCACATATGGCTGTAACATAGTAGAATGTCCCATAATTTGATTGGTATATGCGGAAGTTGAAGTTATCAAAACACTTCTCGATAATCGCATTCATAAGTATTTTCACATACGCTGAATTATTTGTGGCCACTCTTTGTAATCGGCCAGGCACATCTTTTAACTTTTAGTTTTTTTACCGTTTCCAGGTCTTTTCTCATACCTGCCCGTTGGGCTGGCATTGGCCTCTTTTTTATTGAAAGAATAAAAGTTAGAGTAAAGGAATAGTAACACAGAGCATAGTATACGATAGGGTGTGCGTCAAATAGATCGTGTAATAGCGTAACATCTTAAATGATACTTGAACTCTAAGCATGCTTCTATAAAGCTATAATGTCATAATGATACAATGTTATAATGTTATAATGCTATAATGCTATAAAGTTATGATGCTATAATGATACAATAATATAATGCTATAATGCTACAATGTTATAATGCTACAATGTTATAATGCTACCATGCTATAATGATATAATAATATAATGTTATAATGCTATTGTGCTATAACGCTATAATGCTCCCATGCTATAATGATTAATAATATAATGATATAGTAATATAATGCTACAATGCTACAATTTTATAATGCTACCATGCTATAATGAAATAAAAATATAATGTTATAATGCTATAATGCTAAAATGCTCCCATGCTATAATGCTATAATGCTATAATGATATAATGATATAATGATATAATGATATAATGATATAATGATATAATGATATAATGATATAATGATATAATGATATAATAATATAATAATATAATAATATAATGCTGTATTGCTATAATGCTATAATATTCCTCTTTGCTCTGTAGCTTCGAGCCTTCCCCATGCCCTCCACTCACTGCGTTACGTCATACCGGCCTGCCCTGGACGGGCAGTACTATCATACAATGTAACACGCCTCACATAATGTCTTATCTATACATTCAATAAGCCAACAGGACTTTTCAACCCACGGCCCAACGGAACTCCTCTGGTATCCACTAATTCACCCAACTCATCCAGCGTCGAGCACATCACTACGGCACCGTCTCCGGCCCTAAAGGCACTGCTCGCAGAGCCCAAACGATAGAATGCTGTGGCCCCAAGCGCGGCCCCCTGGGCCCAAGCGCGGCCCCCTGGCCCCAGCCCCCTGGCCCTAAAACCGCAAAACCCGGGGCGCCAGTCGCGGCGCCGCGCGCCACCAACATCTGCCCGGCCGGGCCTGTTCCTTCAGTACCCGCCCTTTTCTTGCCCCACAACCCAAAACCCGCCCCAGCACCCCGGCCGCCTGGACGCACAACCGCCGCCGCCGGCCCCGCACCCAGCCAGGAAAAAGCGCCCGACCATGCCGCTTTCGCTTGCGGATCTCCCGCCCGAGGTGCTCGAGAACATCTTTGCCCATTTGAGCCGCAAGGACGTGAAGCGCCTCGCCCTCACGAGCCGCGCGTACCGGGCCAGCGCGGCCCCGTATGTGATGCGCCAGCTCAGGGCCTCGTGGGGCCAGCTCGTGGCCCTCCAAGATTTTGTCGGGGACCCGGACTTACATCCCCGGGGCGCCCTCCAAGATTTGGCCGGAAATCCGGACATATATCCCCGGGCCGCCCACCCGCGCCTCTACTGCGAGCGTCTTTCCATCTGCGAGCCCAACGCGTACTACGAGTACCAGCAGGACACGTTTGGCAAGCTCGTGGCGCGCGCGGTGTTCCCGCGGTTGAAACACGTGAGTGTGCTCTCGGCCAGCCTGTCGCACTGGCTCAAGTACAACACGTGCGCGCACATCCAGAGCGTCCAGATCGAAAACGCGGCCGCGGCCGGCGGCAGCGGGCGCAAGGTGTTCTGCCTCGATCACGTGCGCGGCTTTGCTGCGTTGGCGCTGCTCACGCTCACGCGGTTCCATTTCGACTGGCTGGACCTGGGCCCCAGCCACGGCCCCGTGTTTGCGGGCCGGCTCCGCGACTTGGCGCTCCACGACTGTACGTGGCAGTACCCGTTCAATCTCGTGCAGTTCAACGCGCAGCACTCGCTCCGCACGCTCGCCATCACCTACTCGCACGACCACTCGTTTGTGTTGCTGGAGCGGTTCGTGGACTTTCTCATCGACCCGCTCCCGCAGCACCTGGCGTCGCTCCGCCGCTTGGAAGTGGGCTTTGTGGATTTCCGCGACACGAAGAAGGTGCTCACGCTGACGCTCATGGCGACGTTTCTCCGCGTGTTCCCTGGCCTCGACCATCTATACCTCCATGGGTGGCACACGACCCGCACCTACGCCCACGTCATCCTGGCGCAGATGACGTTCGACTTCCCCGTGGACGTCGATGTGGAGATCGAGGCCCCGGGCCCCAGTCCACGCGGCGTGTCGGCCGCCCCACGCCCGCCGGTGCGCTGGAAACAACGCCTATACAACCGCACTTAGGCCCTTCAGCCGCAGCCGCAGCCGCACCGCGCACCCGAACATCCGGCCCGCCACGAGTGAAAAGCGCAGTGCTGTGCTGAGGTCTTCGTGCCCTGAGAGTTTTGGAACAAGTCCACAGTCAGCCGTCCCATTCGTGTGTCCCCGCCTTGCCTGTTTTGCTCCTCGGCTCGTGACCCAAGGAACGTCCACAAGAAAACAGCCGGATGCTTGTTCTCGCCGTCGTACTATCGTTGGGCCGCCTCGTGTGCGCCAACACGGAGGCCTATGGGTTCCAGATCCCGAACTACTACGACGTTCCCGGCCACGCCCCTGGCGGGCCCGCCAGCACCGCAATCGTGCCCCTCAATCACACTGCGCGGCTTCTCACAGACCACCCCATTCTTTCCGTCAGCAACTATTCCACCGCCGAGCTGGTGCTCACGGTGCCCTACGACTTCTCCGGCCTGCCGAAACAAACATTGTTTGTCCGGTTGAACAACTACCACAACTGCTCGTTCGAGCCAAACGACTTGATCCACGTCAAGTTGTGCTGGCCGGCAACCACACCCGTCAACTTCAACCTCAGCCACCGCTTCATCCAGGAGAGGGAGTTTGGCGCCGAGGCCTCGCCGCGCGACACGTTGCACATCTACCTTGTCATTGACTACCAGGCCGATTTCTACCCTGTCGAGCCCATGCACCACACGAGCTTCGACATGCTTCTAGCCGTGAGCAAGCTTCCGAACACCGTGCCAATCCCCATCGAGCTCTATGGCGTCATTGTGTATGTGGTGGACCTCATGATCTTGACTGCAACTGCGCTTCCATGGATCCTCCAGCAATTCAGCAGTTATATCGAACTGATGCAGTGTTAGCGTCGAGCATTTCGTGTCTCGCAGGAAAAATAAAAGAGAACGGAGAGAAAAGGGCAACTTTATCTCGTGGAATACCGTTTTTTTTTTCTTTTGTCATGGAATGTTTCTTCGAAAGGAAAAAGTTGGGTCGGCACGGCCAACACCCACAGGTGCCGCGTGCATCGGGCAACAAGCGACTGCGAAGCCCGAAAATGACTCACCCAGCTGCCAAAGCTGCCCGGCCCCTTGCAAAAGAAAAAAAAAAGAAAGAAAAAAATAGTACTCCAGTGTATCACTCGCCTCTGTACAAGTAGCAGCGCTCGTGCCCCTTGGTGGGTCTCGGGCTTTTAGCAAGACAAGGCTGGCGCAGGGCGGGGCCGTTCCTGCATGCGGCGCGTGCCCGCTCCTAACGTCACAGTTCCGTTGCGCCTATCTCTTCCTTGGCCTGCTTGCCTCTTTCGGCAAGCACCTTTGTGGCGAGAAAAAGTCTAGGAAAAAAGGCCCACCCATTTGCAGCAACATGTCGTCGGACGAGGGACCATTGGCTCCTCCAAGCAACGAACAAGGGCTCGACTTGTCGAAGTTGTCGCCCCAGGAATTGCGCATTTTCAAGATGTATGGGAAGCTCCCCACCAAGCAGCAAATTCTAGCTTCCAAACTACAGGAGAAGCGGTATTTCGACAGTGGCGACTACGCCATGCAGAAGCAGCTCGGCGGAAGTAAGTCGGGCGTGACCGGGGTGTCGATGAAGCACCCGAACGCGGAGAGAGTGAAGGAGATGTCCAACCGGAACTCCATCAGCGCCAGCAATTCGGGGATTCTCTTCAACGGGAAGCTGAACTTGTTGAGCGAGTCCTCTGTGCAAGAAGAAGACGAGAAGAAACCAGAGTAAATCAGGCCGTGACGTACTGTGGTCACCGTGAGGGTTGTTTTTTTTTTTTCTTCAGAATACCAGGATGTCTCACCGGAGACGGTGTTCTGTTGACCGGAACGAGCTTCGAGCCCATTGGCTGGCTATTTTTTTCAACTGTATACGCAATGCACGTCTGACATGAATGACGGGACGTGTTTCGAGGGCGGTGCGTTCAGATGATGACCCATCGGCCCGTTCTTGGTTCGTAGTGCCCTGCACGGGTTCGTGGTCTTCCACTGGGCCTCCGTCTCAGCATAGAACCGCAGTTTTTTGTAGCCACGAATGTCTGATGAGTGCGCTGTTGAGTTCGCCTGGAGCGGCGTCCGAGGCAGCCGTGGATCTTTGAATGGTCCTGGCTCTTTGAAATCCGTTTGGGTTTTTTTGGTGTCCTTCTCTTTCTTGAGTGCACCGAGTCGTTGGGAGTCGGTCGGAGTCGGTCGGAGTTGGTCGGAGTCGGCCGGAGTCAATTTAATGATGAAGTATCGGTATCTGAGATGGTCACTTCCGATCTTGCACAACGCTCTTCTGCAAGTTCAATAAGTTCTTCTTCTTTTTGTGAATCGTCCATTAGCTTTTGCTCCGGTGCATCAATTGACTCAAAACGCACTTCTCTTCTTCTTCTTGCAGTATCGATTCCGGCTTTTAGTAGCAGAATAGCTTCTGCATGACAATTTGCCTCCACCTCACGATTTGCAAGTGTCTGTGCGATGTGATTTTTCTGCAATATTTCTTGCTCGAGTATGTCTTTCTTTGTTTGAAGCTCGCGTTTGGAATCGGCTAAACTCTCTATAAGCCCAACAGACAGAACTTCCCGTATTTCGATTTGATTTTGGCAAAGTCCTATTTGCAGATTCTTGATTGTCTTGAGCTGAGATACCATTTGCTCCAACCGCTGATCCAAACGTGTTTTCAGACCACGCACTTCCTCTTGAAGAGTTCTTTTCTGGATGATTGGGGGCTTTTTGTATCTTGCCAATCGGTCTTTTTGAATTGTGATGAATCGTTTGGATTTATTGTATATTCTTGGTATTTGTGAATGTTGAGTTCTCTTTCCACTCTACTCTCCACTCTACTCTCCACTCTACTCTCCACTCTACTCTCCACTCTCCACTCTCCATTCTCCACTCCACTCTCCATTCTCCACTCCACTCTCGGCATTCATTACATTTCCTATACCATGCTGCGTCTTCATGCACATTACTAAATCTCCTCCCTCTGCTGTCTGTCTTGCGAGTCGTTGCAATTGCATCCAGGCCCAGGTGATGCGGCAACAGACAGGAAGCGATCCAACAACTCCGTCTACCCAGGCAACAGGCACAACCAGCATAGGGAACCAAGAACATCGCGGCTCGCCGGTTCGAAACCCGCGTCAGAAACCAGCGTCAGAAACCAGCGTCAGAAACCAGAGTCAGAAAACAGTGTCAGCAAACACCATGGACGCCCGCAGCTTCGATGCCTCAATCGAGGCGTTTTTCGCCATGTTGCTCAGTGAGCTCTCGCACCCGAGGCCCATGGAAATCGAGCACGCGTACGTCAAGCAGGCCGCCGGGTCGAAATACCTTTTTCTCTGCCTCAGCGTAGCACCACACAACAACAACAACAACAACAACAACAACAACAACACGGGCCCGGAAAAGCCGCTGCGCATCGAAATGACCGTCTCGTACGACCAGTTCTACCAGGTGCCGGTCTTACACTTCCGGGTCGACCACACGGTGTCCTCCGGCAGCAGGCACGCGGCAGCAGACATCCACCCCGTTCTCCAGAGCCCGTTCTTGGTGGTGCACGCGTGTGAAACCGCAAGCACCATGGCGCCCACCGGCTTGCAAGGCACCGAGTACCTCCGGCTCTGGTTTGCCCTCCAGATGACGGCGGTGCTCCCGGACATCCGGCTACGGGGCCCGGGGGCCGTGGCTACAAACACGGGGCGCGGAACCACGCATCCGCGGGCCCCGCTCGGCGTATCGGGTGCTTGGGAATTTACTGGTATGTAGATGAGATGCATGCAGAACGTACGGCGCTTCACGGCGAGGGCTTTTCGACGTTGAACGAGCGGCACGGGTAGTCGTCCGTGTACATGCCGTGCTCGGGCTCGTCCAAGATGCGCCACTTGAACTTGTGCATGGACGGCGCCACCACGGGCTCGCCGGCCAGGCCCAACACCTGGCCCCTGAGCACGCCCGGGTCCACGGCGGTCAAGGTGGAGGCCAAGCTGACGGCCGCGCCGGCACCGAAGGCCGCCAACTCCTTGGAGCCCTTGTCGCCGGCGGCTATCCGCGGCTTTGCGGCCGAGCCTAGCGTCAACAAGCCAGACACCTTGGTCTGGTCAAACCCGTGCACTTGGGGATAGTTGCGCCGGTAGTCGCGCTTGTAGTAGGGGTTGCCCCTGATGTCGCCGGCGGGGAGCGTGACGGGGTCTTGGTAGCTGTTGGCCTGCTCGATCCTGGCGCCGGGCGGAATGGCTCTGTAGTGGTGGACCAAGGGGTTACCCGAGGATCTGTTGGGCACGAGCACCAACCACTGGCGGATCTTCTCCCAGATGCCGGTGGGCCTGGTGGTGTATTTCTTCCATACTGGAACAGGGCCGCCGCTCATGGTTGTGTGTGGGGGATGTTGGTGAGGATGGAGCTGGGGTTGGAGGAGAAGTTTTGAGGTGAGATTTGCCGGGCCTCCATTGGCTGCGCTGTGTGCAGGCGCGGGTGCTGGGGCCAGTGTATGCGCGCGGTGGTTTGGGCGGACCGGTGCTAGAGGGCGTGGGCTGGGCTTTTGTTGTGTTGTTTTTTGTGTGTTTTTTTTTTCTGTTTTTTGTTTTTTCTGTTTGTTGTTTTTTCTGTTTGTTGTTTTTTCTGTTTGTTGTTTTTTCTGTTTGTTGTGGTGTTGTGATGTTGTTTTTTGTGTTTGTTGTTTGGTTGGTTTATTTGTTGTTGGTCGGTTGGTTTATTTGTTGTTGGTCGGTTGGTTTTGGCTCAGTCTTCTTGCGGTATGAGTGATTGCGTATACATCTGCTATCTGCCTATTCGTAACATCGGGTGCCACCAAGTTGCCGGGCCCTCGCACATTGGGCCCATGGCCCGCAGTAGTCAAGCTCGAAGTATGGGCTCATCTGGCAGCATTCGTAAATATACCTCGCAGCACTCGTAGATACCTCGCAGCACTCGTAGAACCACCTCGCACCACTGGCCCCACCACATGGCCGCTCAGTGCGGGCCAAACAAAAAGCGCCCCAACTTGCCAAAGATTATCACGCCGCAGAAAAAGAAACTGGCGATAAAGAGGAAAATCGAAAACAAGCTCTCGGAGTCGCCCGTGAACTGGCTGCCGCTCTGGGCGTAAATCACGGCCGACCCGCCAAAGGCCACCGCGATCGAGCCCATGAACCCGTTGAGTGTGCCGTCCAAAATCAACCACAACCCCGGGTTGAGGAGCGACCACGTCAACGCCATCTGGAGCGACGACTTCCACTGCATGTTGCGGATGGCGTACGAAATGCCAAGGAACGCAATCAGCGACCGCACGAGGTCGCTGGTCAAGTTGGCCCGCCGCTTGGGGTTGGGGTTCGACGACAACATGCGCGTGGTGCACCACGTGGGCATGTACCGGTCCAACAAGGGCACGATGCTACTTAGGGCGAGCCCCTCGAAAAGCAACGTGAGCCCCGCGTCCACGGCGCCGCGGCTCGCCGCGCCGGTTGTCGAGGGGAGCAAGCCGGACGGCCGGAAGCTGGTCAAGAAGTGGTTCAAGTACGCGTTGATTTCCGCGCCGTTGACGTCCACGTGCGTCGTGTGGATGTTTCTGGTCACGGCGTTGTAGGCAAGCGCCGCGGCAAGGACAACCACGACACGGGCCACCAGGGAGACGAGCGCCGCGGCGGGCGTGCGCTGGGCGGGTCTGGGGGACGCGCTTTTGGCCGTGGCGGGGCGGCCTTCCTCGGACCGGATGTGGAGCTGGGCGCCGTCGATATACTCCTCGACCTCCTCGTTCTCCAGGTTCAAGTTGGTGGAGGACAGGTTGTAGATGCCGTAGAGCGACGGCTTGGTCAAGTTCAACACGGAGTCTGTTTTTTGCATTGCGGCGGAGTGAAGGCGGCAGAACAGCGGTTTGACAACGGCCAGGGACGGGTCAATGAAGAATCAAGAAACAATCAGCAAAGACAACGGCCAATCAAAAACAGCAACGATGCGGCAACGACGGGGAGTCAATGGGTCGACCAAGACAACGGTCGAGGACAACGTCAGGGAGGGTGCCAGATCGGACCACGGCCAGGAAGACGGCGGCTGGAACAGGGGTATCAATGGGCGGCCAAGGCAGCGGGCCAGAACACAGGAAGATCAAGCAGCAAAAACAAAACAGAGGCCGTGCAGATCTAGACAGGCGATGCGCACAAGGGGTGGTTCAACTTGGCCTTTTTTCGAGGGGTGGGCTGACCCTGAGACCTGCCAGCAGAGCGGCGGGTTGTGCGGGCGCGGTCACGTGCGCGGCACGTGCAGGGCGGCCTCCAACAGCCACTTGCGCCCGGGTGCTTGTCGTGGGCCCGGGCTCAGTGGGGAAATAGATCGTCGAACGACACGCAGCGCACGAGTTTGCGGCTGCGTTTCGGGCTGGTTTCGGGGGGCTTGTGTGGGGCCCGCTTTGTCTTGGTGGCCGCGGGCCGCGGGCTGCCAGGGCCGCCGGCCGCGCCTGTTGCCTTGGGGCCGGGTGGGGTTTTGGGGCCAGGCATCGAGCTCCATGAATGAGGGCCAGGCCTTGAGCCGGGGCCACTCTTTAAATCAGAGCCACTCTTTAAATCAGAGCCACTTATTAAATCAGGGCCACTTATTAAATCAGAGCCACTTATTAAATCAGAGCCACTCATTAAATCAGGGCCACTCTTTAAATCAGAGCCACTTATTAAATCAGGGCCACTTATTAAATCAGAGCCACTCTTTAGATCAGGGCCACTCATCAGTTCAGGGCCACTCTTTAAATCAGAGCCACTTATTAAATCAGGGCCACTT